TGTACCCCATCCAAAGCATGAGCTACGTCGCCGACGACGGCACCAAGCACGAGATGGGCTACGGCGCCTCCGCCGGCTGGTATCTCGGAAATGTCGACCTCGGCACGCCGCCGCACCGGTTTGAGCTCACGTCCGTCGAGGACGAGACCATCGAGTGCCACCTCGACGCGGAGTACTATTACCCGAAGCAGCGTGGCGGCAAGCTGAACGCCGTCGCCAACGGCACCGCACGCGCGATTGACGACGACGGCCACGTCAGCCCGCTCAACTGCCAGTTCGGCGGCACCTACGACTACCCGCCCTCGCCGCCCCCCTCACCGGTTACTCCCGGCGGCACCTGCGTCCAAGACTTCCAGCAGTGCGGCGGCGTTGTCGACAGCAAGCCCTGGGCCGGCCCCACGGAGTGCTGCAACCCCACCCAAGAGTGCATCAAGAAGAACGACTACTACTCCGGATGCAACACGCCCACGTCTGTCTAGTGTGCCCCAAGACCTCGTGTGTTCGTCTGTCTAGGTGCGTGTTCAATTTCGGTGTGTCTGCTGAGAGTTCGAGCGTGACGGTCGCGGGGTGAGAGTGTTGCGTTTGGCGGTACGCGCGAGACGCGGGGGCGACTCCACCTTAGGGCTGTGCCCTCTGTGGCTTTGCGTCACTAGTGATCGTTGCTTGCTGTCCATTGGCCACTCTTTGTGGGTCTGATTTTGTTTAGTACGATTGATCGAGCTGCACGTCCGTCCGTGACTGCGCGCGACGGGCGCATCTTGCTGAGTCTCTTCTTTTCGCACCCAACCAACATCCCCCAGGGTTCCAACTTTTTGCGGGGTATGGTATGGTAGTCTCGCGGCCCAAAGGGTGGGGGGGTATGGTCCTGACCGCCCATCCCCGGTCTCCGGGAGGCTGGGTCTGTCAGCAGACGGGGGTATGGTCTCGAAAAGGGTTGGCCGAAGTACCATACCAAACGCCCGCAAGAAGTCCGAACCCAGGCAAGAGGAGCCCACCCACAGCCGGCGCGCTCCGCGCGCGCAACATCTCTAGCGCCGGTAGTCGTAGGCGTCACCAGTCACATTGTGCGGAGCTCATAGTCCTTTCGTTCGACTTCGAGCCCTCGACTGAAGTAACGCGTCCTACATGCTGCCGCCATCGCTGCTTGCCGCCTCCGAAGACCTCATCCGCATCCCTTACGGAGCGGGCAGCTCGTCGAGCGAGGTTGCGACTGTCGATGACGTGATTGCCGGCGCCGCGCTGCTGAGGCGGGAGGCGTGTGCTCGCGCGGCTGCGCTCCGGTCCGGCTCGGCTTCCGCCGACGAGTCTGAGCAGGAGGCTGAGGAGAGCGAGGATGAGCAGCAGCAGTGGCTCTCGCTGCGCGTTCGACGCCCGGCGGCGGCGGAGGTGGCGGGTAGCATTGGCGGGAAGCTGTGGGACGCCTCCCTTCTCATGTCGGCGTGGCTGCTGGAGAACCCGAGCTTGCTGCAGCCGGCGGGCTGCCGCACCCCGCGGGTCCTCGAGATCGGCGCCGGGCTCGGCCTGGTTGGGCTCGCAGTCGCGCGAGCACTGCCCGACGCCCGCATCACAATGTCCGACTACGACCCGGCTGTCACCTTTGCCGCCTTCGCCGCCGTCGCAAAAAACAAAATCGCACCTCGCCGGCACCGACCAGCCCCCCGACCAGCCCCCGGTGCAGGAGCCGTACGACCGCTCACCAAGCATGAAGCGCATGTCCGAGGACGCGATGAGCGAGCGGCTGGCGATGGTGCAGCGGCTCGTGGCGCAGCCGGTTCCTTCCTCCGATCCCGAGCCCTCCTGGATCGGCAACTCCATCTTTGTCGGCAACAAGCACCACGCCGCCGACGTGGCGCAGCTGTGCCGACTGGGAGTGACGGCCGTCATGAACTGCGCGCCGAGCGGCATTCGTGGCCTGCCGATCAACGACTACCGCGAGAGAAGCATCTCGTACTCATTCACGAACGTCGCGCAGGACGCTCACACCTATCCGATTCTGCACACGAGTCCCGAGGGCGCCCACAGCGAGCACCTCGAGGCCGCCGACGCCTTCTACCAGAGCGTCCTCTCCTCGGGCGGAAAGGCAATGTTCTTCTGCGTGGCCGGCCAGAACCGGTCGGCGGCGCTCGCCGTCGCGGTGCAGCTGCTGCACGGCACATCGCTGGAGGAGGTGCTGCAGATCTGCCACCGCACGCGCCCCTTCATGCTCGAGAACGTCGGCTTCCAGAGGCAGCTGATCGAGCTCGAGACAGCCCAGAGCGGCCAGGTCCACCCCGCGTCCTCGATGAAGCTCGCGCGGCCGAAGCCGCTCTTGGCCACGAGCTCGGGGCCCTTCAGCGCCAGGTCCGAGGTGGTCGTGGAGCTGCTGGTGCCGGGGCTGCGCGCCTTCAACGTCGCCGTCAAGGCCGAGAGCACGATAGAGGAGCTGCGGGCGACGCTGACGGCGCGGGTCAACGAGCACATCGCCTCCGACGAGGGCGCGACGAGCGGCTCGAGCCAGGGCGGCGGCGACCTCGTCGTGGGCAAGGTAGCACGACACGCAGACCACACCTCTCCATGACCCACTCTTGGACCTGCTCGTGCTCTCCCCTCGTCCCTCTCAAGGCGTGGCTCGTCCTCACCTGCTTTGGGGTCGGGCCCGAGCTGGGCCTGCTGCTCGAGGAGGTGCCCGAGATGGCACCGAGGTTGCTCGAGATGACACCCGAGATTGCCCGAGATGCGTCGCCCCTCTTCCCCGGCCCAGGCGGTGGTGGAGGAGGCCGTCCTCTTCAGCCACCTGCGCAACGCCTTCCACCTCGAGACGGCGGAGGTCGGCGGCTGCGTGCGCTGGAACAGCTCCTGCCGCTTCGAGCTGATCGTCTTCAGCCTCGAGTCTGCGACGCGCGAGCATGTCCCGTTCAGCTTCCGCCACCAGGAGCGCGAGGGCGCGCCGGGCACGCTGCTCGCGGAGAGCATCATCGAGCCGCACCTGCGCGCGTGGGACTTTGTGACCGGCGAGGCGTACCGTTCCAAGACTCCGATGGTCTTCAGCTACGCCGACGACTCGCGGAGCAAACGCGACTTCATGAACATCTCGACGAGCAGGCACGGGAGATATGGGGAGATATGGGGAGAGACTGCTTAGACTTCATGGACATCTCGACGAGCAGGCACGGGGAGCGGCAGCAGTTCAGCGCGCCGGGCGAGGGCGGTATCCTCGGCATGGGCAACAACGCGATCGTGCACCGCGTCGACCTCGTGCTCGCGAAGCCGACCGGCCCCGGCGCGAGCCCGGGCGTGTCGAGCGCCAACAACTCTGTGAGCTCGACGCGCAGCGCCATGTCGATGATGGGACGCGCCATGTCGTTCGACTCGCTGCTGGGCGCCGAGGCGGAGCAGCGCTGGGACGCGGCCGTCAAGCGCGCCTTCTCTCTCAACAAGATGCTGGCCGCGATGGAGAGCAAGGCGGAGGCGGGGGTGGCCAAGCGGCTGCGACTGGCCGGCGCGCTCAACCGCCACGGGAGGTTGTTGGATACCCTCCCCCTCGCTCTCCCCCCCATCCCGAACACAGCCACTCCCCCCCCCCCCCCTCCCCCTCCCACAGGCTCTTGTACTTCTACGGCCTCGGCATCGCCCTGGCGAGCAACATTGAGGACCACGACGTGTACCACTTCGAAATCACTTTGCTGAGCCAGTACCAGTCCGACTTTTCCAGCTACACGCTCAAAAAGTTCATGGACGAGTACACGGCGCTGGTGCCCGAGGCGGGCGAGGCGGGGAGCGAGTCCGAGCGGACCCGCACGCTGCAGGATCAGTTCACGATTCTAAAGGTGAAAATCCTTCTCGTGAGCTTGCTCAACGCGTTCCGCGACCTGACGCTGATGGGCGTGCAGGCATTCGACTTCAACCACTTGAACAACGTCCTCATCTCGCGGGACTACAAGAATGCGAGGCTAATCGACATCGACGGCGCGTCGAAGGGCTCCATCCAGTTCCCGTCCAGATACATCGGCGGCGATGCGTCGGAGGAGCCGCGGAGCGACGACCCGCACAAGCCAGCCCTCGATGTCGACCTGTGCACGCTGCTGCCCGAGGTGGTGCAGCAGCTGCTGTTTGGTAAGGGGCGCGGCAAGCCCTTTGTCAACCAAAAGGTGTCCGAGGTGAGGCGCGCAAAGTCGGACGACGAGGCCAAGGCCTTGATAAAGCAGGTCCTGCAAGAGAACTTCTTCACCGCCGTCTTTGACGACGCCAAAGGCGCTAGCGGGACGCACTCTGGCGGCACGCGCGACAGCACCTTGATGGCGCGCATGCCCACTCGCGATGTCGCCAACAAGCACCTGCATAAGGTCAGGCCGCCGCCCTCGCCGCCGCCGCTGGTCCCGCCGCCGCTCCCACCGTTCCCACCGCCCATTCTCACCGCCACCCTTGCCGAGGTCGTGCCCCCATCGCTCACCGCGCTTGCGTGACTCTAACAGGTTGTCGAATGGCTCCACGCGGTGCTGCTGAGGCGAAGCCCATGGAAGACGTGGACCAACGACGTGTACGACGCCATCCGGTGCATCGACCACTTGCCTATCGCCTGACTCATATTGCGTCTACGCTGTGTTGTGTGTGCCGTCCACTGTGTTTGCGTTTTCTGGGCCCAGAATTTCTCTGGGTGCGCTCACAAGACTCAAACACACTGATATATCACTGCACAGAGTTTTTCTCTCGCGCGCCATGCGGACAACCCCCCATCCCCCAAGTCCCAAAACGCCGCCACGCCCACGGCTCGTACTATCTTTTGCAGACAGCCGTCGGTTTCGGCGGAAAGCGCCCAACCCTGCGCCCCCCCGGGCGCAGAGAGCCGCACCCCTCGGCCCGGGACCCGCCCTTTCAAGTCTCATACTGCTCTCCCCCCGCTTCCCGCTTCTCACCCTCTTCTCCTCGCGCCCCCCCGGCCCTCGTGGCGGGCCGGGCGTTTGTGTCGCACGAACGCGATGGCAGCGCGCGACCCACCTCTGCGCGACCCAAGGTGGCCCGCCTCACTCGTTGTCGTCGGCGTACAGGACGGGGTCCTACAGTGAGGGAGATGCTCTCACACTCCAGAGAGATTGCGGGCGCCACGTCCACCTCTCTGGGGGCCCGCAGCGTCTCACCATCTGCCGGAGGATGAGCCGCCGGTCAGCCTCGCCGCGCTTGTACACCTCCCTCTCCCACGGCTCTTCGGGCCTGAGCGGGCACCCTCGGGCCTTAGCACTTTCCACCCTCCTCTAGCTCCCGTCTCCGACGCTAGACTTGCGCGCCCGACGTGACGCTTGACGCCAGAGTGCGCGCAGCTGGCCCCGCCCAGAACCATGTACGCACGCCTGCAGCCATGCGGACGGCTGAGGCGTCGTCTGGGGACTTGGCGAGCCAAGACAAAATTTCCAGCCACGGGGCCGATGACCTGCTGTCGAGGCGGTGGAAGCGGCGCCGCGAGGTCGGCGGCCGGCCGTAGCCCCCGATGGCTGGTTGGGGCGATGACGCTGAAGGCTGCACCCTCGTTGCCGGAGAATTCGCCCCCGAGCCCTGCTCTCCACCGGGCGGGGTCTCGGCGTCATCGAAGAGGTCCTCCTTTGCAATCGGCCGGTTGTAGAGCGAGCCGCAGGAGCTCGCTGCAAAGCTCGGCGAGGGGGACGGCGCGCGAAAAGGCTGGCGGTGGGCTGCGGCAGACGCATTGATCGGGTCGAGGGCGACGCGCCTAATGGTCTCGCAAGGGTCATAATTGTCGTCGAATCAACGGGTCGTCGCAAAAGCACACTGCATCGGCGCCTCTGCTGCGGCTGCGGCGGCCGCTCCATGTGTTGCCGCCTGTCGCTGTCCGCGGTTGCGGGCCGGATCCCAAAGAAGCCTGCGCCGGAGCGGGGCGGCCGCGGGCTGTGCGCCGGCGCTCGGCGCGCCAGACCCATGCGCGGCGAGCTCGCGGGCTGGAGCGGACCGCCTGTGGGGAAAGAAGGAGTCGGCCGTCTAGGCTCTGTGTGGGCAAGCAAGGCAGGATGGCAACGCGCCGCGTGACGCCAGCGGGAGAGCCGCCAAAGGGACGGATGGCGAAGGCTGAGCCGTTGCCTGCAAGCCAAAACGTTGATTCTGAGTCTCTCCATGATGCTTGTGGTCTTGCCTCTGGAGCCACAAGGGGCGGGCCGCACCGTCGGCGGGCTCGAGCAAGGCGGTGAGCAAGCGACCAGGCGGTGGCGCTGGAAGAGGCCAAAGACCTCCTCTTGTGTGCGCTTGAGGCGAGCCCCCAGTCGCTCCTGGTGGGTTGGCGGTCCGGCTGTGACAGAGCGGCGTAAGGGTGTGGCCGCGAGCAGAGCGGCCGCACCTCGAGAGTTTGCAGCTCCTCGCGGCGCTGAGCGTCGAGGGCGTGCATCTCCTCGTTGTGTCGCTGCTGGCCGCGCTTGAGCTCGGCGTTCTCGCCTGAGAGGAGGGCAGCACCGCGCTCAGGCTGTCGCGACGCGGCAGGGCAAGGCAAGCCACCAGCGGCGAGGCGCGCCGTTGAGCGCCTCAATCGTTCCCGCCATTTCGCGCACCTGGTGACGGTGGGAGGGTGTGTTGCGGCGAGGAGCATATCTGGACGTCGTGCTGATTTCGCGCCTTGCCCTCGAGCTGACGCATCGTCTCGTCCCGCTCGGCCTGTGGCGGAGGAGGCGGCGAGGCGGGCGGCGCGTCAGCACACGTAGGGAGTCGAGGCGCTTTGTCAAAGGGGCACAACATTCGCAGAGCCCTCGCAGTGCACCTGCTGACGCAGCAGCGACTGCACAAGGCCGCCGTCCGAGAGCGAGGGGGTCGCTGCGGGCGTGCGAAACGGCGCGCTCGGCTTTGGGAAGCGGCCAAGCACAGCACCGTCCTGGCTGCTGCACTGTGATAGGCTGCCGGCCGAGCGCTGCGAGGCGCCGGCATCACCGTGAGCACTCGCGCCCGCGCGGGCCGCGAGCTGGTACGCGTCGGGGCGTGCGGCCGGCATCGGCGGCGGAAGCCCGAGCGCGGCCGGCCCGAGCTCGTACTTGCTGTTGGCGGCATGTGGGGCGGGGCTTTTTAGCGTATTTAGCGGCTGCCGTCGCGGGCGGGCTTGCAGCGCGATGGGGACTGCGGATGCAGTACTTTTTTGGCTGCGGGATCAGGCTCGGCGGGAGGCGGGGCGACGTTACCTGGGGCCGAGGAGGCGGCAGGCGGTCGCCATTGACATTTTGCCGGTCGTCCTTTGGTCGAGAGGGTCGAGAGTGGGTGCAGGAGATTTACGAGGTGTGTGAACAGCGTCTCGCCCAAAAAACCCATCTGACAGGCACTTGTGCTGCGGCTTGTGTGAGCGACACTGCTCGACGACTGCCGGCACACTGTGATACCAGGGCCAATGTGGCCTCAGGGCTCCTCTGTGGATGGCAACACTTGTCTACTCGCTGGAGCGAGCAGGAGGGCCCGGCGCACAACCCCTGGTCAACTCACCCTCCACACCCCGTAATTCCATGTTTCATTACAGCCGCACTTGGAGCACTTGGAGTGCAGTCGGTAACCTCACATCCAGGGCTGGGGGGCTAAAGAAGCACACCCAGCGGGCCAGATGATCGGCATCGGGTTACGGGCTAGAGAGCCCTAGCCCTGGGGGGTGCGCGTTCGCAGGGAAAGGGCCGTAAAGTAAACACGGGTCTCCGAGGGTTGGCTCCGCGTACCGGGTTTCCCCTTAACTGCAGGACGCGCCCTCTACTCGGAGCTAATAGACACAACACTTGCTGCACACCACTCTCCCGTACAGACACCTGCTTAGACCCTCGTCTCGGGGCTCACCGACCGTCCTCCCGGGGCTCCGGTTCTCCCCCCTTCGCGCTCGCTTGCTCGTCAGCCGAGCAACATGCGACAGCCGCTGTGGCCGTTTCACCCTCGTTGTTGGTGTCGCTTCCTCCGATGCTGCCGATTATCGCCCCTTTTTTCACCCGCTGAGTTTTTAAATCTCAGCGCCTGCAATTACCCCCCTGCGTGCCGTGTCCTGCCCTGCCGTACTGAACCCTCCACCGCTCCAGTCCGTCCTCCGTCGAGCCTGCGCCTCGCCAGTCCTCTGCGCTCTGGCTGTGTGGCTCTGTGTGCCTCTCTCTCGCGCAAGTCGCGCAGTCTGAGAGAGTGTGAGAGACCACTCTCCTGTTCTCGATCTCCTCTGTTGGCTACAAGCAAACCAAGGCTGCGGCTTTACTGCCTGCACCGCTCACTTCTGCACTCTCGTTCATACATACGTCTCAGAACACAAAAAAAGAAAAACAGCGCATCCCCGCAGTCACCGACCTCTAAGCGAGAGGCTAGAGCCTCACGAACTGCTCGGCGCCGGAAAAGGCGGGCTGGGTGAAGCCGTACTTTTCCAGGATCGCGGGTGGCACGAAGCGTCCGCCGAGGTAGTGCCGCCCGTCAAAGTGGGCAGCGCACGCCTTTGGCGCGGTGAGCGAGATGAGCACCGCGGGCCGGAGGTCGTCCGCGCCGCCGGCAGGGCCGCTGTCGACGTCCCAGCCCGATGGCACGTCGACCGAGACGAGCGGCAGCGTCGACGCGGCCATCGCCGGCAGGATGGCGTCGAAGGGCGCGCGGAGTGAGCCGGGCTTGAAGGAGAAGCCAAACACGCAGTCGAGGAGCATGTGGTGCGCCTCGTCGGCGCCGGGTGGCATCGCGTCCAGCACTGGGATGCCGAGCGCACCGACCTGCGCCGCGAGGTTGACAAAGAGAGGCTTCTGCGACCGCTTTGGGTAGATGATTGTTGGGCGGTAGCCAAAGTGCCAGAGGTGCCGCGCCGCCACGAGGCCGTCCCCGCCGTTGTTGCCCGGCCCGCAGACCACGAGAGGCCGCGGGTGCGAGCTCAGCGGGAAGGCGTCGGCCAAGGCCGCGGCCACCGACAGGCCGGCGAGCTCCATCAGGCTGTCGACAGAGAAGGACTCGAATAGCTCCTCGTCGACCGCGGCCGCCTCTGCGGCGGAGAGCAGCCTGCCACACGCCGCGCTGGCGCCGCTCGAGGCCATGCGCGCAGCGGCTGGATGAGATGGCACCGTCTGGAGCGAGAGCGGGCTGCGGAGGAGCAGCGCGAGCATCCACGGGAGGCTAGCGGGCCCAGCGCGAAGCGAAGCGCCTGGCCTCGTTGTTTTTCTTTTGGGGCCGCCGCAATTATTTTCGCGGTTCCAATTCTTTTCTTCGACCAAGGTGGCTGCAGCGCCGGAGCGCGAGACAGCGTCTGAACCTGCCTGCGAGCTGCAGGAGCACAAATGCTCTCACGTGCGCGAGAGCGCGCCAACGCGCAGCTGGCTGTGCTTGCGGACCGCGTCGACGACCGACTGGACCGGCTGGCCTCCCTGGGCGAGCGAGTCAGCGGGACGCCGTCGAAGCCGGGCGCGCTGCCGCTGGCGTCGCCCGTGCCATCCTCACCTGCACCAGCGCCGACGCCATCGCCTCGGCCGGCGACCGACCCGGCGGCAGCGAAGGCTTTCGAGAGCGTTCCCAAGGCGGAGCTGATCGCGCTGCTCGCCAAGACCAACTCGAGGTGAGCCCAGCCCCGTTCACCTTGCACCGGTCCCGCTTCGGCACGCAACGCTGTCGACGCTCGCGCGCTGCTCTGTCGTGCAGGTGTCGCTCGATGGAGGCGCGGTACGCCGAGCTGCAGTCGCTGCACAGCGCGGTGCTCGAGGAGAAGCGACAGCTCGCCGCGTCGCGCGGCCGTCCCTCGCGCGCTTCTGCGGCGGCCAACGGCGCGACGAGCGGCGAGGGCGGCGCGGGCCTGGAGCGGCAGCTGGTGGAGCGAGAGCTGCGCGCGCAGTACGAGGACCGCGTCACCGAGCTGGAGGAGGCGGTCGAGGCGTCGAGCTCGATCAAAAAGTCGCTCCAGGCCGAGGCTAGTCGCGCAGCAGCCTCGCTGGCGGAGAGCAGGGCAGCGCGCGACGAGGCGACGGCGACGGCGGCGCGCGAGGCGGAGGCGGCGGCTGAGAGCCGCGCGGCGGCGGCCGAGGCCGGGCGGGCGGCGGAGGCGGCGCAGCGCGCCCTCGAGAGCGCTCGCGCGAGCGCCAAGCGCGAGGAGAGGGCGCTTCTCGACCGGCTGACGGCGCTGCAGGGCGAGCTGGCGGCGGCGAGGGGAGGAGGAGGAGGCGGCGGCGGGGGAGGTGGAGAGGGCACGGCGGCGGCGCTGCGCGATCAGGCGGAGGAGCTGCGGCGGCACCACGAGCAGAAGGCGGCGAGCGCGGCGGCGGAGGCGGCGGCGGCGGCGGAGGCGGCGGCGGGCCGCGAGCGAGCGCTCGCCGGGGAGAGGGACGCGGCGCGCAAGGAGGCGGAGGGTCTGCGGGGCGAGGTGGCGAGGTGGGGGCAGGAGAGCGCGGCGGCGGCGGCGGCGGCGGCGAGCACGCGCGAGGAGCTCGCCGCCAAAGAGAAGGCGCTCGGCCGCGCGCTGACCAACTACCGCGAAGAGGCGCTCTCGTGGGTCACGGGGGGGGAAAGGGGTAGTGCCGCCCCTCCGTGGCCACTGCCTGACCCCGGCGCTGCTCCTGCCACAGGTGCTCCGGTGGGGCGACAAGCTGCAGGCGGTCGAGGCGCAGAGGGCGGCGGAGGCGGCGGCGGCGGAGGCCAAGGCGCGGGACGCCGAGGCGGAGCACGAGCGGCGCGAGGCGGAGGCCGAGGCGCTGGCGGCGCAGGCGGCCGAGGAGGAGCGAGAGCGCCACGCCGCCGCACTCGAGGCGGCGGCCGCCGACGCCGCCGCCGAGGTTGCGTCGTGGCGCGCGCGGCTCGAGGCGGCCGAGCGGCGCGGCGCGGCGGGCGTGCAGGCGGCTGAGCGCGGCGCCAAGGAGAGCGGCGACGAGTGGCGCGCGCCTAGGACATGTCTAGGAAGTGTCTAGGAAGTGTCTAGGAGAGCGGCGACGAGTGGCGCGAGGAGGACACGTCGGTGGCGGGTGGTGGTCACACGTCCGTGACACGTCCATGACACGCGCCTCAGGCGGTCGCGGCTCGAGGAGGAGCGGCTCGCGGGCAGGGACCGGCTGCTGAACGCGGAGCAGGAGGCGCTCGCCTCCAGGCAGGCGGCGGCGCGGCTCGAGGCGCGCGCTGCGGGGAGGGAGGGGGAGGGCGGGCCGTCGGGCGCGGCTCGCGCGGTCGGCTCAACGCCGCGGGTTGTGTTAGGCGGAGCGTGACGAACTCGCCTCGCGACTCGACGCGGTGCAGAAGGAGCTCCTCATGAAGACGGAGCACTCGACCGCCGTCCAGTCCAAGGCGCGTTCCGCCCTGAGCAGCGCGTCGGAGCACGAGGCGATCGTCGCGCGGCTCGAGGCGAAGCTGCGCCAGTCCGAGGCCGAGTACCGGTCGGCCCGCTCCGTGCGCGCATCGCTCGAGGCGGAGCTCTCCGCCGCGCGGCAGCAGCTCGCAAAAGGGCGCGAGGCGGAGGCCGAGGCGGCGCGGCGGCGGGGGGAAGAGCGCGACCAGGCCGAGGCGGCGCTGGCGGAGGCGCGCGGCGAGGCGGAGGCGTTGCGGCGGGCGGCGGGCGCGGCGGAGAGCGCGCGCGCGGAGCTGCAGTCGAAGCTCGACGCGGCGACCCGCCGGCGCGACGACGACGCCGCGGCGCACAGGGGTGCGCTGCAGCAGCGGGAGCGGCGCGTCGCAGAGCTCGAGGGCCAGCTCGATACGGGGAAGCCGTCCGAGGCTGCGATGTTCAACATTGCGCGCGACCAGGCGGGGGGAGGGCGCGAGGCGGGCGGCACAGCCACGGCACGTCCATGACCCGTCCGTGGCCCTTTGTCCCCAGGCCAAGCGCGACGCCGAGGCGGACAAGCTGCGCGCGCAGCTCGCCTCGCTGCGCAAGATGCTCAAGGAGTCGCACCGCGTGCTCTCGCACCTGATGAAGCAAGAGTCCGCCCTCAAGGCTGAGGGCCGGGGATTGCGAGCGAGATACCGCGACTCGTCACTCTCAGAAGAAGAGGCGGCGCACCACAGGCGGAGCTGGCCGTCACGCGACGCGACCTCGAGCGGCAGCAGGGCCTCAACGCCGTCTACCTCAAGAACGTGACCCTCGCATTCCTGCTCGCCGTCTATGGCGACGCCGACGACGAGGAGCACACACCTGCCTCGCGAGGGCATGTCCTGGACACGTCCACGACACGCCCGAGACATGTCCCGTAGGAGCACATCCGCCTCGCAAGGGTGCTGGGCACGGTGCTCTCCTTCTCGCCCGAGGAAACGGCCAAGGTGGAGGCGCGGATCGCAGAGTATTCGGAGTCGTGGTGGGGCGGCCCCGCGAGCCTGCTGCGCGACTCGCAAGCCGACGGCTACGCCGGCCTCACGGGCAGTCTCACCGAGACCATCACGGCGCTGCCCACCGCACTCAGCTCGTGGTTCTGGGGCGGCGGCACCGCCGCGCCCGCAGCAACATCGTCGAGCTCGTCGGCGCGGCCAGCCCTCGCCTCCCTTACTACGCCCGGCCGACCGTGAGGCGGCGCACTTTTCATACAATAGATACGTTTTTAGAATTGCAACGAAAGGACGTGGCGAGTCGAGAGCGCCCCTATCTCGCTAATCGTTGCTGTGCGTGTGGGCTGTGGCAATGGGGAATGGCCATGGGGCGCGCGCATGGGGGAAGACACTGCGCTGTGTCCCGCAGACTCCCCAGTGAACAGCGGTCAGCGCGCAGCGGCCAGCGCCCTAGGAGGTATCTTCTTCTCAATAACAAGGTCTGAGAGAGAGATTTTTGAAAACCAACACAAGAAATCACGACTCTCACAGTGATTTGGGCTCGGCAGCTTGTCAGCCCTCAGCCGAAGCTGGGGCCGGTCCCGTAGCCGAGAGAGCCCGCGCCGTTGAGTTCGACGCGGTCGGGGGGCCTTGCGGAGAGGCCAGCGAGTTGGCGATCGCTGTACTTCATGGTGTCATCAAGTGACCGCGACTGACAAGCCAGAGGTCGATACTCTGGACGACCCATAGGATGCCACGAATGCCTGAAGGAGAGGGAGGCGAGGCCAGAGGCAGACTCAGCTGCTCTCGGGTGATCTCGCTTTGGTGGCCGAAGGACCCGATGGTCCTGTCACATTCGCGTTCCGAGTCGTGGGGGTAGAAGATTGCGGGGGGGCATCGAGTCAGCACTTCCTTGTACAGCGGACCGCCAGGCTCGCCGGCAGCATCCGCAGGGAGGCAGCATATCAGGCACCAGTTTTCTGGAGTGCTCAGCAGCTGCGGCCGCGGTGGCAGAGTCGGCCGCGGTTCGAGCGAGCAGCTTTTGGCTGCGGGATCGCGCGTGTGCGAAATGCGACAACAGACGACAGACGACAGACGACAGACGGGAAAGCGCTGAGCGACTGAACGACCGTCGCCGCAGTCGACACCGCCGCCATTTTGACGAGCAGCGCGAGCGCGCTCGTCGGCGGCCAGCCGTCGCGGGCCGGGCCGAGCCCGGCCTCAAACGGCCGCGCCGCCGCAGCAGGCCCGGAGGCCCACATGGCGGCCGACCAGCTGATAAGGTGCTTCTCCAAATGTCTGTGAAGAGGAGCCTTACTTACACGCAGTACGTGTGCAGTCCCGGTCGGTGTAGCGGTGTTGCGGGGGTCATTCCGCGCGAGCGAGAGCCGAAGCCACGCCCGACGTTTGTGCCCGAGAACCGGACGCTGCTCCGCAAGACCGTCAGCGGCGGCGAGGACCCGAAGCTTGTCGCGCTGGCCAACGGCTCGATCTACGGCCCGTTTGCGCTCACCTTCAGCTCCCTCCCTCCGACGGAGACGCGGCCAGGGTGCCACCAGACGGGCCGCTCCGTCTCGCAGATGTTCATTGCCGCAGACGGTCTGCGCGTCTCTGCGGGAGGGGCGGCGGTCGCCTCGAGGCTCGACTGCGGCTGGACGCGGATTGCGGAGAAGAACTGGATCGCCTTCACGCACGAGGGGCAGCTGCACTACGTCTACTCAGTCGTCCCGCACGTGGTTGTCATCGCGCGCGCCGCAGACGGCGCGTGCCAGCGGCGCTACTCGACGTCAGCGTCGGCGCCGCTGAGCGCGCTCGCGCAGGCGGAGGGCGTGCGGGTCCACGGCTCGGCCACAGCGCTGCCGTATACCAACGGCACGTACCTCGCGCTCTTCCACTCGCTCCTCGAGGGCAAGTACGTCACCTTCGCCTACAAGTTCGCAGCCGCGCCGCCCTTTCCCGTCGTCGCTGTCTCGCGCGCGCTGCCGCTCCCTCGCTCGGCGCGGAGCTTCCCGAGCGGCCTCGCGCTGCCGCCTGGCTCGGACAAGGTGGTGGTGAGCTACGGCCACGCCAACTCGGAGTCGCGCGCGCTGGTCATGTCGCTGCACCACCTCGAGTCGCTCTTTGACTGGTGCGGCGAGGCGGAAGCGGCGTGACGTGTGCGTGAATTGTACGTAGCTCCGTACGTTACTCTGTGCCCCGCTCTCCCTGTAGTATACCGGGCTGTACGTAACGAAGAGAGACCATCAGCATAGCCGCGCCGCGAGATCCTCGCCGCTCGCGGCGGCCGAGGCAGTCTGACATGCGTGATGTGGGGGAGGAAGGCGATGCCCCCTCCCCTCCCCACAACCCCCGACACACACGACACACAACACAGCGAGTCAGCAAACAATCACGATGCACCACCTTCTAGTGCCACCAGCCTTCTAGCGCGCCACGATGCACCAGCCTTCTAGTGCCAGGCTGAGCGCGCAGCGCACGTACAGAGAGAGAGGAGGAGTGCGCGAGGCGAGAAATCTCCTCTCCCCTCTGGTCATATGTCGGCCCTCTTCGCTCTTGTGGCGCAAATTGCGACCTGCATGTTACGTGCGTCAGACCAAGGAAGTTGTCTCCCAAATACGTGTGTGTCTCGCGCCTTGCGGGGGGGGAGCGGAAAGGAGGAACCTCTTCCCAAGAGCACCACTCTTGGAGCGCCGCCACTACCACCCAGAGCGCTGCAAGCAGCGCCGGGCAATGACGGCTTACCGCCCACCCAGCCCCCCCTCGGCACACCCCGGCAGCCAATGTGTGACGGCTCGAACCCGCTAAGCCATCCCGCAAGCGGGATAGCCCGCCACTCGAACCCGCAAGCGGGCGTACGAACCGCGAGCGGCTCGCACTCGTGACACGCAGGCGTCCGCCAGACGGCGCCGGGGCTAGGCGACCGAAGAGGAACTACGGCAAGAACCGCACACCACCCGCTGACGAGCGCTCGCGGAACTGGTCCGCGGCGCCCGCCAGGGGCGTGTGTGTGTGTGTGTGTGTGTGTGTGTGTCTGAGTGTGTGTGTCTCGCGCTTGCGGGGGGGGAGCGGTGGTGCTACTACTCATCATACGGCTGGTCGCCTCGCCATTCCTCGAAGCGAACTCGCAGCACTCACACCATCGCGGCTGATGCACAGTCCTGGTGTGCAGTCGTCTGCACGAGAGTCGAAAGAGAGGCGCCGCACTCTCAGCTCAGCTGTCCTCCCCTCGCATCTCGTTTATGGTAACATCTTCTCTAAATGCTCGCTTGTGGTATACCTCTGGTCTTCATTGGATATTGCTCTCCGATCGTGCCACGTGCGTCCTCACGTCGGTCGCCCTTACCGGCCGCCGCTCTACCCGCCGCTCGAGCGCCGCCGCCGCAACCACTTCTCAAGCTCGAGCGTCGCCTGCGCTTCCTTGACCCGGCGCTCCATCTTCTCCTCTGAAGTCTCCTTCCTCTGATAGCCCTTGGCCTTATTCTGGCTCAGTATCATTTCGCGGGGGTACGTCTTGCCCTTTTGCAAGCCGCCCCGGACCACCGCAGCCTCTGCCCACGAGCCATGCTTTTCGATTTCTTTGTCAGTGATCTCCTGCATCACCCCGTCGAGCGCCACCATCGCGGCCGCCAGCTCCACCTGCTGGCGGTCGTACAGCTTGGGCACCTCCTCCTCGTCAGCCTTGCCAGTGAACTTCGCAGCGCGCAAGCTCTCCTTCACAGTCTCTGAGTTCTGCCAGTGGCCCTCCGGCTCGGTCGGTTCATCTAGGCTCGAGATGACGTACACTTTGGCTCGGCACTTCGAGACATCTGCGAGGATCTCCTTCGCCTCAGGAAAGGCGTTCGACCTCACCTCAGCCTCGAAGCTGATGGCCTCCTCCATCACGCACCACCCGCGGTCGTGGTACGGACGCGCGTTGTACTCCGCGAACACCTTCGCCTCGCCGAGAGATGCAGTGTCCAAGGCGAGGGCGCGTTCGATGACTCGATCATCCATGGTTCGATCGTATCGTACGGTGATCGCTCCCGCTGTCCGCTCCACAGACGTGACCACCCCAGCCGGCGAGAAGCATGCCCGTATGCCCTGCTCAGTGCATGGTGACTTCTCATCCTCGAGCACCACCAGACTCCGGCTCAGCTCGTCAGGACACTCGGGGATCTCAATCATCTGCAACACGCACGTGCCCAGCGGTGAGGCGTAAACTCTCGTCATAATGTCGAGAGCTTCCTTGAAAGTCTGTTGCTCGGTGGCGGTGCGTGGCTTCTGAGGGAGGCTCCCAAAATCCCAGAATAAGCACGCGTTCGTGGGCAGCTGCCCGCGCGAGGCGAGTCCACGGAAGAAGCGCTGCAGCGTACGGATGCGGACTCCTTTCGGATCAGGATGCTTCGCTGTGAGCCATCCGTAGCTGCACGCAAAAACTCGACGATCGCCCTTGTAAAGCGCCCTGCACGCTGACATGCCATCGAGAAAAGCGCCAAGAGTCTCCAACTCTTGCATTCTCGGTAACACGTAATCTAACTCGAGCTCGAGCAGCCAGGCCACGGAGATGAGGCGGATGATCCCACGACGAATCGCTTCTGCGAGCTCTGTGTCGAGTTCTCGCAGGTTCTCGAATATGGCTTTGCGCTTCTTGATATCTTGTGCCGTATCCCACTTGGGACCGACTCGATCCGTGCGACCAACGCAAGCATTGCCCATCGGACCGCCGCGCGGGTTTTCTCCGAAACGCAAGAGAGCTTGCTTGTGGCCGGCTGGCGTTGGGCGGCTTGGGCGAGCCGAGCCCACGACGGCTGACTTGACAACTTTCGTTTCGAACCGCTTTCGTAACAGAAGTTTGTCGTCCCGAGAGTTTTGAAGAAACAAACTAACCGAGAGTTTTGAAGAAACAAACTAACCGAGAGTTTTGAAGAAACACAGCCGGACGGGGGCAAGTCCCGAAACAGACGAGCATAGCAGGTCACGGCAGACGCGAAGAGTGGCGGCACCAGGGCGCGGGCGCGTCCGACCGAGGCGCGTATAGAAGCCCGTTTGGCGGCGGGCAAGGCAGGCGCAAGGGGCAAGCCCCCCCCCCCCCCCCCCCGAAAAACAGAGCACGTGGAGAGCCTACTGTCTGAATTCGCGGAGCGAAGAAAATTTTATACGGAATACGTCCATTTTTGGAGCTTGGAATACGGCGTATTCCATGGAATACGTGGAATACGGGTGGAATACGGGTGGAATACAGGCCTCTGGGAGGTCATTTGGAATACGTGGAAAACGTATTCAGACAGTAGGGTGGAGAGTCGGAGCACCGCGTGTGTGGGAAAAGCACGAGACGCTCGAGAGCCGAGAGGCTAGAGGTCTCGAGCTAGAGAGGTGCGCCCGTTTGCGTTTCGTGCGAAGTGCCGCACCCGAGATGCCGGGAGAATCGCCTTTCACACCTAGTCCTAGATGGTACTACGCGGCCGGGTTAGTACTACGATACGACACCGCTGACCCGCTGCGTATGCGTATGGCCCCCTCTATAGCCTTATCGTGGCAGGCCGCTAGGCCGCGTGGGTTGGCACTTGGAGGACTTGTTGTGTTTGCTTTTTTATGCGACTTTGTTTTTTTATGCGACGCGCGCCGCCGCCGGACCGCCTCGCGGGAGTCGCTTAGCGTTAGCTCCAGAACCATGGCGTTCCTCGGTGAACTCAGCGTTGCTCTGCTCTGCCTCCTGATCGTCTACTTCCTGTGCGTGCGGGACCGCAAGCGCTTGCCGCCGCTCGCGACGGAGAGCATGTTTACAACAATCGCAGCATTGACGACCAGCGATGCGCCCTGGTTCGTGCTGAGCCTGGCTCAAAAGTACCCTGGCCGCGTATTCAGGATGCGTGTACCGCAGTGGAGGCCGTGGGTAGTCATCGCGGACGGGCCGACGGCGCGTGCGGTGCTGCGAGCAAGGGCCGCTGACAAACCATCCCTCTACTCCAACTTCGATGGCATGACCGCGGGCTGGGCAAGCTTCTTCACCTCTCCCGATGGGCCGCGGTGGGAGCATGCTCGGAAGGGGGTCTCTCACGCGTTCACCAGCTCGCTCATCCGGGACAAACTTGACGCCCTTCAATCGTGCGCTGCGCTCGGCCTCCGGCTCGACGTGCTATCAGCCTCTGGCGAGGAGTTTGATGCCGCACAGCTAATGATCGAGTTGATGATCGACGTGCTGGGCGAGACAGTGCTGGCGGGGTTTGACTTTGGAATGCTGCGTGGCGGCGGCGATTCCTCAGGTATGGGGCTGCGGTTTCTCGAGGCGGTCGAGCCGGCGCTAATCGAGTACGCCCTAAAGCGCACAAACAACCCGCTCCGCAAGCTGATGGCGTTTGCCATCCCCGAGGCGCGCGCGGCAGGCCGCGCCGCAGTCGAGCTGATGCGCATCGCCAATGAGGTCATGGAAGAATTCCGTTCTCGTCGCGAGGCGGCGGCGTCCGCTTCCGAGCGCGAGGAGCTTGACGCGACCATAATCGGGAAGCTCGTGAGCAACCCGAACTACGCGCACGAGCAAGAGCGCGCGGCGGACGTGGTGACGTTCCTGATCGCGGGCCACGACACGACTGGCTTCACGCTCGCGTGGACAATATACGAGCTTGCGGCCCACCCGGAGATCGCAGACCGGCTTGCTGCGGATTTGCGCTCGAACAACGAGGTTACACCTGAGCACTCAGAGTACCTCGCCGCAGTGATCAACGAGTCTATGCGCCTCTGGCCCGTCGCTGCGATGGGCTCACTCCGCGTGCTGGCCGAGGACCTGGCTCTCTCGGACGGTGCTGTCATCCCCGCGGGTGCGATTTGCTCCATCCCTTTCCTGCCGGTCCATCGGACGGCGCCGGTGCAGGACGCCGGAACCTTCAAACCAGAGCGATGGCTGAAAAATGTCGAGCCATCGCTGAAGGAGAACTTCATGCCCTTTTCAACTGGCCGGCGAAATTGCGTCGGGCAGACGCTCGCGATGGCGGAGCTCAAACGGTTCCTCGCCTTGATTGTCACCGGATACAAGCTGGAGCTGGTTCGGCCTCCGAAGTCCGACTACTTCTTGACCCTGAAGCCCGCCGATGGCCGCTTGCGCGTGAGCAGGCGCCCCCCCATGTCGCATTGAGGCCTCATCATCGGATGCCCGCCATGATGCCTGCGAGGTGCAATACACGTGTGCAGAAAAGAGAGCGAAAGAGTTCCAAGCGGCGATGTCGGTTGAGGTGTGTGCCGCGTCGTGTTTCGCGTCTTGGTGTCTATTAGCTGATCGTACAGACTCCTGTGTGCTCCAAGTACTCCCAGAGTTCGTCAGGGAGGGGAACTAGCTCTAAATACAAGGTGATACTAATAGAGCGCACGTACACGCTGTGGATGCGTCTTCTAGTGTCGGGTAGTGACCAGGGGTGAGGGGACGGATTGAAGATCCCTCACACCAAGATCGTGCAGGGCGGGGACACATGTCCCTAAATCCCATCTCGTCTCAGAGTTTGACCGTTTTTATTTATTTATTTATTTGGATGCGCCTTGGATGCGGCCCGGCGCACGTGAAGCAGCGTGAGACGTGACACGTGTACGCGCGGTGTTCCATGTGCGCGATGTTGTTTCATGTTTGAACACTCATACGTCTCGACAGGTAAAAGAGATCTGCAGCAGCACACTCTAGGTGGAGTGCACCTGCACGCTGCAGGACCGCCCCTGCGCTCGCCTGTTGCCGGTAGAGGGGTCCCCCTCGCCTTGTGTCAACAGTCACACACACACACACACGCTGCACCGCACCGCGCCCGCCCATCGCCCCGCCTAGGCGGGAAAGAGATGAGGGGATGGAACAGCGAAGGAGGAGCCCAAACACGTATCGACGTATGGGAGGTTAAAGTTGTGCGTCACGCTGCCGGGCGTTTCTCACTTTCCAGGACAGCCCCGCCCTTGCGGGGCAGGAATGTGACGACTACCCCGTACGCCCTGTTGCTTCTACCCCGACGCCGACCGCCCATTCCCCCTCCTCGTTCCCCCCTCATCTTCTCCAACCTCGACGAGCCGACGACCTTCGAGTAGCCGTTTCTCACGTTTCCACCGCACGCTCTATGGCGCTTGCGCGCCGCCTGCCCCGCCACCCCCTTAACCACTCCCAATCCCCTACCCACGATCCCGAGCTTTGCTCGTTTGCCCCCTCAGCGCGTGCCGAAACTCCTCCTCGCTCACCTGACGAGGCACGGTCGCACCCGGACCGCAATGTCAAGGCAACGTGGTGCCTTTCCTTTCAAATTTCCGGCTTCAAGTCCCATCGTGGATAATATCTCCTCTCGCACCAAGCCGTCCTCGTCGAGGTCGGCGCTCGAAATCATCTCCGCCAACTCCTCGTCCGTCATCTCCTCGCCTGTGCTCACACCAAGCGTGGTGAAGATCGCCTCCTCCGAAGCCAACTATACTCGTCCGGCATCTCCTCGCCCAGACCACGCGTGACCTGCCGCAAGCTCTCAAATGAGACGCCGCCGCTACCGCTGTCAAAGAGACGGAACGCGCGCCCGTGCTCCCCGCTGCTCTCTCGCTCGCCCATTTTTTGGACGAGGGTCAGCATCTCGCTAAAGTCCACGGCATTTGCACCCCTCGATTGGTCGCTCAGCATGCCACACACCTGGTCAAAGCGGGGACCTGGTCAAAGTTGGCGGTGAGAGGGGAGGCGGGATGGAATGCCAACGGTACTAGCCGTCCCTCGCTCCCCCGCGCTCCTCTCTCTCTGCGGCTGCTGCTGCTCTCACTTCATCGTGGCCGAGCTCAAAGCCGAGGGCGCGGAAGACCACCCGGAGCGCGCTGACGTCGATGACGCCATGGCCGGCCTGGTCGAAGAGGTCGAACGCCCTCCGGATGTCGCGGCGGTGCGCGTCCGTCAGGCCCAACATTGGGTTGAGTGGGGCCAGACGGTGCCGGTGGGCGTGCCCGCGGTCGCGGACGTTTCATGTCGAGAGAAGAATTTTCAGACCCGTCGTGCGCGAGAGAAGAATTTGAGCATAGCCGCACAGCACGATTCGAGAGAAGAACTCTTCTCCCGAGAGAATTTAGCAAGAAAGAAAGAAAGAAGACAGACCTGCTCGTCCCCAGGGAGCACACGTCCCCGTTCACACCTACACACGGGTAATAAACCCCGCTCCCCCATGGGTATGAATCGCCGAACTTGAACGGCGGGCGCTTGACGAACCAGGGGGGAACGGGCGTGGCAACCACAACCACGTCGGGCGTGGTTGTGGCAACTCTCATGATCGAACCAGCGACTCATAGAGTCGAACCACGACTCATAGAGTCGAACAGGACCACGGCGGACGTGGTAGTGGCAACCACGGCGGACGTGGTTGTGGTCGGTCATGATAAAACCGGAAAGGAATAACAAAAGCCACCCCCACGACTGAAAAGTCTTAATGGACCTGTCCTAGACTCTGTGGCTGAAGTAGCGTGTGCGTCGAAGCCACAAGAGGGCTGGCATAGTTCGGAGGGTCCTTGAGAGGGGGGTTGGCGTTTTTTGTTTTTCTTAACGGTTGTTGGGACTAATCGATTTCACAGCGTGCTGGTCGTGAAGGAGGCGCTACTATGGAGATCGAGGGAGACCGTGAACTGTCGAGCGGCCGCAAGGCAAAGGCCGCGCGCACAGAGAAGCTCCCCCCCGCCGTCGAGGGAAGGGCCGAGGCCGTGTCAAGCCCGTCGGCCCCGGACAGGGTCAAGGCGCTGTTCACGGGCGCGGTCATGACGCCCGAGCTCGCGCCGAAGTCCACCCTCCAAGGAGAAGGAAACCTGTGCCCGCAGTCGGGGCTCTCGCCCCCCGGTGTGAACATGAACACGCCGTTGTGGGAGGGCGCTGGCGCCCCCCACCCCTCGCAGCAGACAACCCCAAACGAGGGATGGGGAGGAGGACAGGGTCCACACCTGCACGAGCAGGCTTTTGGAAGGACGACCAGGGGCACAGGTGGGGCTCTCCTGCTCCTGACAAGGGACACGACAGGCTCGCAGCGCGGTGCACGGTGGACTCCCAACTCCACTGGCGGTCTCATCTCAGTCTAGCGACCTGCCTCTCCAGCTTCTCACTGGCAGTCACTCGCAAACCACAGGCATTTAAATAAATAAATCGAGCAGTCATCTCCAGGGAGAGATGGGCGACGCACTCGAACAACGAGGGACAGTGCGCACGCTTGTGCGGCATTCTTTGTTTCAGTTTGCGGCTTTCTTTGGTCGCGGAAATCGTGCACGGACCGAGCCGATGGAGTGGAGCGCGGAGGCCCACAGCCGCTTGCAGGACGCGCTCCGCCTGTACCCCAGTAGCCTCGGGAAGGAGGAGCGCTGGCAGCGCATCGCCGAGCACACCGGCCGCCCAAAGCGGGAGTGCGTGGCACGCTATCGCGAGGTGGCCGCCGAGCTGCAGGCGAACAAGGCCCTCGACCAGCCCACAGGCCACGGCGGCGGCGCGATTGTCGCGGCGGTGCGGCATGCGCCTCTCAAAGCGCCCGTCACCCCGGCCCCGGTTGGGCGCGAGAACCTCGGCTCGCCGCGCTCGAGCGGCGCCGAGGGGCTGGTGGACCCAATCTCGCTCGAGCCGCTCGCAGCCCTCGGCTATCCGCCCTTCTCGCTCGCCGCGGACTTGGACCACCCCTCCGACAACGACCTCTTCGACGGCAACGTCCTCGCGTCGTACCTCGTCAGCACGGGCCGGTTTGAGCACCCGATCTCCCGCCGGGCGCTCGAGCGGTCGGAGTGTGCTCGCCTCGACGGGTACCTCGCCTCGCACCGTCTGCCCGCGGCGCGAGTCGCCTACGCCTTTGACCACCGCGACGAGTTTGCGTCGGATGGCAGCGGCAACCAGGTCGCGGCCCTGCGAGAGGAGGCGTCCGCCGTGCTGCAGTCGCTCTTTGCCGCTCGCTCTCCCGCGGCGGCGGCGAGTCGCGACGTCGAGCGGAGCCCGCTACTCGGCCGCGGCCGCCGTCTGCCCGACGAGCCCGCCATCAGCAGCCACTACGATGGCTTCCTCCTCGTCGACGACGATGCCGTGCCGGGCGCGGCGTCGGGCCGCTCAGGCGGGGAGCCAGCCCGGTGGGCGGGGCACGGGGCGGCAGTGCCTCCGCCTCGGGGAGCAGCGTCTTTGGCGCGAGCAGCGCCTTTGGCGCGAGCGGCGCCTTTGGCGCGAGCGGCGCCCGCCCCACAGCCTGCCGCGCCTGCCCCGCGGCCCGCTGCCGGGCCCGCCCCGCGCGAGCCGGCTCCTCCGCCGGAGCTCTCCTTCCCCTCCCTCGACCAGAGCCGGGTGGCGGCCCAGCGGCCTCTCTCGGTGGCGTGGGAAAGGCAGCAGCGGCGCGGCGCGCGCGCCGGCGGTGGAGGAAGCGGCGGTGGAGGAAGCGGCGCCCAAGCCGCCGCGCCGCCGAGGACCGTCGTCGCTGCGGGCCCGCTCATCGGCGGTGCCGGGCGGCAGCGTGGCGGCAACTACCGGCCAGACGCGTGCGTCATGTCTGGCGGCGGCGGCGCAGCCTCGTCTTCGGTCGCTCGCGGGCCGGTGAGCTCGGCGCCCGCGCCCGCGCCCGCGAAGAGCAAGGGGCAGAAGAAGGCGGCGGCCAAGCAGCGCAAGGCGCAGGAGGCGGTCGCGCTGGAGGCGGTGCACAGGGCGGAGGAGGCGGAGGAGGCGGCTGCGGCTGCGGCTGCGGTCGCGGCTGCAGCAGAAGCGACAGAGGAGCGGGAGAGGGCCGAGGCGGCGGCCGCGGCCGCCGCTGCGGCCGCCGCGGCCGCCGCAGCAGCGCGGCCGCTTGGAGTCACTCCAAGTTTGGAGCAGCTGAGTTTGGAGCGCCCCCGCCGCAAGGCGCTCGAGCCGGCGGCGGCAGGGGCGGCAGGGGCGGCAGGGGCAGCAGGGGCAGCTGGAGGGGTGGGAGGCGCGGCGGCGGGAGGGGCGGGGCGCTGGGCGGCGCTGCCTCCGCCTCCGTCGGATCGGGCGGACGCCGCCCGCCGCCACCGCGCGCTGCTGGCGGCCCTGTCGGCGCGAGCCGCCGCCGTCGCCGGCGCGGGCGACGAGGAGCAGCTGCTCGGCCCCTTCAAGGAGGCGTCGGCCGCGTTCGCATCGTCAGGGAAGGGCGCCGCCGGCGCGTCGACGCTCGAGGCTGCGGCGAGGGAGTATGTCGAGCTGACGCTCGACCTCTTTGGCAGGGAAGGGCTCGCGCCGACGCTACTCGAGCTCGCGGCCCTGCTTCCGAGCGAGCCGCTGACCCGCGCCATGAGCGCCGTCCTTCAGAGGCTGTGGGGGCTGGAGCGGGCGAGCGGCGCGGGCGGAGGCGCCGCGCGGGAGGAGGAGGGGGCGCTCGCGAGGCAGGTCTCTCTTGTCGAGCTGGCGAGCGGGCACCCTCCCGCGCGCAAGGGGGCCAAGGCGAGGACCAAGGCGGACGATTGCGTCTCGCGCAAGGGGGCGGCCATCGCCGTCGCCGCGCCGCCGCCCTCCGGCAGCCAGCCACCCGGCGCTACGGCCGCGAGCAACACCTCGTGCAGCAGCTCGAGCTTGCTGGCGCAGCTTGCGCAATTGGCGGACGAGTCGGATGCCGCGGAGGGGATTGCGGCGAAATATCGGCGCTGAGGAGGAGTCGATCGCCCAGACGAGTCAGATGCCGCGGCGAGGAGGGGATCTCGCGGCGAAATGCTGGACGAGTCAGGTTTTAGAGCATCGCCTATGAGCGAAAAGAATTTTCTGGTCTAGCAAAAAGAAAAACACTGGCGTCGCGTCCCAAGGATGGGATTGGCTCTTCCTACTCACGACACTCGCCGAAAGGTCGCTCGCCGAAAGAACACACGCCATGTGGCGGCGCCTGCTGCTGCTTCTCAGCCTCGGACTCGCGCAAGCGCTGAGAGTCGGGCCTGCTGCGTCGCTGGCGCAACTCGTGCTCGATAGGACATCTGTCCAACTCCACTCGGCCAAGCTGCAGTCTCTGCGCTCGGGCCGGGCGCTCCCGCAGGGGCTGCTGCAGATCTACGTCGAGGTCGAGGCTACGATCGACACGCCTCCCATCGGCGGCGGCCAGTCCGGTCCGGCGAGCTTCACGGTGTCGAGCGCAGACATCAACGTCGAGTTCGAGGGCGAGAGTGTGGGCCAGCTGCGGTCGACGCCGCTCAAGATCGCGGGCGGCGGCCGGATGCGAGCGACGCTCCGCGGCGTGCTCAGCGTGGATCCGCGGCAGGCGGCGGCGCTGAGGCGCCTCTCCGTCGCCGCCGTCTACCGCGACGTGCTGCAGGTTCAGATCTGGGCGGTGGTGACGGTGCAGCTGCGCGGGGAGGACTACGGCTGCTCCAAGGAGAGCGGCGCGGTGGCGGCCCTCGCCTTTCTCGGCAAGACGACCAGCTGCGGCGGGATCGGCACGCTGTCCATCCCGGGCATCCGGCTGGCAAAGTCGCTCTCGCTGCGCGGCGGGCGCGGCTTCGGCATCTCGCTGCGAGAGCCGCCCTCGGTGCTCGGCCTGCGGCTCAACGCGCTGCGAGAGGGCGGCGCCTTCCCGCTGCTGAGGAGAGTCGTGCGGAGCGTGAGCCCACTCGTCGGTTTGCGGAGCCATCAGTTCGAGGTGGAGCTCGAGGTCGAAAACAACTCCTCCTTCGGCATCGGCGGCCTCGGCGACCTCACTGCGTCGGTGCTCCTGCACGCGGGGAAGCACCCCGTCCCGCCGCCGCACGCTGCGCCGCGCGTGCCCGTCTCGGAGGCGCCTGCTGCCGCAGGCGATCCGGCGTCGGAGGATCCTGCCGTACTGCTTGGCCGGGTGCGAGCACCCTGCCCAGCCCTCTCTCCCCGGGCTCCCGCCTGACACCTCTATCGGCGGAGGGCGTAGGTCCGGTCGCGGGTGGCGCACTTCCTCCCCGAGGCGAGTCGTCTCCTGCCGGAGGTGCCTCGGCTGCAGGTGCCTCGGCTGCAGGTGCCTCGGCTGCGGCTGCCCTCGTGGCGGGCGCCGCTCGGCTTTGTCCGCAGCGAGGCGGAGGCGGAGGCGGAGGCGGAGGCGGGGGTGGGGGCGGGGGCGGGGGCGGAGGCGCCTTCCGTGCGCCACTCGTCGCGCGTGCCTCTCCGGGCGGCGGTCGCCCCACCGACCGGCGACGTGCCCCCCCCCACCGCCGCCGAGGTTGGCGTCCCCTTCGTGCGTGCCCGCCTGTCCGACGTGTCTCTCCCCCGCGGTCGGAGCCGCCTCGTCGCGCGCGCCGTCATCGAGTCGCCAGACAACGCGGCCGAGGCCATAGCGCTCGAGCGGGCCATCTCCTCGTACCTGCACGGCGAGCCGCTCTCGCTAGTCGCCGTCGTGACATCCTCCTCCACCCCGTTCTACAATGCGGCGGCGCGGGGCCTCATCCTACGCGCCGACCTCCCCGGGCTCATCGTCTCCACCGAGATCGTGTACGAGCTCTGCCTGCTCGCCCTGGTCGTGCTGCTGCTCCTCACGCTGCTAGTGCTGCTGCGCAGGGTGCGCGCCCGCGGGAAGACGGCGGCCGCCGCTCCGGCCGGGGATGGCGCCATGGTCTGAGCGTTCTGTCCATCGTCCTGAGCATTGGCATACCATGTGTCCATATTCGGTCTTTGTCGTGTTAACTTTGCATGTCGGCATGTGGTTGTGGTCATGTATAATGTATTTGTGGTCCTGAAGTCGAGTCTCGTCCGGCTCCGTGGCGCGTGCCGCATGGCCTACATTCCCGCCTCGCGGCACGCGGGTGCCCGCGGTCGCGCTCCTCTCGCGGGCCTTCATCATCAGGGCCGGCCAAGCAAAAAAAACATATGGTCCGCGCCGACAACCCACAATCACATATGGCCGCGTCTGAGCGCGGTCGACGGTAGTCGGTACGACGGGTCGAGGACTATATATCCATCTCTCAAGTCCGTCGCGCGCGGCCGGTTGTGCCTGCAGCCTGGCCCTAGATATGTTCTTTGGGAACGTCCTGATCCTCTTTCGCTTCTCCTCCAGTCTAATTTATTCACGGTGCGCCTGATGAGCGACCCCTGGGGCTTACCATCACGTCAGTTGTCACACCCTCATCTTCTGGCGGAGACGCGCAATTCATACAGCGAAGTCCTGCCAGGGTAGCCGAGCCTCTTGGCATGGCCGTCGGCACCACCGGCGAGGCCACGAGAAGGCTTTGACGGGCGCTTGTGCGTGCCTCGCGCGACGACGCTCATCAGCTCTGTCGTCTTGGTTGGGCTCGCGCACAGGTCCTGCACCAGCTGCTGCACCGCGCCAGGGCGGTCCGCGTCGGCACGGTATTGAAAGAGGGGGCGCACGCGAGCGAGCTCCCGCTGCTTCACGGCGATCTCTCCGGCTGGAAGCCGCAGCAGTTCTGAGTGGACCAGAAAAGGCAAGGGTGAGAAGCTTGCTATGGGGAACAACGGGCAATGGCGCGCACCGTTGACGACGAGCAAAGGGTCCCTGCTCGCGCCAGCCCAGCTGAACTCGTAACTGAACTTCTTGTAGTCGAGGCGCCGGGCAAAGGGCCAGGCCGGCATGTCGGCGATCAGCACGGGGACGCAGCCGGCCAGGATCGCCTCTGAGAATCGGCGCGAGTTCTCGTGGTCGCCGCGCAGGACGAGACAAAAGGTGGAATTTTTGAGGTACGTTTGGTAGTGGGCCCTCGACTGCACTTCCTCCATCGAGCCAACACTGAGCGGGAGGTGCGCCGTCGCAGGGGGGAGGGCGATGCACTGTTTGCAGCTGAACTTGCACACCGCGCACCGCGGCTGCGCGCTGCCGTCGGAGGGCAGGTATGGAGCGGCGGCCTTTTGGACGTCCTCTGCGAGAAATGTGACGTTCGGGTGAGCTCGCAGGTGCGACCACATGAGGAAGCGGAGCTTGGTCATGGGGGGCTGGAGGTATGGCTTGCGAAGCTTTCCGACGTACGTGATGAAGTGACGACGAGCGTTTGCGCGTGGCGACGCGTCGCTCGCTGGAGATGGGGACACGATGGGCGGCGCAACGATGTCGTAGCCGTGCCGGTAGATGCACCATGGGTTGATGACGACCCATCGAGCCATATCGAGCCACACGGGAGCACGTACCTCCGCACACGATGGCAGCATGGGTGCGATCGCAAAATCGAACGGGCGATCTCGCCAGCGACGGAGCAGCTCTGTGTTCCCATTGAAGAGGCGCGCAGGGCCGCCCTTCAGCTGCCTCTTCCAGTCGTGCAGGGTCCAGCCCTTCTCCTGGTGTTTGAGAAAGTAGTGAGCAACGAATATGACTCTAGCCTCCTGAATCCTTGATGTCCGCAGGGCAGATGAGAGCAGCCCGGTGTGCATCCAGTGTGCGACGTGCTTCTCGGGAGTGGCGCTGCCCGGAAACTCAGAGGTTGAGGCCGAGTTGAATTCCGTGCCCGGATCCGCGATGTAGACCGTGCAATTTGGAGTTCCAGCTCCACCTCTTGCTGCGACGGCGACGAGCAGCGCAGCCTGCAGCCTCATGGGCGTGATGGGGGTGGGCACAAGTTTGGAATGAATCGCGGCGAAATTCTTTTTCCGGCTCGCTAGCGACAGACGTTTTTCAGTGTGTAAGCTTACTGGGAGAAAAGAGAGAGGGGGTTGTGTTCTCTAGGCCCCTAAGGGCCCTACGCGCGGCGTGAGAGCTCGGAAGCGAGCTTTGCACGGCGATCGAGGATGGCACGGTTCACCTCTCAGTGTATGTGGCTCTTACGCGTACATTCCCGTATTGTTGCTCGCCTCACAGGGATTTTCCGGAAAGCGAAAGGAAGGAGTGTGGTGCTAGCCGTCTGTTTGCCCATGGCCGTCTGATCTCTCGTCACAGTTTCTCGCCAATTCTCGCAGCGACCTTCATGCCACCTCGCTCGTCGATTACACACACACACACACACGCGCACATCGATTTCTCTGTCATTTTTTGCTCGCCGCTCATTGCAATGTCGCGCAAGATAAAAGGGTGGCTAAGGGCTCTGCCCGCAAGGCGCCCGCGTCGCAGACGCGGTACCATTGACAAATCTGCGATATACCCCCACACGAGCAAATAGCCAAAATCCAATACCGTGCACGAATCCGGCGATGTGGGCCGTGGACGGGGGCAAGCCTTCAGCTGGTGCCAAGACATTCGTAAAATTGAAGCCAAGAATCCGCCAAATCCGTGCTTTCGCGCTACCTGAGGGGAAAGCCGCTGATCGAGCCCAGCGTGCCCGCGGCCGCCTCCCGCGCAGCACCGCCGCTGCGGAATCGGATCGATCCCATGGAGGAGGAGGGCGCAGTCGGCCAGCGCAGCAGGCGGAGTCCCTCCCCGCGCCGGAGCCCCCCTGCAGTCGAGGGAGTCCTCGTTGGCGATGAAGGTGGCGACATCGAATCGCGGCCGACACACGTCACGGGAGGAATGGGCGATGAGCGGGAACGATGCGCGCTACGACGCCGACTCCGCCGTGCTCGTGGCCTTAGAAAGCCGCGCTCCAGGAGCACGCCAAGATGCAATGGCTCGCTTGCTTCGATTCAGCTCTCTCGGCAGCAGAAGTGGGGCTGGAGCGGGTGGGGGTGGATGCCGATTGAGGGGGAGCGTCTCCAGCTGCGCCCTGTGGCAGCTGCGCCCTGTGGCAGCTAGTCGAGGGACTTGGTAGTTGTGACCCCCCTGAGTGAGGACAGGAGAGAGAGAGCGTTTTGTGGTGTTGGTGTACGCAATAACGGGACAGGGTGGTTGTTCTCTCTATCTCCTCTTCTAGCTCTTAGCATGAGCTGCGCCCGGTGTCCGACCCCTTTTTAAGGGCAACAACTTAAACTTTTAGGCCCTCCAAATTCGGGTCGGAGCGTAAAGAAAGAAAGAAAGAAAGAAAGCAGCAACCCAAGGGAGGGATGGGAGGACGGCACGCCGCCACCACACAGGGATTTTAAGGAGAGGTGTGTGGTGCGCTATCCGTCGCCCACCCTAGGGAGTCTGCTTCTTCCTATCTCTCTTCGCAGTCTCTCGCCGATTCTCCTTCGGTTTTTTTTTCTCATTTTTTGCTCGCCGCTCATTGCAATGTCGCCGCGAAGAGCCGCGCTCCTCGCCGCGCTCACCGCCTGGCGTCTTCCTGCGGCTAGTGGCTGGCGGGCGGCCACCCCGCCTCCAAGCTGCTTCGGCGCGCTGGCCCACTGCGCGGCCGGCCACGCCGCCGCTCCCTGCCGCAGCATTGTCGCGAGACGGAGTCGCGGCGGCGTGGCGATGACGGGCGGTTGGCAGTATGCGCTCGCGGGCGGCGTCTGTGCTGCGGTCTCGCACGGCATCGCCTGCCCGGTCGACGTCGTCAAGACGCGCCAGCAGACGGTGAGCGCGGCGCCTTCTCCCGCCAGCCGCCAGCATACGGCAGCGCGTCTCCCTTCTCTGCGGCCCGCCGCTGACGGCCACCGCCGCCGCCTCGCCGCCCTCAGGTGCCGTCGTACTCGGGCATCCAGCTGCATGAGGGCCTCGCCCGGGTGGTGAGGGAGGAGGGAGCGTCCGCGCTGCTCACCGGCCTGAAGCCGACGCTGCTCGGGTACGGCATCGAGGGCGCGCTCAAGTTTGGCGCGTACGAGCGCGTCAAGGCGCCTCTCGCTGCGCTGCTTGTCCGGCTCGGCGCGGGCGGCTCCGCTCTGTGGCTCGGCCCGCTACTGGCCGGGCTGCTGGCGGGCGCGATCGCGTCGCTCGTCGTCGCGCCCGCCGAGGCGACGCGGATACGGCAGGTCTCCGACCCCGACTATGCTGGCGCGGGCATGCTCGGCGCGGCGGGCCTGCTGTTTCGGGAAGAGGGGCCGGGAGGCGCGCTTGTGGAGGCTGGCGCGGGCGGCGAGGCGAGCGCACGTCCGTGACGCGTCGGCGCCGGGGCCGTAGGGCTCTTCCGCGGCGTGCCCGCGACGCTCGCCAAGCAGCTGCCCTACACGGCCGCGAAGCAGGTCTTGTCTAGGACGTGTCTAGGACGTGTCTAGGACGTGTCTAGGAAGTGTCTAGCCCTACACGGCCGAAGCAGGTCTCCTTCGACGCCCTGTCGGAGCTCTTCGCCGCCGGACCGCTGCCTCGCTGGGCGTCGACCGCCGCTGCCGCCGCCGCCGCCGCCGCGCTGTCGACGCTGGCTTCGCAGCCGGGCGACGCGCTGCTCTCGCAAGTCTCGTGCTACAGCACCGAGGACGGCGACCTCTGCGTCGCCCCCCCGCCGGGTGGGCTGGCGGGCCTCGCCGAGCGGCTCGGCCCGCGCGGGCTGCTGGCGGGCTTCAGGGCGCGGCTGGTGCAGATGGGGCTGATCGTGACGCTGCAGTTGGTGCTTTACGACGCGGTCAAGGCCGCACTCGGGGTGCGATGACGCGGCAGCAAGTCCCCAAGTCGGCTAGCCAGTCGACCGCCGGCCAGCAGTCGTCGGGCGAGCCCGCGCCATAAAGGCGCTGGCCGCCTTTCGACGTGCGAGACTGGATTGTCTCGCGCGCGCAGTCTCGGCGATGCATATTGAGCCCGCATGAACCATATGATACGCCGTGATGGGCCCTGTGGAGAGCCTGCTCGGCAAGACCGCCGGGGCGCGGCCCTGGCATGCGCCCGTTATATGTCTTTATTTCTCCACACGCACACCGCTTCGTTTTTCGGCGCCGGCTCGCGCGTGTCGGCGCTGTCGCGTCTCCCTCTCCAGGCCACATACCCAACGCAGTAAGCCCTCAACTTGAACTTGTACCGCACGCTGTCCGGGCGCAGAGCTCGATCATGCCCGTGACCGGCTCCCAGAGCCGTCGCGCTTCTCGCGCGTGCGGCGCCACCCCCCCGATCCCGCCGCAGAGGGCGCAGAGCGCCTCGCCGCTGAGCTGCAGCGCGGTGCCGTGCTTGTGGTGGCGCGGGATGGTGCTCGCGACGTGCGCGCCGTCGCGCCAGCTGCGCAAATCGTCGCTCACCAGCGCGCCCAGCCCCGGCCGGCCGCGGTAGGTGCACTGTGCTGCGGGCTCGGAGGCAGAGGCGGCGGCCGGCCGGCCTCCGTCGAGGCCGGACGAGACGAGCCGCTCGCAGGCTTGCTGACCGGGCGGTGCGGCGAGCTTGAGCGGGCAGTCGGTGCGGTAGCCGTCGTAGAGGACGACCCACGCCGCCGAGCCTATAGCGGAGGCTCGAGGCTCAGAGAGGGCTAAGGGAAGGCTCCCTCCACCCACCTCTCCGCGCGGGGCCGCCCCGAGGCGACCCGGGCATCCTGCGACCCCACTGCCACACTACTCTCTCTGAACAGCAGCTCGCTCCGTGCTGAGGGCAGGGCGTGCGGAAGAGGTTTTACCTCTCGGCCGCCTCTCGGCTGCCTCTCGCCTGGCATGATGAAGAGTGCGGGCCCCTCGGCGCACTGGTGCGAGATTGCGTCGCTCCATACAGGCGTCCTGTCGAGCGGCGCAGCGGCGAAGGGCCCGAACGGCGACGGGCCGACCAGCAGCCGCAGGACGAGCGTGCAGCGAGCCGCGCCGAGCGGGGCGCCTCGCTGCCCGCGACGCCACTCGCACGGCGAGGACGGGTCGCCATTCTTCTCGCTCTTGTAGACGACGTACGTCCGCTCCGCACCCGGCCCGCCGGAGAGTCGGTCGGGTCGAGGCGGCGCCCCGCGCGCCTCCGACTTGTTGGGCGGGTGCGGCGCTCGGAACAGCAGCGCGTCGATCGCCGACTCGGCGTAGAGAGGCTCGAACAGCAGCGCGGGAGGCGTCCACCGCTCGAAGTCCGAGGTGAGCATCTGGTACGGGCGGTGCCGCGAGGCGCCCGCGCTCGGCCCAAAGTCCCACGGGCAGTCGCTCAGCTCCTCGCTCCCCGAGGCCGGCGTCGAGATTGAGACGACCACCATTGCCACCGCGAGCCGGCCGTCGGCGGAGAGAGGGCCGCGCGAGGCCGCCTCCGCGCGCGTCAGCAGGTAGATCTCCGGCGCCCACACGTTGCACGCCCCCGGGAGTGGGACCGTCACCGGCCTCGAGTCGCTCCACGAGAGCAGGTCGCGGGAGCGAGCGTACCCGAAGCGGGCTGGCAGGCCGTCGCGCCGCTGGCGCCGGTCGCAATGAAAGGCGAGCGTCGGCAGGCCGGCGCACAGCTCCGTCGTGAAGACGAGGTGGAACCAGCCGTCGTGAAAGGCGACCGACGGGTCGCGGAACACGGTCGGCTCGCCGCCCGCCCACGCGGCGCCTCGCGCGTCCCGGCCGGGCGTGAAGACGAGCGGGTCGCCGGTGAGCGGCACAAAGGCGGCCGGCCCGCCTCCGAGCGTTAGGCCAAGCACGTGCATGCCCTCGCCGAGCACCCTCCCGTCGGTGAAGGTGGTGAGTACCCATGCGTCGGTGAGCGCGGCCGGCGCAAGCTGGCCGGCCCGCTGCTGCGGCTGCGGCTGCGGCTGCGCCCAGCGGACGTTGTTGCCGAGCAGGAGGAGCACAGCGGCCACGCCGGCGAGCACGACAAGCCTCACCATGGCTGCTGACCACGGATTTATAGGAGAGGAGTGTGGTGCTCACGCGGGGGGTGCCAGTCCCGTGCCCAGTGTTGCACTGTCGTCGTATGCGAGGTTCTTTGTGTCTCTACTGTGAACCAGGGCTCGCTCCTCAACCTCTCACAGAGCGGCGCACAGCGCCATTGTACGTATTTTTCTTCTGAACATAAGGCTGTGAAGAGAGTCCGCAGCGCTCGCGACACTCGCTCTCGGCGCCGGCCCCACAGCCTATCCGTCGTGTCGTGGAACATCCTCGCGCCGACCGTTGCGCCGCTGAGCCGCTACCCTTGGGTGGCGCGGCCCGCCACGCTCGCCTCCTCGCCTGGCCGAAGCGCGAGGCCGCGATCGTCGCCATGCTCGGGAGGCTCGATGCCGATGTCGTGTGCCTGCAGGAGGTCGAGGTGGCGCTGTGGGACGGCCCCCTGCGCCGAACTCACCAGCCTGGGGTAGTCGGGTAGAGCGGCGTCCTGCAAGAGACGCAGCGGAGCACTTGGAGCACTTGGAGTGCGTCGCCGCAGCACCCGGTCTTTTTCGCACACGCCAGTCCCGTGCCGGGTAAAAGAAAGACAGAAAACAGACAAAACCAAACGAGGGATGGGAGGAGGACAAGGTCCCCACGAACCCCACCTGCACGAGCAGGATTTTGGAAGGACGATCAGGGCTAGGATCAGGGACACAGGGGAACGGGAAAGTGGGGAGCGCATCGCGACACGGAGGGGGGCTGGGCAGGGTTCACCGTGCCGGGTGTCCTGCAAAGAAAGAAAAGAAAGAAAACAGACAACCCAAGGGAGGGATGGGAGGACGGCACGCCGCCACCACACAGGGATTTTAAGGAGAGGTGTGTGGTTGGTGCGCTAGCCGTCGCCCACCCTAGGGAGTCTGCCTCTTCCTATCTCTCTTCGCAGTCTCTCGCCGCTTCTCGCTGCAACCTTCATGCCACCTCGCGGTCGTCCCACTCTCGTCGTTCTCCCTCCTGTCGCTTCCTCCTCTGTCGCGTCGTTCTCTTCTGCCTCGTCCTGTGACGCCGCCGCCTGCCGGTCCCTTGTTCTCGCGGTTTCTTTCGCCTTTCGGCGCAACTCCGTCCTCCTCGCGGCGTATCCTGGCCCCTCGAGTCTAATCAAAATTCTTGCGCCGCGGGAATTCTTTTTCGCACGCAAGCCGTTGTGCTCGCGTTGTGGGAAGGCGTGCCCGCCCTAAGGTCTACGCCCTTACCCGCCCCTCTGGGGCTGGATTGTGGGGATACTGGGTTTAAGCGCCCATGGCCCGTGTCGCCACCATCGTGCCGCTGTCTCCGCTTGACCCCAACACCGCGCCCCGCGCGCACGCCGACGGCCTGAGCAGCCACCAGCGCGAGCTCGAAGACCTCATGTCAACTTTCTCACGGATGCGCGAAGCGGCGTGCACGAGCTTCCATCCCGCCGCGCACGAGTACCTACTGCGCGCGCTGTGGACGGCCGCCTTTGGCGCCGCGGACGCGGACGCCTTTGCGCCCTCGACGGAGCGCTGGAAGGACCTCGGCTTTCAGAGCGAGGAGGCGGCCAAGGACTTTCGCGGCGCGGGCGTGATGGGCCTGCACCACCTGCTGGCGGTGGTCAACTCGGGCCGCGTGCCGCTGGCCGCCGCGGCGCGGGCGGGCTTCCCCCTCGCCGCCGCGTCGATCAACGCCACGGCGGTGCTGCAAGCCTACTTTGGGGTCAACCTGCGCGTCGCGTCGCCGCTGCGGAGGTCGGCGCGGCGCCGGTGCCCCGAGCGGACGCTGCACGAGCTCCTCCTCCGCGGCGGCCTGCAGCCGCTGCAGGAGCTCCACACGGAGCTGGCGGTGCATCTCTGGCGCGTCTGGTCCGAGAGGCCCCGCGACTTGATGGGCTTCCCGGCGGTGCTCGACGAGGCGTGCGCGGACCTCCACGAGGTGCTGCAGGAGGCGACCGCGGCGGCGGCCGCCTGGGCGGAGGCGACCGACGCGGGGGCACGGCGCGCCGAGGAGGTGGGCGCCGCGGGCGCCGCCGCGGACGCCGCCGCCGCCGCGGCGGACGCCGCCGCCGCCGCGGGCGCCGCGTGCACCGCGTGCTCGACGCCGGGGGCGCCGCTCGCTCTCGGCGAGGCGCTGATGGCGAGGCGGCGCGCGTCGCGGCTCGGCGTGAGCCCGCAGGTCTTGGAGACCCTGGACGTGTGCGCCTCGGCCGTGTCGACGCTGATGGGGCAGTGCGTCTGCTCGAACGGGAGGTGAGCGGGCTGCCGCCGGTGAGAGAGTGAGAGTGTTGCGGCTGTTGTGGGGGGGGGGGGGGAAGGAGGAATCAGAAAAAGAATTGCAAAAACGTCGGTCTCGCCTCCCCTTCCCCCTCGGACGGAGGCTCCGCCGAGGCGGTGTTTGGCGCGGGCGCTTTTTGACCGCGCAAGATAAAACGGGGTGGCTAAGGGCTCTGCCCGCAAGGCGCCCGCGTCGCAGACGCGGTACCATTGACAAATCTGCGATATACCCCCACACGAGCAAATAGCAAAATCCGAATACCGTGCACGAATCCGGCGATGTGGGCCGTGCAAGCCTTCAGTGGAAGGAAGGATCTCAGATATGAGGTATTTTTATCTCGCCGCGTCTGTGTCGTACTACAATATTGCAAGAATAGCCGCCAATATTGCCATAGCTGCCCTGATGCGTTCCTCTAGTTTGGTCAGATATCCCCACTCCCGTACACCGAGCCAGCGCAACCGGTACGTGGGTACAGCCTGATACGCGACATGCAGTCTCATCATACTGCAATACTGCATGAGATACCTCCCCTTACTGCTGTACCTCACATGCACACCATATCCCAATACGGCGAAGTAATCATACTTGGATACTGCATCACAGCTCCATCCGTACTGCTGTACTGGGGCATACTGGAGAATACTGGAGAATACTGCTCCATACTGGTGCATGTGCAGTGCTGCGGCGGGATCTACCACTCGGCTGCCAGACTCACTAGAGCACCCGGAGCCAGAACTCACACTCCCAGGTTGCAACTGCTAGCAGCGGCGCTCGGCGGCGCACCTGGCCTTGCAAGGGCTAGCTAGCTTAATGCCGGCCGCATACTGCAACTGCTGCTGGGCGGTCCTTGCTCAATGGATTGATCCAGCGCTCGTCGATGGGCAGTCCTAAAGAGGCAACGAGGCATCCTGAAGAGGCCGGCCTATCCTGCAGCGGCATCACAAACAGGTTGTGGTTGCAGGTGCGCGCGCGCCCACGCACACGCAGAGCCACCACGCCGCCTCTTCCCACTCCCACTGATGCGAGTTTGACTGTGGCGAGGTGTGACTCATGAGATGTGACTCTCGTGGGTGGTGGCGGAACACGGCGATCGAGCAGGGGTGCTAGGACGGGACGCACCAGACGGGATGAACCAATGGATTGTGTCCACCGTCCCCAGAATGCGCAGTCCGCAACCGTCGTACTTGTGGCTGAGCTCGTCGCAACGCGGAGGGAGGAGAGGCCTTTGTGGATTTGTGCCCCGATGATCCACAGCACGGCGATCGCTCTGTCGCCAAGCCCCACGGAACGGCGCACTAGTGCAAGTCGCGCCGCACCCCAAGTGCCCCCGACCGCGCCTGGAAAAAGAAAAGAAAGCTTTGCCTTACTGAAATATTCGAATCAGAAAACGGGGGGCTGGCGCTGCACCAGGCCAATGGCTTGGGACGCAAGCGCAATCTGCGCCACAACACATCGCACAAGCGCAATCTGCGCCACAACACATCGCACACGCAAGCAGATGACCACACAATCCGCTTGTGGTCGCTTCTGGTGGGCGGCAGGACGTTGCCGACCGCGCCGCTGTATTTGTCCCAAGCCGTCTGCAACGTGCTTGGAAGGAAGCCAGTGTCATACAGTGTACCGCGCCTGGTGCCACAGTCCCGCACGGTGTAGGTCAGGGGCATGCCCGCCACGAGGGCGAGCATGCCGACCGAATGCATGTGTCGCACAAACCTCATATTCGTGCGTCCCCCCAAATTTAGGTATTGAAGACTCTGCTTTCGTCGTTCTTTTGTTTTTTTCATGTTGAGGACTTGCCACTCGAGAGGCCGCCGTCGACTCTCCAGCAAAGGCGACGCGCCACTGCGCATTGAATCGCATGTTTCCCGAACCGCACACACAAAAACGACTCACGCACATACCTCGTGCGCACGGCTGCCGTCTTGGTGCAACGAACGAGGCTGGCAGATAGCGCGACCGCAGACTGGCAAACGCGACAGGACGTTGCCCAGGACAAGAGCGGCTCCAAAGTTTGGTCTCTTCATTCATTTAGGAACGGGGACGAGATGTCCACATTCAGCTTGCCTGGCCAGACATACTCCTGTGCTGACACGCAGCGCCAAATACAGCCGGCACCAGCATTCGTGAGAACTCTTGCCGTGCGCACCCCCGTACAACATCCTGTTACCACTACCTTCGGCACTGCGGGATTGATGCATTTGCTCGAGCCGTCCCATTCCAACGCCAACGATTGCGACTTTGGAGCTACTGCCAGCTTCTCACCTCTCCCCCTCGATGTGCATATGCACATGCACACATTACGTATGTGTCGCTTCCCGACGTTGCGCACTCGGTCGGGATCAAACACGAGGACAGTGGCGGCCCTGGCAAAACTGCGCAGCATCACCGGTTTCAAGAAGAGCAAAATTGAGCCAGAGGCGCGCTACCTGCTGTGTCACTGTCTGGCCCGATGCCTCCCCTCATACTGCTGTACTGGGCCATACTGGAGAATACTGGAGAATACTGGCAGATACTGCACTGGTGCTTCCGAGATACTGCGATACTCCAAGGCTCGACATACCCAAGTATGATGCAGTACACCAGTACCCATACTCTGGGAGGCGCCCGGCGTACCTGCATACGTCCTAGCGTGCCGCGCCTACTGCCATATTGCGTCGTATTGCGCCGCAGCCTCCCAGTTACTCCGCTACTTCGCCCACACACTGAAAGAGATAAAATCAAGTATTAAAGTATGTGTACTTGTGATTGGACTGGAAATACGTGTGTATTTCAGTTCAGCAGTGTTGTACTAGCATACTCCCATACATGAATTATACCTGAAATCCTCCTTTCCACTCAGCTGGTGCCAACACGGATGGATTTGCCGACGGGCGAGCGTCTCAACATTGGCGCCCCCCCCCCCCCCCTAAGCAGCCCGTCGATGCAGGTGGCCCGCGCGGCCACGGCCGCAACGACGCGTCGCCGGCGGCGCTCACTCGAGCCCGAGCCCTCCGCGACGGCAACGCCAGGTCGTCGCGTCCGCCCCGCCAGCCCTTGAGCACGCCTCCCGCATACCGATGACTGCACTCGGCGTCCACCGGCGGGGGACCATGGAGGAGCGGTCAGCAGTCTCGACTGCTCCACCGGCTCCTCCACAGGCTCTCGCCGTCGGCCCCGGCGCGCTGCGACGGCGCGCCGCCGGCTCCCACCGCGGCGTCCGAGCTGGAGGGAAAGGTGACGCACCTGATGGAGCTGCTCAAGGCGCATCAGTCGCGGGACGCGGAGGCGTCGCGGCTGCAGCAAGCGCTGCAGTGCCAGGAGGAGGCGGACGCCGCCAAGCTCGTCGAGCTGATGCGACGGCAGGAGGCGGCGAGCGCGGCGGCGGTCGAGGAGGCCAAGGCTGCGATCGAGGCGCAGCTGGTCGAGCGATTCCGCGAGGAGCAGGCGGCGGCGGCGGAGGCGCACTCAGCACAGCTGCAGCAGCTGAGCGCGGAGCACTCGACGCAGCTGCAGCAGGCAGCGGCCCTCCTGGAGGCGCAGGCGCGCGAGAAGTTTGAGACGGCGGTCGCGCACGAGAGGGTGATTGGAGCAGGCGGTGCTCGCAGAGAGGCTGGTGAGCGGAACCTCTCCCCTCCCGCCTCCCCGCCCGCCTTCCCTCCCGCCTCCCGCCTCGACTCCCCTGCCTCACTCCTCCCGACCCATCCCTCACTCCTCACTCCGCCCGCCTCTCCTCTCCCCTCCCTCCTCCCCTCCTCCCCTCCCCCTCCCCTCTCCTCCTCCCCTCCCCCCCTCCCCATTCCCCCTTCCTCTCGCCTCGCGCCCAGCCCAGCCCCGCCACCTCACCGCCCTCCCAGGCGTATCTCTCCGCCCTCAAGCAGCTCGAGCTCGACGTCGACGTGCTCACACGCGTCCTGGCGCCTACTGTATACTTGATGCAGAGCTTTCCGACGTCATTGTGTTTGCCGCTCCGCGCTCGACGCCTGCCGCCGCGCGCGCCCGCGCGCCACCCCTTTTGCGCAGCAACACCTTAAATTTCATGGCCCTCCAAATTCGGGTCGGAGCGTAGCGGAGTGGGCCCCGAGTTTGAAAACGGCGACGGACGCTTGCGTCCTAGCCGCCAACAACGCCTCCCCGGCGCAGAGGGGCCCCCGGAGGGATGCTCAACCGCTCCACGCCACGCCGCTTGCGGCGGTCCTATTCCACGCTCGCGGGGGCCGCTTCTTATTTTTCACGTCGGCAAGAAGCACATCGATCGGATTTACTGCCTTTTGAGCAGTAGTGACTGACACATGCTGCTCCTCCTCCTCGCAGCCGGGCGACCCGCCGCACCCGGCCGTGCGGCGCACATGCGAACGGCGGACGAGACGAGGACGGCGGCGGCGGAGCGGCAGGCTGTGAGTGACACCCTCGAGCGCGTCCTTGAGAGCGCAAAGCGTGGCGCGACAGTCGGAGACCTGCTTGACGAGGCCAAGAGCAGGCTCACAAATCTGGACGAGGCTGCACGCTCTCAAATCGCATCAGCTTTGGACGAGCGCGATGCTGCGAGGCTTGCGGCGAGGAGGAGCGATGCTGCGCGCGAAGCGGCGGTCGCTCGCGCTGCGGAGTCCGAGGGCGCGGCGCGAGAGGCCGAGCTGGCCCGCGCTACCATGGAGGCGTCCATGCACGCGGCGCAGTCGGAGATTGCGAAAGTTCACGTCGAGCTCGAGGAGGCCAAGGCGCGGGCCGCGGCAGCGGAGGAGGCGGAGGCGAGGGCGGCCGCGATGCTGTCCGAGGGGAAGGAGTTTTGGTCGGAGCGGGTCGGAGACCTCGACGACGCGCTCGAATCGCAGCAGGACCAGCTCGCGCGGATGGAGCGGGCGCTGCGCGAGAAGTCAGACGAGGTGGAGCGGCTCGAGGCTCTGGCGGAGGCGTCGCGGACGTCGTCCAAGGATGAGTTGTCGGCAGCGGAGCTCGCAAAGCGCGAGCTGGAGACGCAGCTGCGGAGCGCCGCCCTCGAGGCGAGCTGCGCCGGGGAGCGAGCGCGCGAGCTCGAGGCGCAGCACGGCGCGTGCCACGACCTCGCCCTGTGGAGAGCGCCTCTTCACACCTCCCGCTGTGAGCAGGTGCAGCGTGACGCGGCTGTGCTGCGCGCCGAGGCGGCGGAGGAGGCGCTTGTCGAGGCGACCCTGCCGAAGCGCGTCCGTGTCAAGCGAGCCCTCGCCAACCTCGCCGGGTCCCTGCGGCGGGCACCTCGCGGACTCGCGCGCAACGCGGCGACGCCTCGGAGCTGAGCTAGCCGGGGCCTCCTCTTTTGCTTCTCCATCTGCCTTCCCAGCCCGCCTTCCATCTGCCTTCCCATCTGTATCACGGCTACCCGCTCGCAGGCCACCTCTGTGTATCCGCGAAGAGGCCCTCGGCTGCGCCTTGTGTGCCTGCGCCCTCGCTCGCGCTCGCGGCTTCCTCTGCGTGCTGGAGCCATCTGTAGACTCTCGGCGCTGCTGGGGCGTCTTTCTCTTATGTCGTCGCGCATGACTCTCGTAGAATGTGGTCGTGATATTTGTTGGCCTCCCGCATGTGTGCGTGTTGCTCTCTCGCCCTCGCTCGCCCTCCATGTCCATCACACAATGTGTGTGGGGTGGTCTCTTGTGCCGGGGGAGACCGGTGTGCGCGTTGCCGCGCCTCTCTCTCCGGCGTCGCGGTGAAGCCCGTCTCTCCTTTTCACCAAAACATTTGTATAATGAATTCCCATGCTCCCGCGCGCGCCGGTGGGGCCCGCCCCGACGCCCGGCGCGCGGCGGTGCCGTCCGGGGCCGTCGAAGCGTCTCCTGTCTCCAATGGCGGGCTACTTTATGGGGGGACGGAAGCGCGTCCGCTCGTCCGTGTCTCTTAGTGTCTCTTGAGAGCACGCTGCACACATCCGGACGCACACTCACACACTCTCACAGATTCAGATACACACCAAGAGTTGCGCACTCTCTATCTCTGACTCAAGGCACACACTCGTGAACTCGAGTCACACTACTCACTGGCCGTCCCCAGCCACCATACGTGCGCACATGCCCACCCCTCACCGGCCCGCGTGACACCGCACCAGAAGCGAAACGAATACGAACACTTCACGTGCACACATGGCGCACCGGAGGATCGCCAGGCCCGCCTGCTTCGCGCGGCCCGCGCTCTATCCCGCCTCCGGCCGCCTCCCGTCTCTGCAGCCGCGGCGCGCGCTTCCGGGCGACCTCGTTGAGCCTTCCTACCTTGCTCGCCGCCGAGTGGTCTCACCGCGCTCAGGGTTCAGCAGGCGAGCGAGCTCAGCGTTGGCGACGGTCAGGCCGCCGGCCGCCTTCCGCAGCTCGACGATGGACTTGGGGCCCGCGGGTGTGGGAGCGGGCGCTGGAGCGGGTGCCGATGCGGTCCAGGCTGGCGCGGGGGCAGGCGCCAGTGCCGGAGGCGGTCTGTTCTGCGATTTCGGCTCGGCCTTCCGGTACATGCAGCGGGCAAATTCGATAGGGGGTAGCTTGGAGCCGCGCGCATGTATCGCATCGATGAGCTCGGCTGCACCCTCGACCGAGTGTGGCTTCAGATGATGCATGGCGAGCAATCTGAACACGTATTCCGGCTCCAAGCACTCGCCTCCCGCGGCGTCAATCGCGCTCATCAGATCGCTGTACGCCGCTTGCATCGCCACGTCCTCCGCCTCGATGCCGCCCGTCCCCTCCCCGCCGCCAATCCCACTCCTCACGACACCTGCGGCGCTAGCAGCCGCAACATCTGCGACGGCAAGAGCTAGTGGGTCCGACACGCGCCCCTGCGACGCAGCCTTGCGGCGGCCTCCGACGCGAACGTGCGCAAAGGGATCGTCAAGTGCCGCCGCCGCCGGGGGCGGCTCGAAAGACAAGAGGGAGGCCATCTCCGCTCCCCTTCTCTGCGCATGGTGCCGCAGCGTCTGGCTGGCGGCGCTGCTGACACCGTGCATCGCCAGGTCCATATCGCTGCCTTGTCGGCGCGCCCGAAGCGCAACCTCGCTCTGCGCTCGGTGGCCGCCAAGCAGCTTGGGGTCCGGCGGTGCCGGCTCGCCCGTGAATGCGAGGCTGACTGCGCTCGGAGGCGGGAGCGGGGGTGGATCCTGCCGCTTTGCGTCGTGGCTGAGGAGGACGCCGCCCCGATCGTACCCCAGCGTCCTGGAGTGCCACGTCCTGTCGACCTCGTGCGTCGATCGGTGAAAGGAGGACATCGCGCGAAGGCGGCAAGTCGCGCAACGCTTCGTTCGTTACAAGATTTAAGACAACTGTCGATGCCAGGTTGCAGGTTGGTGGCGTTCACGGCGCAAAAAAAACTGCGGGGGAGTTCCGAAAAAGCTGGTCGCTCCTCAACCGCCTGCTTTGCGGGACGCTCGCCAATGGCGGCCGTGGCACAGCGCACCCTATATGGCCGCCGAGAGCCACGCGTCGTCAGTCTAGCATCAATGGGCACCACACTGGTGCCTTCCGAGAGTTGCGAGCACCAGTTTGCCTCAAGCCGCGAGCACCAGTTTGCCTCAAGCCGCGACCGCTTCATCTCCGACGCCTCTCTCACGTCCACCGGCTCATTTTTCGACCCGAACACCCTTCTGGAGCGGCCAGCTTCGCCTGACGAGCCGCCGCTGCCACCGCCACCTGCATACCAGGCCAGCGTCGACGGCGAAGAGGCAGCGACGCCTCCGCCGGCTCAACCGGTCGAGCCGTTCAGCAATACCGTCGCCGACGGGCGGCAGTGGTGCTATTGCACGCACTTCACCGTCCTCCTCACCTCGGGTGGCCTGCCGATTGTGCAGGGCGACGGCATCGGCATGGCAGTCGCTGCTTGCGACGACTCGTTCATCGTCACCGCCGTCTCGCACGGCGGCATGGCGGCGGCGGCAAAGCTCCTGCCAGGCGATGTGATCTTTGAGATTGACGAGCAGGCAATCGTCACGAGCAGCTACCGCGCAATCGAGCGCGCGAGGTCGGCGCTCCTGCTCGCTTCGTCCCGGCCGGTGCAGCTGAGCGTGCGCCGCGTCAAGCAGCCGTTTGAGGGCCCAAACTCCGAGCCGGCAACGCCTCGCACGTGGTCCCGCAGCTCGTCCGGCAGCGCGCTACGCCGCCTGTCCTCGACGCCCGCTTTCCTGCGACGAAGCCGCTCCTCTCGCCTCCAAGACTCGTCGCAGCGCGACTCGGCACGAGAGGACCTCGCGATCCGTGCCGAGGTGTTTCTTACTCACCGTCTGCCCGGTCCACCACTGCGCTCCAGCTCAACGCCTCCACCCTGACAACGCCCACCCCTCCGCCCAGGCGCAGCGCCGCGCCTTTGCTGCGCGCACCTTCCTCGAGCGACAGGAGCTCGAGGTTGCGCTGGCGTCGTCGTGCTACGATGAGGCGTGTACTCAGCCCGGGGAGGCCACGCGCGAAGACGTGCAAAGAACGACCCACCCCCCCTCTCCCTCACTGCTCTATCCAGGGCGCCGAGCGGGAGGAGCTCGAGACGGCGATGGAGATGTCAGAGCAAGAGACCGCGATCAACGACGCGATCGACCGGTCCCTCTCGTCCGCGCAAGAGCAGGTGGAGCAAGCGACTGAGGAGGAGGTGCCGCCGCGCACCTACCCTCGCTCTGACACGCACCTACCCTCGCTCTGACACGCTCGCCCCGCGCGGGCCGGTGCTAACATGTCGTGGGCTCGCTCCAGGCGGCCATGGACGAGGCGATCGCGCGCTCCATCTCATTTGCGCGGCGGGCGTCGATCAAGCAGAGCGAGTCGGAGTGGGAGGAGGCGGCTACGATGCGCATCGCGCTCTCACGCTCGCGGTGCGCCCTCGTCGAGGAGGAGGAGGATGGAGAAGAGGACGCGGCTTCGACCTCAGGTGGCAGATTCGCGGCGCTGTGCCGCCAGAGGGAGAAGTCGAACCTACCAAACGCTCGCAGCCGCCTCGAGGGGGCGATGCGGAACCAAGACGATGCGGCGGCAGCGGTGCGCCCTCGGTCGGGCAGCGTGTACCGCTCGCAAACGGAGTGGTGCATGGACCAGCTCTCTCGCCCGTCGCTCGTCGAATCGGCCCGCGACTCCGAGAGCGAGGAATAGATTCCTGAAGTTCCCCCGCACACGCACTAGACAGCCCCCTCGAGCTAACCCCTACTATCTCGCGCATGTCGTTTTGTGTGTGTGTTGTGAGCGCCTGTGGGGATGGTGCGTATGCGGGTGTCCCGATGAGGCGCCGTTCATGTGCGGACAGGGACCAGGGGGTGTCTCAGGGGGTCTCCTGATCCCTGAGACCCCTGGCTGGGTCGCGTGTCAGTCCAGCTAGGCTCCGGGGCGCGGGGGGGTTCGCGGCCGCTGAGAGGTGAGAGACGTTTTTGTTGTCGACTCGGATGTGGAGCGTGTAAGAGAGAGTGTACTTACGTGTTCGCGGTGTCTTACACTCTGTGCCTGAGCGCCCTGACAGTGACACACAATGAACAACGTTCAATCACATCACGCTCTGCATTTTTGTGTGTGCCCGAAGCCGAACTCATCAGCAACTCATCAGAGATCAGTTATGTGCAGATTCTCCGAGTGCGCATCGTCCGCCGACACCACTGTTCAGACCTTGAGTACCGGCCACCCACAGGGCATCACCGCTCAAGCCTTTGGAGCGACCCGCGGCGAGGCGAAGAGGCCGAGGCCCGTGCTCTTTTTCGGAGCCAGCCCTGGCTTGCCGCCGCCGCCAGATTGCTGCCCCGGCTTCTTCTCCGGTGCGGCGTGGCTAATGGCATGGCCAACCTGAGCAACCTTGGAGCAGTGCTCAAGGTGTTCCTTGTAGTGGTCAGCGTAAAAGTCGCCGTCCTCCAGCGTCTCCTCCGAGTACACGCTCTTTGCCCCCTCGAGAGCCGCCATGATCCGGGCCTCGGTGTTGCCCTTCTCCGCCTCGGGCTCGTCACGCTTGTGCGTCATCCCCACGGCTTGGCTGGAGACTTCGAAGGTCTTAGGCAGCAGCTGAATCAGCTTGTCGAGCTTGGCGAGCCGGCTCTTGAGCTTCGGGTCGTTGGGCGTGATCTCGAACTGCACGCCGATGCAGTAGCGGTAGACGCCGTTAGGGCTTGCAGCGGCCGGGGAGGCGGCGGCGGCAGCACCTCCACCTCCGAACATCGATCCGCCGCCGGCTTTACCGAACATCCCACCAGCTGCACCGCCAAACATCCCGCCAGCTGGCGCAGCACCCCCGAACATCCCGCCAGCCGGAGCGGCGGCACCGCCAAGCATTCCACCAGCAGGGGCGGCAGCAGCGGCACCGCCAAACATTGAGCCAGCCGGAGCTGCGCCGGCGCCTCCAAACATCCCTCCAGCGGGCGAGCCGCTGGCTGGCGGAGTGCTTGCGGCCGCCGTCGGTCCTTTGAGGCCAGCCCCTGCCAACCCACCGAACATGCCGCCACCACCAAGCGCGCCGCCAGAGGCTGGTGCCGTCGGGCCGCCTGCTGCGCTCGATCCGCCCGCCAAGCCGCCGCCAAACATGCCGCCCCCGGCAGGAGCACCGCCGAACATCGAGCCTCCCTTTTGCCCGAACATCCCTGCAGAGGCTCCGGGGTTGCCACCGGGGTTTGGGGCCGTGCCTCCGGCAGCCGCTTGGCCGTTTGCGCTGCCTGTGGCGCCACCAAACATTCCACCACCAAGACCGCCCGCTCCAAACATGCCGTTAGAAGCAGCGCCATGCGCGCCAGCGTTGGCGCCACCGGCAGCTCCGAACATGCCACCCGCCGGCTGGGCGCCACCGTTTGCCGGGCCGCCGAACATTGTTGCTCCCGGGCCGGAAAAGCGTTACGGAAGAGCCTTCGAGCAGCTGATCGTAACTGGAAGATTGACCATGATGACCAGGGGGGCCAGTGATCGCCTTGCGGGGGGACGTTCCCCTCGAAGCCGCGTCTGGACTTTTGGGCACGGCTTGGCCCTGCCAGCGGCGGCCGCCAACCAAGGCTCACGTGCGACGTGCCGGAGGCGGCGCTTGCGCTGGGATCCTGGACGGGCTTTATTAAAATGAACTCCGGGGCACGGGACGCGGCACAAACGGGGCACGGGCTTTGGCCGGCGGCTTCAACATCTTCTCTCCCCTCCAATCCTCGCTACCCAACGCGGCGAAGAGCATTCGAGACCTCGAGAGCCCTGCCCCCCCCCACCCGCCGCACCGGCCCCCCACCGCCACAGCATGCCGCCGTGTCGCGTACGCTCGTCGTTGCTCAGTCCTGCTGGAGCGCACTCGTTCCTCAGCCGTACTGGAGAGACGCACGCCCTAAGACGTCGTCGCGTGTGCACGGGCGGCGCTCCTCCGCCGAGCGTCGTCGTTCTCTCTTCCGCCGACAACCCGGCGCTCGCGCACGCCCCGCTGGACGCGGCCGAGCTGCTGATCGGCCACGACCTCGAGAGCCTGCTCGCGCACGGCGACAAGCTGCGGCGGGCGGAGGCGCTGCTGTGGGTGCCGCCGACGCCGCCGCCAGTCCTACGCGCTCTCCTCGTGGAAGGCCACGCGCCAGCCGTGCGTTGGTGTCACGGCTTCTACGCGGGAGTCGACCCAATCGCGGCGATTGCGCGCGAGGTGCTGCTGCCGGCGGGCATCCCGCTGAGCAACGGGCGCGGCGCCTTCTCGTCCTCGCTGGCCGAGTACGCGCTGATGGCGGCGCTGCACTTCAACAAGCAGGTGGCTCGGTGCCAGCAGAACCGGCGCGAGCGGAGGTGGGACAAGTTCGAGATGTCCGTGCTCCGTGGGCAGACCCTCGGACTGCTTGGGTTCGGCGACATCGCGCAGCACGTCGCCCGGCTCGGCAAGGCCTTTGGGATGCGAGTCGTCTGCCTGAGGCCTCGTCAACCCACCCGCTCCTCCCCGCTGTACACTGTAGTCGGCCCCGTCATCTCGCAGAGTCTGCTGTGAGAGCCCCCGTGTGAAGAGAGCGCAAGGGGTTGGACCCTCCCGCTGACCACCCAGCCCCGACCCGAGCCCGAGCCCAGAGCCCAGGGCGGGTTCAGGATGCGCCGAGTGATGAAACTCTGCGCTCTCGAGCTCCTCCAACGAAAGGGAGCTCACAAGTTGGACGATGGTGGCAGACTCGGATCCGGTGGTCACAGGCGCAACGCGAGCAAGCCCGACGAGACCGGGCTGGCCGACCTCGTGTTAGGGCCGTATGAGGGGCCCATCCTCCCCGCGCACAAGCGGGCGCTGCTCGAGCAGGTCGCTTCCCTGAACACTTCCGAGACGCGTCCGGGACACGGCCTCCCCTCCCTTTCCTCACACGGCCGATGCTCGAACAGAGCGACGTCGTCGTCTGCACCCTGCCCGGGACCGAGGAGACGCGCCACTTCCTGTCGAGCGCCGAGTTTGACGCCATGAAGGGCGGAGCCACCTTCGTCTCGGTCGGGCGCGGCATCGCCGTCGACGAGAGCGCGCTGGTGGCGGCGCTGCCGCGGCTCGGCGGCGCCGCGTTGGACGTCTTCGAGACAGAGCCGCTGCCTGCCGACTCGCCGCTCTGGGAGCAGCCAGACTCGAAGCTCCTGCTGACCGCACACAATGCCGACTACACTGCGGACTACTTTCGCCTGGGCTGGCGCGTGTGGCGGGACAACCTCGAGCGCGTCGGGCGCGGCGAGCCGCTCGCGACGCCCGTCGACGTGGGGATGGGGTATTGATTTCGGTTTTCGCTGCTTGCGCACACACAAACGCAAGGATATATTTCCACCGCTCTCACAGCGCAGCGAGAGACCGGGCGCACAAACCACAATAAACGCAGCTAGTACGCATTTCACATATTTCTCAGCCGATGATACGGACGGTGAAGAAAGTAGTCGCACCGCACCCACCACGCACCAGCTCGCCCGCTTGTACTTATCTCGTCTTACACATCGCCGTCCGGCTCCGGGAGCGGGTCCGGCCTCCGGCCGAGTTCCGAGGAGGATCCACACAAGCCAGAGAGGTGAGACACCTGGCTGCTGAGAATACTCGATGTGTGTCGTGTGGCCGACTACCCGGTGAGCCATACGGACCTTGCAATAAGCCTTTTCCTTCTAAGAAGGGCTACACAATGACCCTATAGTGTGGGGGTGTTCCTGGTGAGTTGTGATGAGTAGGATTAGATTGGCCAATGTTAGTTTGAAGTTCATATGTGAAAAGACCAACTTGCCTATGTGCACGTCTCTGCGGCCCGGAGGCGGCCCGGCGGAGCGGTCAGAGCAGCACTGCGCCGGCCGGCGATCGACTCTCGACTATAACACGGGCTCTATTGAACGGCCTCCAGGCGCTCTCTAGGGCTGCCCTATTCCGCTCGCCCGGCTACGTCGCCGGGCTTCGAAGGAAAAGGTTTCGCTCGGCACGGCGTCGGAGAGCAAACTTCGGCGTTCGTCCTATAGTGGAAGCTGGACGCACGTAGGCAAGTGGCCCATGACCAGGCGGGCTGCTGCTCAGAATCTGGGCCGTCGGCGCTCGCTCTCGCGTTCTTCATAACGGCGTTGCCCCCTCCCTCCCGCGCCGACGTTGGGCAGCCCGACCACGACAACACCAGTGCCGCCGGCCTGCAACCTGAGGCGCCGTTGAATGAGCACGAGAGCCGGTGCGCGACGCGGCGCGGGTGATGCAGCCCAAGGTGACGGCGACGGCGGAGGGGGCGGCGGCAGAGGAAGAGGCGGCGGCGGCGGCGATGGCCGTGGGGTCGGCCCGCCCGCTTTTGCTGCTGGTGCTGTGGGATGTCGGTCATCTGCCACCACTCGCCAGCGACAAGGTTGCTGGGTCCATGGACGCAGACTTGTTGGAGATTGAAGAGGTGCTCGGCTTGCGTTACTGTGCGATCCGAGCCAGATGACTGCGGTGGCGCTGAGGAACCCTGTCGTTGAAGCTGAGGAACCCTGTCGTTGAAGTCGACTAGTGCTTGGAGTACCTCGTCTCGGCAGGTCCCGACGACCGTGGCTTCCATTCTGTTGCTTGGTTTTTTCACGGCGACTTGCTGGACCATGCAGGTGCGGACACGGTCAAGGCAGCGATACAATAGTATTAGAACTGGATAAGGAATTCACGGCGCTGGCGGAGGCGTGTGACGAGGCTGATGCTGAGTAGCCGCCCAGCGCTGCTCAGCGGCAGTTTGCGCCGACCAGGGGCAGGGCCAGTGGTAGACAGTGGACGTGGTGAGGCTGCTCTGCGAGCGATGACACTAGCAGGAGCATGATGAGTGTCATCGGAGTCACTTGTGTTACGATATCACCCGCGCCGCCACGTTGGCAGGGACCTTTAACCCGCTACACCGTTTCGGTTCGGCCGCTTTAGGCGCTTATAGGCGAGTGACGGCCGACACCCCGGGGCCTGCCGTGCCTCCGCCGTGGGCTGAGCGCCTGGGAGAGCCACTCAGCAAGTGGTGTGCGAGCGTGTAGCCTTTAGCGTGCAGTCGGCCGTGTGTTTGTGTGGAACCTCTTGCAAAACCTCTGGAGGTGGGGAGCGCGCGAGCAGAAGAGTGACGAAGACAGAGCGACGGGTCCCGCACAGACAACCCCTTCACGCCGTGGTCAATTCCACCTAGCTCGCGAGTGGGTCGCCTCCCCGTCCACCCTCTCTCGCAGCCCCGTCGCCCGCGCCCAGTCCGCGTGGCTCGGACGCCGGCGAGGCGTGCGGCTGGCGTGCGGCTTACTCGAAGGCGGGGAGCCGCACACAGTCAGCCGCTCTCACTGCTGCTCGTGCTCGCGGATGGCCTCCTCGAGCTGACCGAGCATGAACTGGTCCTGTTCGTGTTTAGAGTACTCCTCGAGGAACCGCTTGAGCTTCTCCTTGGCAAGCACCATGCCGTCCAGGTTCTTCGCCTCTTGCGCAGCGATGAAGGCGGCCAGGATCTGCTCGCGCACGCCCTCTTGCCCGTTCCGCGTCATGCGCCCTTTGGTCAAGCAAGGGGAGCCACCGCAGCTGCCACTCGAGCTGCTGCCCGCGTCGCGGCCACGGCCGCTCGAGCTGCTTCCCACACCGCGGCCGCCTCCGCCGCGGCCGCGGACCGGCGTCTCGTCAGGCTGGTTCGGCCGGGGCCGCTTTTGGGCCGCGGGCTTTGGCTTTGGCGGGGCCTTGGGCGTTTTTTTCTCGAGGACAGCTTTGATCGCGTTCATGATCTTCGGCGTGTCGACGTACATCTTCTTACCTGCAGCGGCGGTGAGCATCTCCTTGCATTTGCGCAGCGCGTCAGCGTCGAAGAATTGGAGGTCGCTCTTCTCGTCGCAGCCCATTTCCGCGAATACTGAGCCGTAGGCATCGCCGAAGCCCGGCTTCACAGTGTCTAGCCATGCCACCATTATCATGGTTCGAGAGTGATGAGAGCGAATTCGTTGTGAAGACGGGCTGAGATTAAAATCGAGAAAAACCCGGAGGTTCGTTTTCAAATAGAAGTTGGACTGAAAAGAAAATGATGGCGGCACACTCGCGCCACTGCACACATCTCTCGCTTGCGCGCTAGGCAACACAAATGTATATGCTGGCCCTCCACATCGTCTCTTTCGCCGCGCTCGAAGTCGACTTCAACGCTGGCTGGCGCTTCCTTCGCGGCGATGGCACCTACCAGCTACCCAGCTCCGACGACACGGACTGGCGTGACATCGAGGCTCCGCACGACTGGGCCATTGAGGACCTGCCGAGCCGCGAGGAGGACGATGTGACGCCAGTGCTGGCCGTTCGCCACGGAATATGGCGCTTCTACCGCGGCGAGGGCAACGACACGTTCGCGGCGCCTGGCTTCGACGACGCAGGCTGGACAGACATCCAAGTCCCAAGCGACTGGCGTGCGGCCGCCGGCTACGAGGCAGCCAACGCGTCCGGCTGGTATCGTCGAAACTTCACCGTGTCTGCCGCCGCCTTTGCGGCGGCGAGAGCGGGCACCCTGCGGCTCGCCCTCGGCTCTGTCGCGACCGCCGACCGCACCTACATCAACGGCGCGAAGGTGGGCAGCAAACAAACAAGGGGCCGATTCATCATTTAGAGAATGTGGGAGGACCGAGCCCGAGACCGCGGGAGCGGTGGAACTCGTTTAATGGACAGGCTGACCCCTACCCCCGTGATAGGTGGGCAGCACCGGCGCCTGGCACAAGCCGGGCGGCTGCTCCTCACGCCTCGACTACCGCAGCTACGCGGTGCCCGCGAGCGCGTTGCACGTCGGCCCCGACAACGTGGCCGCAATCTGGGTCTGGAGCGAGGGCTCAGGCCCGGCAGGGCTGGTGGACTGGGCCCAGCCGGACCGGCGCATCGGCCCCTTCGACCCGGGCGCCTCGCCCGGCCACAAGCAGACGGGCTACACGCTTGGCGGCGTGGGCTGGTATCGTAAGACGTTCCGACCAGACGCGAGCTGGGGCGAGCGGCTGCAGCTCTTCGTAGAAGGGTGAGCGCGATACGGCTACCCTCATTCACTGGAGCCTCAGCATCAGACTGGAGCCTCGGCATCAGAGTGGAGCCTCAGCATCAGAGTGGAGCCTGTAGCTCGAGGCCTCACACCGCTGACCCGACCGCAGGTGCTACATGAACTGCTCGGTGTACCTGAACGGCGAGCACCTCCTGACCCACCCGTACGGCTACACCAGCTTCGCGGTCGATCTCACTGCCGGCGGGCTGCGGCTGGGGCAGCCGAACGTGCTCGCGATTCGCGCCGAGAGCCGCGGGTCCAACTCCCGCTGGTACATCTCCCCATATCTACCCCGTCTCTCCCCATCTCTCCCCATCCCTCCCTCCGCCACCTTCGGACTGCGGCCATAGGTACGCTGGCGCCGGCCTGTTCCGTCCCGTGTCCCTCCTGGCCCACCCGGCGCTGCACCTCGCGGTCCCCGGCGGCGTTTACGTCACCACGCCGCACATCGCGCTCACAGCGAGCGACGGCCTGCGCGCCGACGCGACAGTCGCTATCAACGTCACCGTCGCCAACGCCCGCGGCACGACCGCCGCGGGAGCAGGCGCCCGCGTCGAGCTCTTCGACGAGCGAGGCGTGTCGCTCGGCGTGGGCTTTGCTTCGCTGCCTGAGGTCGGCGGCGGCGGCAGCGCGAGCGTGCTGCTCTCGTTCGATGCGAGGAGAAGATGTGGAGCCGAGATCGGCCGGAGATCAGCCGAGGACACGCGAGATTGCCCGAGATAGGTGCGCGGCGTCAGGACGTGGAGCCCAGGGCAGCCCTCACTCTACCGAGCAGTCGCGACCCTCTCGTGCGGCGGCGGCCTGCGAGACGGCTGCCCGGACACGGAGACCGCCACCTTCGGCGTCCGCAGCTTCTCGTTTGACTCGAGCGCCGGCTTCGTCCTCAACGGCCAGTCCGTCAAGCTGCACGGCGGTGCGCCGGAGGCAGCGCGCAACGTCCCCCCCGCCGCCGCCGCGCGTCAAGCTCTGCGGGTTGTGGTAGGCTGCGTGCACCACGACAACGGCCCGCTCGGCAGCAAGGCGAACGGCCGCGCCGAGGAGCGATGACTGTGAACAGCGTCTCTTCACACCTCCTGCTGATGATAGGCGATCGGCCGCGCCGAGGAGCGGCGGGTCGAGCTTCTGAAGGCGAGAATTATCTTCGGATGATGACACACCAGTGCTAGCAGCAATAATGAGATGGATGATTGTGACCGCATGTACGAGCCCGGTTCCAACGGTTTAGCACGTGTCCTATCCTTACAGCACTCTTCTTCTCTGCTCAAGGCGAACGGGTACAATGCGATCCGGACGTCTCACAACCCTGTCTCTCGCGCGTTTGTCGACGCGTGCAATCGTTTGGGCGTGCTGCTGATGGAGGAGGCCTTCGACTGCTGGGACGCCGGCAAGAATTCCGACGACTACCACCTCTTCTTTGAGGATTGGTGGCAGCGCGACATCGCCTCTATGGTGCTCCGCGACCGGAACGCGCCCGCGATCGTCTTCTGGAGCATCGGCAACGAGATCCCCAACCGCCACGTGGCGCGCGGCGCTGCGCTCTCCGCTGCCCTCTCCGAGTACATCCGGCACCTCGATGACGCTGGCGGAGGCAGCCGGAGAGCAATCACGAGCGCGTACCCAGGCGTGGGGACCGACGCGGCCACCGCCGCCTTCCTCGCGCCCCTCGACGTGGCTGGCTACAACTACTCGCCACACGGGTTCGCACGCGACCACGTGACGCACCCGGCGCGCGTCATCGCCGCCACGGAGACCTTCCCCGAGTCAAGCGTTCTCAACTTCAACGCGCTGCAAGACTATCCGTGGGTCGTTGGCACCTTCATCTGGACAGCCATCGACTACATTGGCGAGTCGTCGATTGGCGCCAACGGCCACTCGCCGCCCGACCCCCTCGCCTGCGGCGGCTACTGCCCGGCTCCGTGGAGCTATCACATCTCCTTTTGCGGCGACCTCGACATCGTGGGCGGCCAGAAGCCGCAGGTCCGTGATAGGCCCGCCCCCAAATGCCCCCCCATCACGCCCCGTTTTGCAGGCGGCCTCGACGTTGTAGGCGTACCTGCGGCGTGTGCTGTGGAACGTCTCAGCGCTCGAGATGGCCGTGAAGCCCGCCGACGACGGCGAGGTGATCGCTTCGTGGGGCTTCCCCGACGAGCGCCAGAGCTGGAGCTGGGAGGAGCAAAAGCGGCTCATGCGGGTCAACCTGTACTCGACGCGCTGCGCTTGCGTCCTCCTGGCGCTCAACGGCCGGAACGTGAGCGAGGGCTGCGTCAACGTCTCGCGCGCGACCGCGTACACGGCCACCGTCAGGGTCCCCTACGAGCCAGGCACGCTCGAGGCGACCGGCTTCGACGCGCGTGGCCGAGCAATCGCGACCCGCACATTCAAAACATCCGGACCAGCGGCAAAGCTGCGTTTGGCCGCAGATCGAACGACGATCCGGCCGTCACGGGCGGACCTCAGCTACGTCACCGTTGAGGTGGTAGATGCAGATGGCGTGCTGGTCGCGTGCGCAAACGAGAGTTCACTTGCCGCGTGCGTCCCGCCCACCGTTCGCTTCAAGCTGGAGGGCGCTGGCGAAATCACGGCTGTGGGCAGCGGCGACCCCACCGATGCCTCGTCCTTCCATCAGTTGGCCCGCAAGACGTTCCGCGGGCGAGCGACGGCGATCATTAGACCTGGGAGTCCCTCTGCGGCTCCACCCCGCTCGGGAAAACTGACGCTCACGGCGTCGAGCGCTGGTCTGGCGAGTGCCACGCTAACCATCGAGCTACGAGGTGGAGAGGTGGTGAGCTGAGAGGCGTGCGTGTATATTACCCGCTCGCGAGGTCTCGGAGAAACTTAGGGTTACACGTATATATAATACTCAATTTTCTCTCCCTTGAAAAAAGTAAATCGTGTATCGTCGAGACCGTGGTCCGTGCCGCGCCGTGCGGTCTGGCTGCGCGGGGCGTCCCCCGACACGCCTCTTCCTCTATGACTCGCCATCACTACTGCGCACAGACGCCTGCGCGACGCGGCACACCGCCTGGAGGTAGTCCACGTCCAACTCGTCCACCCTTCGCATCGCCTCGAAGCTGTCCTCGAGGTCGGCAGCCGCCTCTTCACCGCCTCGACCTCCAGACAGGGCCGCCTCGAGCCTCGACCCGAGAAGAGCCGACTCGGCGGCGGCATTGCCAGGCGCAAGGGCCTTGGGCGGCAGGTGAAACGCGAGGTACTGGGACGCTGCGGCCACGAGCAATCGCATTCGGCCGAGGACTGTGCCCACCCCGGTGGCCGATGGCCGCGGCCGCCCCGCATCAACGCGGGAGCCACGGAGGGGCGTGGGTGCGCCGGAGGTAGGGGCGGTGGACGCGGGGCTCCGGTCGAGGCCGGGCGACGCGGGCGCCGGTGCCGGTGTGGGCGAGGCCGGCGAGGGCGGCGCTCTCGGGGGCGTCTGAGCGACGACTGCCTCCGCCGCGCCTCTCTCCGAGGGGGTCTTCTCTCGCGGGGGTGCTTCGAAGACCCCCCCCCGCGCAAAAGCCAGCAGCGCCTCGCGCAAGCCCGCCGCAAACTCCGCGACGTGGCTCTCGCCGAGCAGCTCGGACCGGCCTGCGGCCAGACATGGCCCCTCCGCGCCGTGAGCTGCCCCCTCGCCGCTAGCGCCGCCGTGCGGCTGCCAGTCGAAGAGGAGGAAGAGAAGCTGCAGCAGGTCGGCGGCCTTCTTTTGCAATCGGACGCTCCGCGGCACCAGCAGCGCCATGCCACCGCCGGCCTCGCTCTCCCCACGAGCGCTGCCCTGCAGCACCGCCCCGATGGCTCGCTGCGCAGCGCGGCAGCTAGCAGACGGCTTGTCGGCCGCGTAGCCGCCCTCGCGCAGAAAGCAAACCAGCAAGTCGGCCGCGGTGGACGTGGCGGCCTCCGCATCTGCATACAGCACCGCCCGCCGCCGCAGCGTCCGCGCAAGCGCACGCTGCCCGTTCCCGAATGCGGAATGCTCGATCCCACCCTCGTCGCCGGCGTTGCGGAAGCCTGCGGCCATGGCGGGCACCTCTGCCGTGTGCCCCGCCGCCAGCGTTGGCGTGCCGTGCCTCGAGCCTGCGCCTTCTCTCTGCCGGTGTGGCCCGCCCGCAGAGATCGACACACCCTCGGCCCGACCCCCAATCAAGATGGAGACCGACGAAGCCCTCTCGCCGCCGGCCGACGACGGTGGCAATGCAAACGAGGAGAGCTCGTCGGCCTCGCATCTGCTGGACGAAGGCCGCGGCGAGAGCCGAGCGGCACAAGATGCGAGTGCGCCGGCGGCCTGCACGTGCGCGGCAGCAAGCGAGGCGAAGCGGGCTGGCGGCGGCGACGAGGAGGTAGGAGGCGACACCGCGGGCGAGGGCGAGTGGCGCGCGAGATCCGTGGGCGGCGACGCTGCAGCCACGGCGGCGGCGGCCGCTACGGCGGCAACCCGCTCGGCGGCTGCCGCCGCCGGCGAGTGGCCTGCGCGGCACGAGGTCGCAAACACCTCACACTGCAGGTGCAGAAAGTCGTACGCGCGAGCGCCCAGCTTTGCTCGCGCACGCGCCAGCACGGCGTCGGCGGACGACCTGCACGGCGTGCGCAAGACAAAGACGGGCCGGCGCTTGGAGAACGCCTCGAGCGAGTCGAGACGCAGCTCGACGGCGGACAGCCACCGTCCCCCCCCGCGGGCGCGCTGCGCACTGCTGTCCGCCTGCGCGCCGTGGCCGGTGAGCCGGACGTAGTGCGCAACCTCTCCCCCCGCGCCGCCGCCGACAAAGATGCCGTGGTGCACGCGTCGCGCGCTCGGGTCGCCTCGGATGATGCGGTCGCCGCGGCGCAGGACGACGCCGAGCGAGTCGCGCCGGAGCCCGTCCGGGCACGACCCCGTCGGGCAGTCGCACAAGTCGACGAGCTCTGCCTCGCCCGAGGGGGGAGGGCGGCGCGCCTCCTCGAACGCCCGCTCTCGCTCCGAGCCGAGCGACGTACCGAGCAGGTACGCGAGCGCGGCCTGCAGCGTTGAGACGGCATACCCGAGAGGTCCGAGCGTCCTCGAGCGCGGGAAGAGGTCGCAGATGAGCCGCACGTGCGCCGGAAGCCGCGGGACGCGCGCCCGCGCGAGCGCGAAGACGAAGAGCGGCAGCATGTCGTCGGTCGCCACCGCGACGCCGCCGCCGCCGCCCGCGTGCTCGATGCGGCCGCTCGCCTCTCGCGCGAGGCACTCGAGCGCGGCGAGGGCGGCGTGCCCCTTCTCGACCGGCGTGCGCGCCGCGCCGATGTGGTGGAGCGCGCGGGCCGTGTCCGCGTATGGCCCCGCCCCCGACGCGCCGAGCGACCACGCGCGCCACGCGGCGCCGATGCGCCACGCCGCCACCCACCGCCGGCGCGCCTCGCCGTCCCCCTCGCCGACGCCGGCGCCGGCGGCCGGCGGCGGGCTCGGCGGGCGGGCGCGCCACAGCCCGAGTTCGGACCGCACGCCCATGTGCTGCGGGAGGAGCGGGCGGAGCGCGCGGAGCTGCGCCGTGTAGAGCAGCCCGTCCGGCCTACGGGAGGCGCGCCGGACACATGACACAAAGGGGCCGGACATGTTCAGGGGCCGTGCGGAGCAGTGTCGCAGTCGCCTCGTCACCGCGGCGTAGAGCTGCAGCAGGTGGGGCGAGAGGGCCGACAGGGCGGGCTCGTCCACAAGCTCGCACAGCTCGCCTACAGGAAGGGTCCAGGAAGGGTCCAGGAAAGGTCTAGGAAGGGGCTCGTCAACACGCTCGCACAGCTCGCCCAGTGGCACCGCAGCAGACAGGCCGGGCAACGCACCGCACACCTCACAACGCATCCGCTCCAGCAGCGAGCCAACCTACAGGAAGGTTCCAGGAAAGGTCCAGGAAAGAGGTCCAAGGAAGCAACGCGTCCGCTCCAGCAAGCGAGCCAACCTCCCGCACGGCCTCCGCCGCCACGGCCTCCCGCGCCGCGTCCCCCGCCGCCGCCTCTTCGCCGCCCGCCCGCCCGTCCGCCAAGCTCGCCGTCGCGGACTGGAGCCGAGGCACCAGCGAAGCGACGAGGCGGGCGAGGAGGAGGCCGAGCGGGTGCGCGCCTGGCTGGCCTCGCCCCCCGCCGCCGGCCGGCGAGGACGGCGACGGCGGCGGCACGTCCCCGTCGTCGCCTCCCCGCGGCGCGAGCCAGCTGGCGACGAGCGAGCGCAGGTCGACCAGCGGAGGCGCCTTCTCCTCCGGCGCTCGCCCGCTCGCAGCGGCGGAGGCGGCCGCAGCAGCCGTGCGCCGGATCTCCGCCTCTGCCACTCGCGTCTCTTGCAGCAGCCGCGCCGTCGCCGTCGCGTCGCCCGCCGGGGAAGGGCAGCTGTCGGCGCGCAGCTCGAGCGGGCGCTCGCACAAGTGAGGAGGCGCGAGCGCCACCAGGCGAGACCCCTCGGCGAGGGCGAGCAGAGATCCGGCGCAGCAAAGCAGCGACCGACCGCCGCCCCCCTCGCCTGCTGCGCCGCCGTTGCGCGCCCTCGCCAGCCGGGAGGGGGAGCCGCACGCGTCCGCCGCGGTGGGGAGCTGTGGCGGCAGGCTCGTCGCGGCGCTGAGGCCGCCCGTCTCGCTCTCCCACCCGCGCAGCGACGCGCCGCCGCCGCCGACGCCGCCGCCGCCGCTGCCGCCGCCGTCACCGGCTCCAGCGAGATGGAGCGAGTAGACGAGCGGCGGGGCCGCGGCGACGGCGTGTGGCGGAGGCAAGTCGCGGCGCTGGTCCCACGACGGGAGGGGCGCCAGGCTGAGCTGCGCTAGGTCGAGCACCAGCGTCGAGGCGCCGCCGCCGGGAGCGAGCCCTGCGGCGAGCAGGACGCGCCTCGCCGGCAGAGGCAGCAGCGGAGGCGCCTCGGGCGGCGGCGGCGGGCCGGTTGCTGAGTGGAGCGGCCTCAGCGCGCGCACCCACGTCCGCCGGCGCGCCCGCGCGCTGCTCGACGGCGCCGCTACCCACCCTCCCGCTCCCCCCCCTCCCGCCCGGAGTGAGGCGGAGGCGCCGTCGGGAGAGGCTGCCCCGTGCCAGCCGCTGCCGTACTGCCAGCCGTCGTCGCACGTGGGGCGCTCAAAGTCGACGCGCCAGCCGCCCGCCCACGTCGCCCCCGCCGGCGGGGCCGCCGCCGTGAGCGAGCCGAGGGGAGAGTAGTGGAACTGCGGCCCGCGTGCGTACACGAGCCCTCCGCCCGGCGACGAGGCGGAGGGGGCAAGCGGGTGCCACGACGAGGCTCGCGGGAGGAGCGAGCTGCCGCCGCCGCCGCGAGACTGCCGCTCCCAGACGACGAGCTCGGGCGGAGGGACGACCGGCGACGGCCTGCCTCCCGCCTCTGGGGCGGAGCGAGGCGGAGGCGGCCTCGCCTGCAGCCGCCACACCTCTGCGTGAAGTGTCTAGGAAGTGTCCAGGAAGTGTCTAGGAAGCCTCGCCTGCAGCCGCCACACCTCTGCCGCAGACGCCGCGTCGAGCACGACGTAAGTGGCCTCGCCCCCGCCGCCGCACGCTCCCTCGGCCTGGGCGAGCAGCGTGGCGCACACGTGCCCCCCGCTCCAAAGAACCGCCGCCACGCGGCCCTGCACCGGGAGGCTCGCCCGCCGCGTCGCTGCGCAAGCCGGCGGCGGCGGGCGCGAGTCGGCGGCGGCGGAGGCGGCGCGGGACGGCTGCTGCACGAGCTGCAGTCCCCAGAGCTCGATCCTCCGATAGTGCGCCGTAGCGATGGCGGCGGGCGGCGGCGAGGGCGAGGAGTGCCCGCCGTGCACGCAGAGCGCGCCCGTGCAGGCTGCCACGAGCCGGCAGGCGCCACCAAGCCGAGGCAGCAGGTGCGCAGAGACCTCGCCGCCGCACGAGACAAGGAGCCAGTCGCTCGCGGGATCGCCGCCGCCGCCGCCGGGCCCACGGATCGCCGCCACCGCGAGCGCGTCCACTGAGACGCCGCTCCGGAGCACCAGGGTCGGGCCGGCCAGCCATTCGAGCGGGCCGTCTGCAGGAGGCAGAGCGGACGCCGCGTCCGAGCTGGCGGCGGCGGCGGCGGCGGCGGTGCTGGCGGCCTCTGTGGCGGCAGCCGCCGCGGCTGGCGCCATGAGAGCAAGCTCCATCGGCGTCGGACCACGCGAGGCGCGAGGCGCGAGGCGGAACGTGCAGACGGTGCCAGACGCGGTGCCGATCACGACCGTGTCGCCGTGCAGCAGCAGTGCGGAGGCCGGAGAGGAGAGGGTCACCTCAGCGAGGAGAGCGGGCTGCTGCAGAGGCATGGCTAACGCGCTCGAGGAGCTCCCTGGGGAGGTCGAGGAGGCGGACGGGCGGCGGCGCGTCCGGCGATGGAGCGGCGGTCGAGGAGGAGGCGATGCGGCGCGAGCGGCGGCGCGGCGGGGTGGACATCGCGAGGAAAAGAAAATCAGGCGGGGTGCACAGCGGGGAAACTGCCTCTTCCTCCGAAAGAGATTAGTAGAAAAAGAGAATCGGCCGTGACGAAGCAATCATCGTGCAAGAGCAATCCACTCAGGACTCATGCTCGGCCGCCCGCTCGTGCTCCGCCGCCCGCTCGTGCTCCGCCGCCCGCTCGTTCTGACGCTGGCCTCGCGCCGCCCCCTCCTGGACATGCGCACGTACCCCCTCCTGGGCATGCGCACGTACCGTGGACACAACCGCATCGAGGACATGCTGACCGCCAGCGAGGCGTGCCGCTCACTGTCTCGTCGCCTGTGATGTCGAGACGAACTGTATGCGCGCCCATAAACAGGCGTGGCACTCGCTCGTTCCTGAGCGGCCCCTCGGCAGCGACGCGGCACTCCAAGACGCATTCAAAAAGCTCGACCTAGATGGCAACGGCCATCTCGATGCGCAGGAGCTGAAGCAGGCGCTCCTCTGCGCCGCGAGCAAGACGGTCACGATAGAGGCGGACATCGACGACCGTGTGGACGAGATGATCGGCTGGGCGGACATGTCGGACGATGGTGTTGTCACATTCGAGGTGCGTGTCCGCCCGCCACCGCTGCCCAAGGCTCGCACGTGAGATTTGCCATTCCGCCGCGCTCCGCCGCAGGAGTACAAAAAGATCATCCTCGCGGGCTGCGCGACCCGCGACGGAGGCCGGGTGAGCGTGCGCAAGGTCTCGGCCGTCGCCTCGGCCATCTCGTCGCCGCGCACGGCAGGCGCCTCCGTCAACTCGACGACCTCCACGCGGGGACCGGACGGTGACACAATCTACCTCTGATAAGCGCGCACGCGCCACGAGCCACGCGACAAAGCATGCGCGGCCATGGTGAACCCCTCTCTGCTGGCGATACACACGCGACACGACTGGTTGGTACACGAAATGGGTCGTTGGTTAGTATCTGTGAATTCTCCGTGTTAGTGGCGGGCTAGGGTTCCAAGTGAGTGTTCGAGGTGCCGCAGGATAGGATCACTTAGCCGACCTAAGTAAACCAAGCAACTCCCTACGCGGCAAGGAGTCCGAAACCTGTGTTTATAGATCAACACTTTCGATAGACCGAAAGTAAGATCGTTCGGTGCAGAAACCCCGGCACTGCCCATGTAACGCAATTGTGCTCGATTTTTGGTCGAGAAGGTCTCCAAGTCTTCTGGACCCATCGATGGCCGTCGCCTCGACGCCGCTCGTCGCGGCACCATCGTGCCCGGCCTGGGCGAAGCATCGTCGCGGGCGCCAGCCGCAGTTCGACGGCAAGCCGTGCGAGCCTGCCGAGGAGGAGGACATGTGGCTGTGCCTGGCCGACGGCCGCGCGCGCAGCACCGCCGACCTGAAGCGCCTGGCGACAGCCGCTCGGGTGCGAGCGAAACGAGCAGGAGATGCAGCCGCCGCGAACACGCGCGATCGGCAGGCGCGCGACCAGCGCCGCCGGCAGCGTGAGCAGCACGACCGGCGCGCAGCGCCGGCGGTCGCCAAGACCGTGCGCCCACAACGCGGCCAGTGCGGCTGCCCGGCGCACGCGGTGTGCGGCATGTGCGTCGACCAGGGCAAGCTCGCCGCGGCCGAGCAGGCGGCCATCGACCTGGAGACGCGCTTCCACGCCTCGACGAACGTCGTCATGGACCTGGAGCGGCCCGAGGACGAGACGGCGGCGCTGCTGCAGCGCTGCGTGCACGTCTCCGACGAGACGAAGCGGCGGCTGCTGGGCGAGTGGAGCGACGAGCGCATGGCGCACGCGCTGCCGCTGCACGCATGCGCCGCGTGCGGCGTGCGGGACCCGTCGCTGACGTACACGCGGGTTGACGTGTCGGCGCTGCCGCGTACTGTGTCTGTGCGCGTAGCCGGCGGCGAAGACGAGACGCGGCACGTGTTTGAGCTCTCGCCCGAGCAGTGCGCTAAGTATCGAGGTCTTCAAAACAAAAAGGTGCGCCTTGCGTTTCCCAACGGCGCGAGCAACGACCGTCCCAACGGCGACGGTACGCACGAATTCCGCGACACCGACATCTCGCGCGTCATCAGCTGCTGGGAGTCGGACGACGGCACGCTCTACCACCTGCACCCCGAACTCGTCGATCGCCGCGCAAATGAGCACGGCGTGATGGTGCCATGCGCGATGCTGTGTCAATGGTGTGGTATTAGAAAAGGAGTTGCGGTGTTGATCGCCGCGGGAGCCCTCTTATCTAGATACCCCTATTTTTGTGCCCTGCTGCAACCCATGCCCACTAACCAGAAGCTTAGCCATGTCCTCCATCTTGTCGGGCAACCACCCGCCTCCGGATCTGGCCACTAGAGACGAGACACGAACGGGCGGCACGAGGCGCGCCTTTCTAATAGCCGTGCTCGCTTCCTCGCTCGGCGTGGCGAGGCTCTGCCACCGCGGCGACCTCTTCTGGTGCCGAGCTCGCGGCATCAACCTCGGCACCCTGCTGCAGCCTGCCGGCTTCTCGCTCGACCGGATGCCCGACCTGAGCGGAAGAACCGCCGTCGTCACCGGCGCGAGCTCTGGCCTCGGGCTGGAGGTTGCAAAGCAGCTGGCGCTGGCCAACGCCACCGTCGTGCTCGCGTGCCGCAACCTATCGCGGTGCGAGCGCGCCCAGTCCCTCATCGCCGAGGCGGCGGCGCGGCGCGCTTCCGCGCCGGCAAGCACCCTCCCTCTCGCCCTCGACCTCGAGAGCCTGCAGAGCGTCGCCGCGTTTGCTGCGGCGCTGGAGGCGGAGCTGCAGCGGCGGGTCGCGGCGGACGAGCCGGCTCGAGCTCCCTCGCTAGACCTGCTCGTCAACAACGCGGGCGTGGCGGCGCAGTTCCCGCTCCGCCTCACAGAGGACGGCGTCGAGGCCACCTTCCAGGCGAACGAAACAGACGGGCAGAACCACCCGCGCCTGTCCCTAGTCCTATCCCCAACGGCAGCCGACAGGCGAACTATCTCGGGCACTTCGCACTCACCACCCGCCTGCTGCCGCTGCTGACGCGGACGGCGGCCGGGCGGTCAGGCGGCCGCGGGTGGCGCACAGCTCCCTTCTTCCAGGACCCGTCTCGGACCTTTCCTGGAACCGTCCTGTAGGCCGCGGGCGGGTGGTACACCTGACTTCGGGGGCCCACCGAGGCGCGCCGCCGGAAGGGGTGCGCTACGCCTCGCCTCGTTCAGCGACCAGTCCTGCCCCACGGCCCCCGTGCACGCGACACGTCCGGGACACGTCCGGGGCTTTGTCGCGCAGGTGCCGCTTTCCCTCGCGTCGATCAACGACGCGCGGCTCGGCGGCTACGCGCGGTGCGGGGGAGGGCCAAGCTCGCGAGCCTGTCCTGGACATGTCCACGACACTTCCCTGACATGCCCCACAGGTACGGGATGGCCAAGCTCGCGAGCCTGGCCTTCGCGGCCGAGCTGGCGCGGCGGCAGGGCGGGGCGCTGCTCTCGTCTGCGGTCCACCCCGGGGCGGTCGCGGCGAGCGAGATGTACCCGAGATGCACCCGAGATGCGCCCGAGATGTAGGTCCACCCTGGCGTCGTGGCAAGCGACATGCTCCGGCGCGGCAACTTCGAGGCGATGCTTGGGCGGCGGCTCGGCAGCCTCCCCGCCGAGAGATGGCCGAGAGATGGCCGAGAGATGGCCGAGAGATGCCCGAGAGATGGCCGAGAGATGCCCGAGAGATGCCCGAGAGATGGCCGAGAGATGGCCGAGAGATGGCCGAGAGATGGCCAAGGTATGGCCGAGAGATGGCTCCGCGGCTCGACAGCCTCCCCGCCGGCCTGGCGACTTCGAAGAGGCGGCGGGCGCGTGCCTGAGTCGAGTGTCTGAGCCGTCCCCGGGAGTGCCTCGCGCCACAGGTGGCATCGCCTGGCAGCTAGCGCAGGCGCGGAACGGGCTCTTCGCCTACTCGACCGAGCAGGCGGCGCTCACGGTCCTCTTCCCGGCGGTGGCGCCCGAGCTGGCGGGGCGGGCCGACTCGCCGGGAGGGAACGGGCGGCTTTTCGTGCCGGTCGCGACGCCGTGGGAGCCGCGCCACCCAATGGCAACCGACGAGGCGTTTGGGGCGGCGCTGTGGGGGTTTAGCGAGTGCGTCGTGGCGGGCCGTGCGCACGATTGCAGCCGCAACGCTACATGACGGTTCTGCGCTGAAGTTCTGACCAATCTCTGTATCTCGACCGCTTAGGGTGTTCGGCTGTGACCTGCCTTTAAGAGAGTAGCTTTAGCTACAACACATTGAAGTTCACATTGTGTCGTGTGAGCTAAAAGAATTCTGCGTTTGTTTCATTTAACTCGAAGGCTTGCTCAAAAAAGAATTTTACAACTAAACTCCCTCGCACAACACAGAACAAAACTTACGTGTGAGTGTTAGAGTTGTTTGGTATTGCTAAAAATCTCTCTCTCAACACAGAACACTGGGCACGGGAAAAACGAAGTCCGCCCCGTCCGAGGTGACCGGGTTGTTGCACGAGTATATGGGACACGATGTCTCAGACCTCCCCACGGAGCTCCTCGTGCGCGTCGTCTCTCGCTGCGACCACCTCGGCATCGCGCGGGGCGTTTCTTTTTCTCGTGCACCCCGCCGCGCCGCCTCGCCACCGCCGCCACCGCCGCTCCCTCGCCAGACACGCCGCCGCCCACCCGCCTCCTCGACCTCCCCACCGACCTCCTCGTGCGCGTCGTCTCTCGCTGCGACCCCGTCGACATCGCTCGCGTCGCGGCCGTCTCGCTGCTCTTCCACGCCTCGCTTGCGAAGGAGGGCATCCGCTTGCGGGCGCAAGAGCGCGGCTACGAGCTGCCGGCGCAGCCAGAGGGCGAGAGCTGCGCCGTGCGATGGCTGTGCTTGTCGGCGCTGCTTTGCGAGTCCAACCCGCCGGCAAGGGCGGCGGCAGACGATCGGCACAGCGTCTTCGTCGACGGCGAGGGGCGGCTCTCGTCGTGCGGTTCTGCACCGTCGTTCTCTCCAGGGCTGCTCGGTCACGGCGAGGGCGTGGCGCGGCTCAATACGCCGACCCGCCTTCCCTCGACGCTGGGAGAGCGCGCTGTGAGCGTGTCGGCTGGAGACGCGCACAGCCTCGCTCTCACTGCCGGCGGTGCTGTCTGGAGCTGGGGCCGTGGAGTTAAAGGCCGGCTGGGCCACGGCGACGAGGAGGAGCAGTGGCAGCCGACGAAGATCGAGGCCTTTGCTGGGTGGCGCGTCGTCGCCGTGTCGACGGGACGCGACCACAACCTCGCCCTCACCGCCGATGGCACCGTCTGGAGCTGGGGCTATGGTCACGAAGGCCGGCTGGGCCACGGCGACCGGCAGAACCTGCTGCTGCCCTGGCAGAACCAGCTGCTGCCCAAGAAGCTCGAGGCGTTGGCTGGCCAGCGCGTTCTCGCTGTGTCGGCTGGAGAGGACCACAGTCTGGCCATCTCCGCCGACGGCAGTGTCTGGAGCTGGGGCCGCGGAGACCTTGGCCGGTTGGGCCACGGCGACCAGCAAAAGCAGCCGCTGCCCAAGAAGATCGAGGCGTTGGCTGGTCAGCGCGTCGTCGCTGTGTCGGCTGGATACAGCCACAGCCTCGCCGTCGCCGCCGACGGCGCCGTCTGGAGCTGGGGCTTTGGAGGGAGCGGGCATTTGGGCCACGGCGACGGGCAGGCCCAGTGGCAGCCCAAGAAGATCGAGGCCTTTGCTGGCCGGCGCGTCGTCGCTACGTCGGCGGGAGGCGACCACAGCCTCGCCCTCACCGCTGACGGCGCCATCTGGAGCTGGGGCTTTGGAGGGCGCGGCCAGTTGGGCCACGGCGACTATGCGGCCCAGTGGCAGCCAAAGAAGATCGAGGCCTTTGCTGGTCAGCGCGTCGTCGCTACGTCGGCCGGAGGCGACCTCAACCTCGCCCTCACCGCTGACGGCGCCGTCTTTACCTGGGGCAAGGGCGAATATGGCCGCCTAGGCCACGGAGAGGACGAGTCGAACCAGCTGCTGCCCAAGAAGGTTGAGGTGTGGGCGCAGGGGCTGGAGAGTGCTCGAGTCGAGTTCACACACAGTTCAGCTGCTGCCCGGTCGTTTTTTTCTTTTTTAGCTGCTCTACATATTGCAATATGATGGCGGATATTCCTAGGACACCAATAAGATCTAGGGGGTGTGTTTTGGATAAGTTGTACAACTGGACCGACGACTCGTGTCCGAAAAGACCGGCCCGGAGGCCGGAAGGTCGAAGGAGCAAAAAAGAAAAACCGGGGACACAACGCCGCGAGCGGGCGAAAGGTTCGCACTGCAGAATATGATGGCGGATAGGACGCAGCCGGCGGCGCTCTCCTGGCAGAGCCTCGCGGAGAGCGGGCGGCTCGCCCGCGCGCTTGACAGGGAGAGCGCAGACGCGCCACACCTCCGAAAGCTCCGCCTCACCCTCGAGCCCAAAGCGGAGCCGCACACGCTGCGGCTCCAAATGCCGTGCGACTGCGGGAGCTGCATCGTCAAGGCACAGATGAAGGCGGGGGCCTCCTGCCTGGTGCTGGTCTGGAACGAGGAGAAGCAGAAGTGCTCGCTCCGCCTCAAAGAGCTCGCGGACGCCGCGCCTAGCGAGGGGCCGCCTGTGCCCGCGGCGGCAGGGGCAGAAGAGCCGGCGCCGCTGGAGGAGGGAGCGGCGGCGGCGGCAGCGGCGCCACCCGTGGCGGAGGAGGCGGAGGGGCTGCGTCTGCATTTCTCCAGCAGCAACGTGACCAGCTACAAGGGCGTGCACAAGCACCACTCTGGCCGCTTCCAGGCGAAGCACAAGGTGGGCGGAAGGGAGGTGTCGCTCGGCCACTTCGACACGGCGATGGAGGCGGCGGTGGCGTACGCGCGAGCAGTCGGCGAGTACCAGCCTCCGGCTCCTCCGACTGTGGCGGCGGAGGCGGAGGGATTGCGCTTGCACCTCTCGAGCAGCAACGCCACCGGCTACAAGGGGGTGGTCAAGCACAACTCCGGCCGCTTCGAGGCGTGGCACAGGGTGGACGGAAGGAAAGCATACTTCGGCCTCTTCGACACCGCGGTGGAGGGGGCGGTGGCGTACGCGCGCGCGGTCGGCGAGGCGCCGGAAGCGGGCTCGGCGGTCGCAGCAGCAGCAGGGCAGGCGTCAGCGGCACCGCTACCGCTGGGTGAGGCGGCAGAAGGCGCAGCCGCTGCCGAGCCGGTGGAGGCGGAGGCGGCGGGCGCGGCGGCGGCGGCGGCAGGAGCAGAAGAGACGGCGCCGCTGAAGGAGGGAGCGGCGGCGGCGGCGGGTGCGGCGACAGCTGAGGCGCCCGTGGCGGAGGCGGCGGAGGCGCCCCTGGCGGAGGAGGCGGAGGGCTTGCGTCTGCATTTGTCTAGCAGCAGCAGCAGTGGCTACAAGGGGGTGCACAAGGACTCGCGAAAGGGCCGCGACGTCTTCGACGCGCAGCACTGTGTGGGCGGAAGGAGGGTCTCCATCGGCTCCTTCGATACAGCGGTGGAGGCGGCGGTGGCGTACGCGCGGGCGGCCGGCGAGTACCAGCCTCCGGCGCAGCCTCCTCCGGTGGTGGCGACAGAGGCGGAGGGGCTGCGCTTGCACCTCTCGAGCGGCATCACCGGCTACAAGTGCGTGACTAAGCATCACGGTGGCCGCTTCCAGGCATCGCACCGAGGGAGAGACGGAAGGAGGGTCCACGTCGGCCTCTTTGACACCGCGGTGGAGGCGGCGGTGGCGTACGCGCGGGCGGTCGGGGAGGCGCCGGAAGCGGGCGCGGCGGTGGCAGCAGCAGCAGGGCAGGCGTCGGCGGCACCGCTGGGTGAGGCGGCAGAAGGCGCAGCCGCTTTCGAGCCGCCGGTGGAGGAGGAGGCGGGCGCGGCGGCGGCGGCGGCGGCAGAAGAGCCGGCGCCGCTGGAGGAGGGAGCGGCGGCGGCGGCGGCGGCAGCGGCGGCGCCCGTGGCGGAGGTGGCGGAGGGGCTGCGTCTGCATTTCTCCAGCAGCAACGTGACCAGCTACAAGGGCGTGCACAAGCACCCATCCGGCCGCTTCCATGCGAGGCACCGGGTGGGCAGGAGGGAGGTCTCGCTCGGCCTCTTTGACATGGCGGTGGAGGCGGCGGTGGCGTACGCGCGCGCGGTCGGCGAGTACCAGCCTCCGGCAGTGGCGGCGGTGGCGGAGGGCTTGCGCTTGCACCTCTCCAGCAGCAACCCGAGCGGCTACAAGGGCGTGTACAAAGACAACGCCCGCTTCCAGGCGCGGCACAGCGTGGGCGGGAGGGTGGTCTACTTGGGCTCCTTCGACACGGCGGTGGAGGCGGCAGTGGCGTACGCGAGGGCGGTCGGCGAGGCGCCGGAGCGCCAGGCAGAGGCTGCGCTTCCTCGCCCGGCTCCGCTGCCTTTCTCCTCCTCCTCCGGCCGTGGCAGCGGCGCCCGGCCCCGCCCAGCAAAGCGCCCACTCGAGCCGACCGACGCGCCGCTGCCGAAGCGGCGCTCAAGCCGCGCCGCCGCCGCCGCACCCTCGGCTGCCTCCTCCTCCACCCTTGCCGCCGCCTCCTCCTCTTCCTCCTCCGCCGCCACCACCGCCACCGCACCCACCGCACCCACCGCACTGGCCGCGCCCGCCACCGCCGCCCGCGCCGCCGCCTCCACCTCCACCTCCACCGCCTCCGCCTCCACCTCCACCGCCGCCCCTGCCGGCCCCTCCCCGCTCTCGAGCCGCCTGTTCACGACCACGCCGGACGGGCGCACCGTGCTGAGGGAGACGCCCCCTCCCCCCACGGGCGGCATGGCGGCCGTCGCCACGGCGCTGGCGCAGATCAACCTGCAGGCCTACGCCGCCGCCTTTGACGCCGAGGGCTACGACGACATCTCGTTCTTGCGCGGACTGGACGCCGCCGAGCGGGCGGACGTGGCCAAGGAGACGGGGATGAAGCCCGGGCACGCGGGCAGGTTTGTCAAGTTCGGCTTCGCGCCGCCATGAGCGAGCCCGCCGCTAGGAGCTCAGGGATCAGGGTCGGGTCCCGACAGGAGCTCTGTCCCAGTACGTTTCGAGTGCTTAGGGTGCACCGACCGGGATGCGCGAGCATGTTGCGGAAGGTCTACTGTCCGACCACCGTGCGGAACCTCTCGACGGGAGGTCGTTTGTACAATCAATACTGGAAGTAGCAGGTGTACGTCGAAGGTGTACGGCATACCGTATACCGAGCATCGACACCAATAAGATCTAGGGGGTGTGTTTTGGATAAGTTGTACAACTGGACCGACGACTCGTGTCCGAAAAGACCGGCCCGGAGGCCGGAAGGTCGAAGGAGCAAAAAAGAAAAACCGGGGACACAACGCCGCGAGCGGGCGAAAGGTTCGCACTGCAGAATATGATGGCGGATAGGACGCAGCCGGCGGCGCTCTCCTGGCAGAGCCTCGCGGAGAGCGGGCGGCTCGCCCGCGCGCTTGACAGGGAGAGCGCAGCCGCCCCGCACCTCCGAAAGCTCCGCCTCACCCTCGAGCCCAAAGCGGAGCCGCACACGCTGCGGCTCCAAATGCCGTGCGACTGCGGGAGCTGCATCGTCAAGGCACAGATGAAGGCGGGGGCCTCCTGCCTGGTGCTGGTCTGGAACGAGGAGAAGCAGAAGTGCTCGCTCCGCCTCAAAGAGCTCGCGGACGCCGCGCCTAGCGAGGGGCCGCCTGTGCCCGCCGCCGGCGTTGCGGCTGCAGAGGCGGGCACTCAAGCGGTGGCAAGCACTGCCACTGCCGAGGCGGTGGGCGGCGAGGGCGGCGAGGGCGGCGAGGGCGGCGAGGGCGGCGAGGGCGGCGAGGGCGGCGCGGGCGGCGAGGGCGGAGAGGGCGAGGGCGGCGACGAGGAGGCCGGCGGTGGCGGGGACGGCAGCGGCGGCGGCAGCAGTGGCGGCGGCAGCGGTGGCGGTGGCGAGGCCGCACTGCCGGGAATCAGCGCAGCGTGTCCGATGGAGCTGGATAGCGACGACGAGCCGGAGCCGGCGGCTGCTACGCCCGTCATTACCGCTCCTCCCGCCTTCGTGACAACCCCGGCGGCTCAGGCACGCGCGCCAACACCGCCCGCAGCCGGCCGCTCGGCCGCCCACGTGCTGTCGGCTCTTGCGCCTGCTGACGTCGGCGGCGGGATCTCCAGCGCCGACAGCGCCGATGATGCGGCGCTGCCCCTGCTCGACCCAGACAGCCGGGCAGTGTCGAACCTCCGCGCCATGATGTCCAACCCGGAAAAGTACGCCGCTCCGCCGGTCACGCTCACGGTCGCCGACGCGGCGCAGATCTACTGGCTCTTCACGCACAAGTATAGGGGTATCGGGCAGCCGGTGTGTTCCGAGCTCGCGAAGCACGGCAAGCTCGGCTTCTACACCGCCCTCGCCTCGCTCTCCGCGGGCAAGTTTGTGCATGTGGACGCGCGCAAGTGCCGCTCGCTGCTCGCGATGCTCAAGGCAGGATCGCCGCGCTCCGCCACTAGCCTCCTTGCGCTGGATATGGCGCGCCGGAGAGCAGCCTTGCTGTCGGCCGAGTACACGGCGCCGCTCCGGTACGACTTTGACAACGGAAGATTCATCGCGAAAGCGGCCAGCACCGCGACGGAGGCAGGCGGATCAGTCGAGCCGGGCGGCGGCGGAGGCGAGGGCGACGACGAGGCGGAGCTCTGTGCTGATGGCGCCGGTGCGATGCTGGAGGAGGGAGCGGCGGCGGCGGATGCGGCGGCAGCGGAGGCGCATGTGGAGGAGGCGGAGGGGCTGAGGCTGCACCCCTCGAGCAGCAACGTCACCGGCTACAAGAACGTGTTCAAGAACCAGTCTGGCCGCTACCAGGCGCGGCACAGGGTGCACAACAGGCAGGTCGCCATCGGCCACTTTGACACGGCGGTGGAGGCGGCGGTGGCGTACGCGCGAGCAGTCGGCGAGTACCAGCCTCCGGCTCCTCCGACAGTGGCGACGGAGGCAGAGGGGCTGCGGCTGCATTTGTCCAGCAGCAACGCCACCGGCTACAAGGGGCTGACTAGGCACAACTCCGGCCGCTTCCAGGCGCAGCACAGGGTGGACGGAGGGCTGGCTTTCCTCGGCCTCTTCGACACCGCGGTGGAGGCGGCGGTGGCGTACGCGCGCGCGGTCGGCGAGGCGCCGGAAGCGGGCGCGGCGGTGGCAGCAGCAGCAGGGCAGGCGTCGGCAGCACCGCTGGGCGAGGCGGCAGAAGGCGCAGCCGCTGCCGAGCCGGTGGTGGAGGAGGAGGCGGGCGCGGTGGCGGCGGCAGGGGCAGAAGAGCCGGCGCTGCTGGAGGAGGGAGCGGCGGCGGCAGCGGAGGCGCGCGTGGCGGTCGCGGAGGGTTTGCGTCTGCATTTGTCCAGCAGCAACAGCACCGGCTACATGGGCGTGACCAAGAGCACCGCGCAGGCTGGCCGCTTCCAGGCGCGGCACAGGGTGGACGGAAGGAAGGTCAGACTAGGCGACTTCGATACAGCGGTGGAGGCGGCAGTGGCGTACGCGCGAGCAGTCGGCGAGTACCAGCCTCCGGCTCCTCCGACTGTGGCGACGGAGGCGGAGGGCTTGCGCTTGCACCTCTCCAGCAGCAACGCCACCGGCTACAAGGGGGTGGTCAAGCAAATCAAAGGCCGCTTCGAGGCAGCGCACTATGTGGGCGGAAGGAGGGTCCACGTCGGCATCTTCGACACCGCGGTGGAGGCGGCGGTGGCGTTCGCGCGGGCGGTCGGGCAGGCGCCGGACCGCTCCTCCTCTTCCGCCACCGCCGACTCCGCTGCCGGCGGCAGCGGCGCCAGGCCCCGTCCAGCAAAGCGCCCGCTCGAGCCGACCGACGCGCCGCTGCCGAAGCGGCGCTCAAGCCGCGCCGCCGCCGCCGCACCCTCGGCTGCCTCCTCCTCCACCCTTGCCGCCGCCTCCTCCTCTTCCTCCTCCGCCGCCACCACCGCCACCGCACCCACCGCACCCACCGCACTGGCCGCGCCCGCCACCGCCGCCCGCACCGCCGCCTCCACCTCCACCTCCACTGCCTCCGCCTCCACCTCCACTGCCGCCCCTGCCGGCCCCTCCCCGCTCTCGAGCCGCCTGTTCACGACCACGCCGGACGGGCGCACCGTGCTGAGGGAGACGCCCCCTCCCCCCACGGGCGGCATGGCGGCCGTCGCCGCGGCGCTGGCGCAGATCAACCTGCAGGCCTACGCCGCCGCCTTTGACGCCGAGGGCTACGACGACATCTCGTTCTTGCGCGGACTGGACGCCGCCGAGCGGGCGGACGTGGCCAAGGAGACGGGGATGAAGCCCGGGCACGCGGGCAGGTTTGTCAAGTTCGGCTTCGCGCCGCCATGAGCGAGCCCGCCGCTAGGAGCTCAGGGATCAGGGTCGGGTCCCGACAGGAGCTCTGTCCCAGTACGTTTCGAGTGCTTAGGGTGCACCGACCGGGATGCGCGAGCATGTTGCGGAAGGTCTACTGTCCGACCACCGTGCGGAACCTCTCGACGGGAGGTCGTTTGTACAATCAATACTGGAAGTAGCAGGTGTACGTCGAAGGTGTACGGCATACCGTATACCGAGCATCGACACCAATAAGATCTAGGGGGTGTGTTTTGGATAAGTTGTACAACTGGACCGACGACTCGTGTCCGAAAAGACCAGCCCGGAGGCCGGAAGGTCGAAGGAGCAAAAAAGAAAAACCGGGGACACAACGCCGCGAGCGGGCGAAAGGTTCGCACTGCAGGGTGTGTATGGCGGACTCGGTGGCCGCCATCACGGGCCTCGACCCCGCCCAGGCGGCCAGCTACCTCGAGATGGCCGGCGGTGACGTTGAGATGGCCGTGCAGTTGTTCTTCAGCATGGCCGAAGGCGAGCCGGCAGCCGTCGCTGCTGGCGGCGGCGGCGGCGGCGGCGGCACCGCGCACGCCGGCACTCCGGCGCACGCCGCGCTCTTCGGCTCCGAGGCGGCGCCACCGCCATGGATCGAGCAGGGCTTCGAGTTCTCCGCAGCGCCCGAGAGCCGTTGCGGCCTGCTGCAGGGCAAGAACGGTCCGTGCGGCGTCCTCGCGGCGGTCAACGCCGAGCTCCTCGCGCAGAAGGGGTGCCCTCCTCCTTCGGCGGCGGCGACGGAGGCAGACCTCCGCGCCGCCCTCGCAGCCATCCTCTGGCGCTGCGCCTCCGCCGACGCGCCCGCGGGTGCAAAGGAGTCGGTCGCGCAGGAGGTGGTGCTCGCGCGGTGGGAAGGCGCCGTCGGCGGCCCGATCGTGACAGAGTCGTTCGCGGCGGATGGCGCCGCCTCCGTCGCCGCCAATCTCGCGCCCCTGATGCCGGCGCTGCGGCAGAAGGGCGGCGTCGTGCTGCTCTGCTACGCGTGCGTGCTGACGCGAGGCGTCGAGGCGGTGAGGGCGGATGTGGCGCTCGACAACGGCAGCGGACCTCTGATCGCCGGGCCGCACGCTCTCTGCGGCACACTCATAGCCGAGACGAGGCGATGGCCGAGACGAGCCGAGCCTGGCCGAGCCGAGCCGAGCCTGACCGAGACTGGCCGAGACTGGCCGAGACTGGCCCTAGCCGAGCCTCTGGCCGAGACCGGAGGAGCGCGCGCGCCTCATGAGCCTTCTCGGACCTGTCTCTCGGACCCGCCTTCTCGGACATGTCCGGCCTGCAGGCACCGAGCTGATGACTCTCCCCCATATCTCCCCGAATCTCCCCCTGCAGGCACCGAGCTGATGACTCTCCTCATGGCGGGGCGGGCGCGCGGCAACGTCGGCGCCTACGGCCAGGACGGCGCCAAGGTGACACCGCCCCAGACGCGGCAGGCGGGTGGCGGCGGGTGGCGGCGGGTGGCGGCGGGTAGCGGTGGCGGTGGCGGCGGTGGCGGTGGCGATAGCAGTGGCGGTGGCAGTGTGGCAGTCGCGGTGGCGGCGGTGGTGGTGGTGGCGGTGGTGGCGTAGCGGCGGCATAGCGACGGCGTAGCGACGGCGTAGCGACGTCGTAGCGGCGATGCGGGTAGCGGTGTGGGCGGCGGCGGCTCTGCGTGCCAGATCCTCTCCCCCTGCTGCTGCGTGGCTTGGTGCGTGGCCGGTCGCGCAAAGGGCCACACTCGTTCGCCCACATCTCCCCATATCTCCCCCATATCTCCCCCATAGCGAGCCACACTCGGTCGCCCACACGCGAGAAGAAGCAACGCGGGACTGGCGCCCCCGCCCGGCCGGCCCTCTGGACACCTCCCTGACACCTCCCTGACACCTCCCTGACACCTCCCTGACACGTCCCTGACACCCCCCTGACACCCCCCTGACACCTCCCTGACACATGTCCCCGGCAGGTGACATGGCGCGAGCCCTCGCCCTTCGGCCTCCTCTCCCGCGACGAGCTCGAGACGGGCGGCCGCCCTCGCGGAGCCGCTCGAGTCGTGCGTGACGTCGTGACAACACCCAGCCCTCTGTTTGCTCCATTCCCTCAGGCGTCCCCCTCGCCGACCCGCTCAAGTCTCCTCCGCTGCCCGTGTACGTGCTGCACGGCGGGGACCATTTCACCGTGGCCTGGGTCCCGCTGCCGGCCAAAGAGCGCTTCGAGGCGCGCGTCGCCCCTCGCGCCAGTGTGGAGCGGTGCAGTGCTCATTCGGCCGGTCTTCAACCACCCGTAGTTGCTCCTCAGACTTCGGTGGGGCGGGGCCGTACCCGTCCTCTCGCTCGCCCCCTCAGGCCCGCGTCAGGGCGCTCTTCGCGTCTGCGCGCGGCGGAGGAAGCGGAGGAGACGCGAACTCCGCCGCGGCGGAGGCGGTGGAGGCGGCGACGGCGGAGCTGCAGGCCGCCCCGCCGCCGCCCGTCACGCAAGGGGCGGTCGATCTCGCGCTCTGGCATTGCGCTGCCCGCGGGCGGCGGGGTCTGCTGTGGATGATTGGATCGACCAGGCCGTGGCCTGCTCACTAGGAACGGGCTGCCGCCGGCGCGCGGGCTGCGGTGGTTGCGCCTGCGCGGGGTGGGCGATGCACTCGCTCCCGCCGCCCCGGCGCCTCCGTCGCTCACGCCATCGCACTGGCGACTGAGTGTGGGGGAGGTCGAGTCGGTCGTGCAGGCCGAGGTAGAGCCGAGATGCGGGCGGAGATGCGGGCGGAGATGTGGCACGAGATGCGCGCGGCTTTGGAGGAGGAGGGAGGCCGAGCTGGCAGAGGGAGGCAGCGCTGAGGCTACTCCGCCGCACTCCTCCCGGCGGTGCAGGCAGCCAAGGAGGACAAGGCCTCCCTGCCGGCGGCGTGGCGCGAGCACCGGTACGAGCTCTCCCTCGTGACGAAGGTGTGCGATGGCTGTAGTATTGCCTGCTGATGAGTACTCCCTGCTGATGAGAGCCAAGAATGAGTACCGGGAGCGCGCCTGCAGTCCTGTCTGCTCATTTCTTGCTCTCCGCCGCGACGACGGGTCCTCCTCCTGCGGCGGGGGGCAAAAGAGAAGACGCGCAGCTCTAGAGGGGAGGGGAGAGGAGACGAGGCCCCTCGCCCGGCTGCAGCTCCCCTCCCACCACCCACCACCCCCACCACCCACCCCCCCCCACCCCCTCCCCGCCCCAGCCCGCCCCCCTCCTCCCGCCAGGCGGTGGCGGAAGAGGACGTCGCCTCGGCCCCTCGGCCGCCCGACGCGCCTCCGCCGACGCTGCTGCCGCAGGGCCCTCCTCCGGCGGCGGGGGAGGTGCAGCCTCTCGGCGGACCTCGGCGGAGCTGGGCGAATCTCGGCGAATCTCGGCGAACTCGGCGAACCTTCTCGTCGAGTCTCGTCGAACCTCGGCGTAGCTCGGCGGATGATGTCGACTCACTCCTCCGGCGGCGGGGGAGGCGTGGCGCTGTGCGAGCTGCTCTAGACACTTCCTAGACACTTCCTAGACACTTCCTAGACACTTCCCTAGGCGTGGCGCTGTGCGAGCTGCTACAACTCGCGCTTCAAGACGATGTGCTTCGGCGAGAACCCCGCGCCCGCCGCCGCCGCTTGCAAGTTCTGCGGCCAGGTGCAGCAGCCTATCTTCATCTACGGCCGCTAGAAGTGTTGGATTCGCCCCTCCGATATACTATCCGATACACACATAGGCAGCAGACGCGAGACAGTAGAGATGCGGACGAGCGGTCTCCCCGCCCGGTGTCTGCCCTCGCCTTCCCACCAAACAGGCCACGGACCAAGGGGCAGGGCCTTGAGCCGTCGATTGAGCTGGTCTCCACGCGGCCCCGCGCAGGCGCAGCAGGAGGCCGGCTGGACGGTGTGGATGCGATACGCAGACTTGCCCGCGCCGGTCGCGCGGCGGGTGGACCGGGTGGCGGGCCCGAAGGTGCCGGCCGCCCCTCCGCCCCTCCGGACTCCTCCACTCTGCACACGGGGCTGATAACGCGCGTCCTCGACTCAAGGTGCTGGCAGTACTGCGGACGCGCTGGCCGGACGTGTCGCTCTGGGCCGTCGCCGGGGAGGTCGAGGCGGAGGTGGGCACGGCGGCCGCCGCGGGCGTGACGCTGCCGGCGGTCTAGACCGCCGCTTTTCAGACAAACGGCTGACAATCGGCTGACAATCAGCTGACAAACATTTCAGAACACGGCCAGGGGGCGAAGTGGAGGCCACTGGCGGCCGGACGGGTTCGCTCTCTTCCGGTATACCGGAAGAGCGTTAAACCTAGTTTCAATCAATTCGCAAAACGCAAAACGTAGCCAAACGCGCCCGCCCTAATATATTTGCGGACAGCGCATCCATGGATCGAGAGTGGCCGCCATCATTGTCAATGCAGATCTCGAGCGAGGAGCCGATGCGCTCATCCAAGCAGGCCAGTCCAGCTACGCAGGAGGCCGGGGCCCTTCATCTTCGCGGAAAGCGAAGCGTCGCCGTTTGCTGCGTTCGTCTCTTCACAAAAGGCCTCGCAGTAGACGACCAACTCCTCGTCTTCTGCAGCTGGCACCTCGTTGAGGCTCTGAAGGAGCGCCCGGAGCTCGGCTACCAGCTCTGCCGACTTGACGTTTCTACGACTCACCGGAGTATTCTCCGGAGCCAACTTCAAAACCAGGCCGTTTGAGCGACACGGGTCGAGCACATCGAGGGCTCGCGCAATCGCGCGACGGCTTCCGGGTTTGTCGCGCGCGAGCGTGGCCAGACCAACCGCGGCCTTCTCCGCCTGCCCCTTCAACGAACTGCCCAACTGCCTTACCATTCTCCTGATATCGGTTGGAAAGCTGCCCGCCACAGCCGCTGCAAGCGCCAAGTCGTCCGAAGCTTCGTTCGGCGTAGCATTCAGCACGGCTTGGATTGCAGCAAGGAGTGAGCCGTGCTGGCTAAGTAAGGCAATTGCTCGCTCTTGCGTGGCACCGCGGTCGACCAGCCACTTCACGTCGCCCTCCCGCGGCAAAGTCGTTGTCGCATAGAGCAGCTCCTCGTTGTTTTCATCTTTGTTGTCCCCGTCCGACGCACCGAGGGACTGCCTGCCCGCTAACGCGGACATGCGCGCACGCCGTGCTCGTCTTATCGGACGCGAAGCGCCACAAAACAGGCGGCCGAAGAAGGAAGCGGATCTGATAAGTTTGAGTTTCGGTTTTCACAGCCTTGTTATGAGAAGAAAATACGTCCAGTGCGCAGAAACTTCCCCCCAACCTTCTTTTCTACCGGGCTAGGATTGAGAGCAGCGCTGAGAGTTTGAGTGACTGGCTAGAGACGACGACGACGATACAGTTCAGATCCTGCATCAGGAATTCTACGCGAGAGAACGCCGACATGAACCGAACGCTGGGCAGAGCTGGTGTGTGTTATGTGGGCCATGCCCGAGGATACAGCAGCCCAGTGGTACGGCAGGTGCAATCGCTAAATTCCCTGGCAGAGCTCGACCGCATCTTCGCAGCCGGCTTGATCTATTCTTTGCGCTTGCTCCGGGTGACTGCCCTCGACACCTCCGCTGTCAGCATGAGAACCATTCAGAGTTCTACCGCACTTGGACAGAGCGGCTGAGAAGCGAGCATCCAGGGCGGCATGTGTACGTAGAACGTAGTGGAAGATCCCCCGGCGTTCGCCTTCGACGGTCGCGCTGTAGATGCATCAAATACTGCTCGGTGCGGCAGGCGTGTTTGGCAGAGCTTCTGGCATGACCGCCAATCGGTCGCACATGCTTTGCACCCGCGCCGCCCGACGCCAGCAGCGGGAAGGCGGCCGTGCCGCCCGAGCCCTCTCGCAGCCCGCAAAAAGGCATCGACTGCAGCGGCGCATCCAAACCCAAGCTGTGCGAGTGGCGTCGGCGTTGGCGCAGAGGCGGCGCACCACCGTTTGCCGCTCCTTCCGCTTGCGGGTGGCACGCCGGCTCGCCGCGGCTCATCGTCGTGACTGCTACCTACCCGCACTCGGCGCAGGCCGCCAAGCTGTCTCTATGCGCGTCCGTCCTCGCCGGGGAGGCGGAGGCCCTCTGGATCGTCGTGGAGGACGCGGCAAACGCATCGGCCGCGGCTTCCGCCGTCCTCGCCTCGAGCGGCCTAGCCTACTTCCACCTCGCCGTCGGCCCATCGCGGGCGGGAGGCAACTTGCAGCGCGCCGCCGCTCTCGAGCTGATCCGCGAGAAGCGGCTGCACGGGGTCGTCTACCAGATGGACGATGATAACCAGTACGACCGGAGGCTATGGCCCGCGCTGCGCTCGCTCTCCGCTGGCCGGGTCGGCGTCCTCGCCGTGCAGATTTCCGAGGGCCGCATCAATCCGGCGGTGCTCGAGGGGCCGATCTACGACCTGGACGGCCGCCTCCATGAGCTGCGAGCGTCGTGGTGCGGCAGCAGCTGGACGGCCCTGCAACTCGGCGGCCGTTACTTTTGCATCGACATGGGCGGTTTCGCGTTCGACGCGGCGCTGATTCACGCTCGAGCGGGCCCGCTCTGGCCGTACCGAGGCCGGCCGCACCGCCCGGGCTATGCGACGGGGTGGACAAACCGAGGAGGGGAGACGGAGTTTATCGAGGCGCTGCTGCCCGACGGCTTCCCCGAGGACCTGCAGCCACTCGGCCGGTGCGGAGCCGAAATGCTCGTCTTTCACAACGGCCTGCACGTGACCCCCAAGAAGCTGGTCCTCAAGTCCTGGTGGCGGCGCCCAGGGAGGGAGGGCGTTTGTGGAGATAGTGGTTGGGGCTAAAAGCACGCTTGCTTTTTTAAAAACGCTTGCTTTTTGTCGTTCCACAGCCCTCCGCGCGGTCTAATCTCATCAATGCTATCAAGAGCGAGAGCTCAGCAGTACGCGGGGCGGCCCGGTCAGCTGTCTAAAGAGCCGCCGTGCGCGGGGCGACAGCCCGCCGCCTTTCAGGGCAGATGTGGACCCGCTCGAAACGGTGGAGGCGGCGGCGGCGGGAGCCGCTGGCGCTTGGGCGCTGGAGGCAGAGGCAAGTACTGCATCGGGCGCAAGGGCAAGCCACCGGGCATCGGTCGCATGGGCGGGGCGGGGACTGGTCGAAAAGGCGGGCCGGGCATGGGTCGCATCGGAGGGCGCGGCGGCATTTGCGGAGGGTGCAGCGGCAAGAGCGAAGGGCGCATCGACATGTGCGGAGGGCGCAGCGGCGGTGGTGGAAGAAATTGCTGAGGAGGGCGTAGCGGTGGCGGTGGAAGGAGCTGCTGAGGCGGCGGCAGCGGCTCTTGTGAAGGCTGAGGGGGCGTCGCCTTGTCTGGCAAGCTCGCGCCTCCGCCCTGCACGACAGCGGCCCTGGGGCCACCATCAGCCGGGGCCGGCGCCGCGGCGGTGGCCGGCTTCTCCCAGCGGACCTCGCCGCTCGCCTCGTGCCAGTAGTACGGGTGCTGCCCAAGTTCGACGACGAGAGTCCACCCGCCGCGCGCGTCGGTGCTGCCGCCGGCCTCTGTGCCGCCGCCGCCACCTCGCGCCTCTGTCGCCGTCGCGTGTGCCGCCGCCGCGGCGCGGGGCGGCTCCCATCGAGTTAGCCCAGACTCGGCGTGCCAGTAATACGACGGCTGGCCAGCTTCCGCGACGAGCGTCCACCCCTCACGCGGGACGTCGTCCGCCAGAATGCTGCACTTCGTGCTGTCCGCTGTGCCAGCGCCCGCGCCCGCTGGCGCGGGTGGGCGCGCCTGCGGCGCGCCGGCGCTGCTCGGCGGCGGCGGCTCCTCCTCCGTGCTCGCGGCCGTCCTGTCGTCGTCCTTGAGCGCCTCGTTGAAGCTTGCGGCGATGGACGCCTCGCGCAGCCCCTGATCGCGACCAAAATCGTCGCCGTCGTCGCCGTCGCCGTCGCCGTCGTTGTCGCCATTGCCGCCACCGCCGCCGCCGCCACCGCCTCCGCCGCCGCCGCCGCCGCCGCCGCCGCCGCCGCCGCCGCCGCCGCCGCCGCCGCCTCGCCCCGCGGCGCTCAGCTCCTCGAGCGGCACTCCCGCCTGTGAGAAACGAAACCCGAGTGCCACAAAGAAATACAGGCGGGTCCTCGAGCGGGGTTCCCGCCTCGACCGCGGCGACGTAGAGCTGCGCGTCCTCGCCGCCGCGGAGAAAAGCGTAGCCCGTCTCCCGGCCGCGCCTCCGCCGCAGCTTCGCCTGAGAGCAGTCACGCTCCCCGCGCTTCAGCAGCCGTGTCCCCCGCCTCTAGAGTCGTGTCCTCCCCTCTGGAGAGAGAGTGAGGGCTCAGCAGCCGTGTCCTCCGCCTCTAGAGCGAGGGAGGGCTCTCGCCTCGAAGTGCAGCCCGTGTGCGAGCCGGTACGTCGCCGCCTGAGAAGGAGGGGAGGGGGGGGGAGCGCCCTCGTAATCGGTGGGTCCAGTCATCCCCGTGCCGTCGCCGGAGTGCGGCCGCCTTGCCAATCAGCAGCCTACGAGGCAGCGGCAGCCGCCACCACGCCTCCGCGAGCAGCGGCGACTCCTCCTCGGCCAAGCGCGACCACAGCTCCCACTCGGCAGCCCACTGCCGCTCCAGCCACGCCAAACGGCCCGCAGCCTCGACGCGCCCACTCAACGCCGCCACGGCAGCGGCGGCGGCCGCCGCCTTTCCTGATGCTGGCGCCGGCGTCGCCGTCGCGGCGGCGGCGGTGGCCAGAGACGCCGTCGCCGCCGGGAGAGACTCGCGGACGGCGGCAGCGGCGTCTTTCGAGGCTGCGATGGCGGCCTCCTTTGCGGCGTTGAAGGAGGCGTGCGCGCGCCGGAGGAGGCCGGGCAGGCCGCGGGCGGCGGCGAGCACGCCCTTCTGCGTCGCGGCGCTCAGCGGGGCCGCGGTCAGGACCTCGAGGACGCCTAGGTCTCGGGGGGCCGCTCGCCTGATCTCGCCTGATCTCGGGCAACTCCTTCCGGGGGGATACGGCGGGAGACGGCGGAGTGGGAAGAGCTTCCTCCTTCCGCTCCCCCCCCCCGCAACGCGAGACACAACAGTGGTATGCAGCCACCCGGAGGGGGTGAGATACGGTCAGATATGGGGAGACCGTCAAGAGAGCGTCAAAGAGTCGTGCACTGTAGGGCTAGTGCGAGCGCCGAGCGGCCGGAGGAGCGCGCTGTCTCGCTCCCCCCCGGCGCCCGAAGCCTCCTCCGCCACCAGAGCCAGCAAGAGCCCGCCGGCCGCGCAGCCGAGCCGCCTCCGCGCCGCGACACCAAACTGCGAGTCGAGGAACTTTGCGTCGTTGATCACGAGCGACGGCCGTCCGGAGCGCAGCAGCGAGCGGGTGGCGGCGAGGGCCTCGTCGTCTCGCAGCGGCGCGTGCGTCCCCCCCCCCGACCGTACGGCGAGCTGATCGCCGCACGCGCCGAGGCCGGTGACGAAGGTGAAGAGCGCCGCCTGGGGCGCAGCACCCATGCTTCTGCTGTACTTGCATGCTGATGTGTTCTTCTCATCGGGCTCTTCACCTTCGTGGCGCCGCCCCCGCCCCCGCCCCGCCCCACCAGCCGCGGCAGCCGCTCGAGGAGCGCGTCGACCAGCTCGCCAGGCCGGAGGAGGCCGAGCCGCTCGAGCTCGTCGAGAAGCGCCTCCGAGTGATACAGCAACACTTGATTAATTCACATGGCGAAGCTCGCGCAGCTCGTCGAGAAAGCTCCGAGAAACCTCCGAGCGAGTCGTGCCGTCCGGGTCGGCGGGGCGGCGCGAGGTGACCTCCTCCGCCGCAGCCTCGTCCTGCTCCTCGTCCCCGAACGGCTTCTGCTGCACGCTCCACTCGGTCAGCTCCTCGCGCGGCGCCTCCTGCTCTTCCGCCGCCTCCTCCGCCGCCTCCTCCTCCGCCGCCTCTGCCGCCTGCGCCTCTGGCCGATCGAACTCGGCGGCGGCCCGCTGCTCCTTGGGCTGCATCTCAGCTGGCGGCACGAACGCGGCGCCGGCGCCGGCGCCGGAGACAGCCGCAGCCATAGCCACGGCTCCGGCCGCGGCGGCGGCGGAGCACGCGCTCCACTGCTGCGCTGCGTAGGCCGGATGCTGCGCATGGTGCTGCGCGGCGGCGGGGCTCTGGCCGTACGGGTGTGGCGCGGCCGCGTACTGTTGGCCGTAGCCGAGGTACTGCGGCGTGGGAGGATGCTGGTAGCTGGGCGGCATCGCCCCATACCCCGGCATCGCCCGGCACCCTCCTCCGTGTTGGTTGTAGCCGTATGCGCGAGCGTGCGGCGGCGGCGGCTGCTGCCACTGAGGGTGCTGCTGGTGCATTGCGTGGTGGTTGGCACATGGCGGAGCGCGTTGTTGCTGCGGCCAGTGCGGCCTTTGCATGGTTGCAGGCCCCAGGCGAAGGCGGAGGCGAAGGCGGCGGCGGCAGCGGCAACGGGGCGGAAAGAATTTCGGCTGGCCCAGACGCTAAATCGCGTCGCAAGGTAGGTCGGAGGATGGAGGTTTGAGCTCGCACGTGACCGGCCCCCCGACCCCCTCGCGTGAGACTTAGCGGAGCCGTAGGTGCCACAGCCCACATATCATATGCACATGCCCGATGCACATGCACGGACTACACACACACTCATAGCATGCGCTTTACCGAACCAAAGGGGCTATAAGCACCCTCCAGCTTGAGCAGCGGGCGGTACTCTGTGGAGACCAGCCGCACGCAGCGGCGCGCGGCCGACGCCACATGCTCTGCCAGGCGGGCATCCGCAGCCGGCGGGGGGGCGATAAGCATCTCCAGTAGGTTGCGCTCCTCGGCCGGGTCGCGGTCTATGTGGTAGAGGCTCGCCAGGCCGAGGCGCGTGCAGCTCGTGCCATTGAGGAGCTTCAGCTCGTTCAGCTCCGCGGCGGTGAAGAGCCGCAGCGGCAACCCGGCTATGCCGCTGCTGTTGCACGCCGGCCGCTCCCGCTCGACGCCGGTCAGCTTCCACGGGCCGACGCGCACGACCATCTTTCGCCAACTCGTACTCGACCAGAAGAGAGGCTTCCGGTGCGGCAGCGCACCGGTGCGTCCGAGCCAGTGCGGCAGCACGTCCACTCCGTCCCCGCCCCAGCGGCGCCCCGACGCCGCAACCTTTGCGAGGCGCAGCACGGTCGGCAGCCAGTCCACGTTGGAGATGACCGACGCCCCGTCGACCCGGCCGGGTGGTACGCCCCCGTTCGGCCAGCGCAGCACATACGGCAGCCGGATGCCGCCTTCAAGTGTGCTGGTCTTGTAGCCCCGCGCGAGGCCCGTGTACCCCATCTCCCCCGCGAGCTTCTTCTCCGGACCGTGATCGCTCGTAAAGAGCGTGACTGTGTCGTTGGTGCGTTTGAGCGCGTCGAGCGCGGCGAAGAGCCGGCCCATCCCTCGGTCCATGCCATAGAGCTCGCCCAAGTACGCCGCGAGCCCCTCCTCGACCAGCCCCTCCGACTTGCCCTTCTCGACGGCGGCGGAGCAGGGTATGGAGTGCTCTCGCCCGTGCCCCGCAATTTGCCCCGCACCGTGCCGTCTCTCAGGGGAGCCCGTCCCATTCGCCCGCTCCGTGCGCCGCCCCAACATCGACCAGCCGAAGCACTCCTTGCGGTGCCGGCGGATCTTCTCCTGCATCCCCGGCCTATAGAGAGTGTGACAAGGGTGCATGAGGATTCGGGCTTTTCGTGATCCATCTGAGCGCCGCAGGGGTACGCGTCATCTTCTCATGCATCTAGGCCGTCTGCCCGAACCGCGTCTCGTCGAGGCCCTTGAGCTGTGGCAGCAGCCGCTTCGCCAGCCACGACCACCGCCGCGGGACCGGTCTGTGTGGCGTGACCGGCCACACGTGTAGATAGAAGGGGCGGCGGGGGGCCACGCGTTCCGTGCGGTGAAGCCACGCGATCGCTGCCGTAAAGAACGCGTCGTCTCGGCCCCACCACGTCTGATGCGCCTCGCTAAGAGCTCTTCCAGCCTGCGGCGCAGGCTGGGTGGCGTCGCCGCACGTGGCGTTGTTCTTCGACCCGTTCCACGCGCAGCGACGCGGTTCGAGGCGGCACGCACTGCTGCTGCGGAGCGACGCACAAGGGAGCTGCAGCGGCTTTCCTGACCCCTGAATCGTCTCGAAGCCGTACGTACCGGCGGGCGGGTACAGATCTTTTCCCATGGGGCTGACAGTGTCGGAGCCGATGTTCCACTTGCCAAAGCTCGCCGTCCGGTATCCCGCCTGCTGCAGCAACCCAGCAACGGTTGGACGGCGCCCCAAGCCCACCACCGCCGGATCTCCCAGGGTCGTGCGAACCGGCCAGAGCCCAGTCATGAGCGCTGCCCGCGAGGGCGAGCACGTCAGGCCCTGCGTGTATGCCTGTGTGAAGCGCGTCCCCTCGCGTTGCAGCCGCGACAGCGCCGGCATCTCCGCAAAGGGATGGCCCCATGACGGCACCTCGCACGAGACGAGCGTACTGCCTCCCTGCACGCACGGAATATCTCCCACGCCCATATCGTCGACTAAAATGAGGAGGAAGTTGGGGCGTCGGAGTCGAGAAGTCGAGGAGTCGACCATCCTTCTCTCCCACGCGGACCGTCGTCGCCGAAGTGGAACGCCGTTCACACTTCGCCATTTTTGAGGTGATCCCGCGGCTGGACACCTTGGCGGTGTTCCGTGCGGACAGAGTGCTGCACGAGGTGCGGCCGTGCCCGGGGTGTGGGTGACCTCCGTATATTATTTCTTCTGTTCGGTGGGGTGGGATCAGGGGTGGGAGCCGGAGTAGGTGTGTGACTGACTGCTCCTGCGTGCCCCCCCCCCGCCCCCCGCCCCGTCCCCGCCCCCCCGCGCGAGCGACGGAATTCTTCTGTCGCTTAGGCGGCTCCCGTGGTGTACCTGTATTAGTGCCACAGTGCGCCAGTCCCGTGCCTACAACGACAAGGTTGACTTCGTCCTCATGGCCGAGGGCGGCTGGGTTGTGGAGGACAAGGTCCTCCGTTCGATCGGCGCGTTTGGGCTGCCGCCGATGTCCAAGCTCCTCGACGACCCCTGCATGCAAGACGCGCTTGCCTCTGCTCGCCGGTGGCCGAGCCGTTTGGATCACTACGTTTCCATCGCGCACTTGGAGCACTTGGAGTGCAGTTATCAACCTCACATCCAGGGCCGGGGAGCTCAGAAGCGCACCCAGCGGGCCGGATGATCGGGATCGGGTTACGGGCTAGAGAGCCCTAGCCCCGGGGGTGCGCGTTCGCAGGGCAAGGGCCTTAAAGTAAACACGGGTCCCCATATCGTCCATTAGGATGAGGAGGAAGTTGGGCCTCGCCGAGGAGGCGAGCATGGCTTCTATCCGACGTTCTTCCCGGGGACTACGAGACGCCGCGCGAAGAAAAACATTTACCGCACCCTGGGGGTGGCGACAGACAATTAAAGGTCTGCGGGGGAAGAGACGCTGCCGCAAAAATCTAGTACACGCCCCCCCATCCCCCTTCACCCCACACCACACACACACACACACACACACACACACCACCGCTGTCGTGGGATCCCATGACTTGTCATGAGAGAGTGCGTTGGTTCTTGCTTTGTCGCGGTTTAGCGTTGTCACATGCGTCCCCACACCCGGTGTAACACATGCGCGCTGCCTGACCTGGCCAGCCGCCGTCGACTCCGTCGCCTCCTCGCCTCCACTCGGTCCACTTCACCCCACTCGAGAAACAGTCATCCGCAGCGCGCCCTCCCTTCACCATGCCCTTGGCAATGTAGTACACAGCGTGGTCACCTCCTCGGTGCCGCCAAAGTCGCAGCTCTCGAATACAGCTCGCACATACTCCTCGCGCAACTCTTCGGGCGAGTAGTAGCGCGCTTGTTGTTGCGCGCCATGGTATTCATCACCTGCCACATTGTGAGGCCATTGGTGCCGCCTGGAGCCACGCTAACCGAGGAGCAACGGGAGAGGGTCGGAGCAGAATCTGCGGCGCGGGATCAACAAACGGATCGAGGAGTTACGCAATCTCGCGGATCGAAGAGCTAAAAGGGAAGATGGGAGAGCTGCAACGCCGCGTCGCCGCCGTGCCTTTCGCGGGCTTCGGTACCACCACTGTATGTTGGGGCCCGCATCAGCGTCGCCCGCCTCGTCTTCCACCGCCCCCGCCGCCGCCACATCCGCGGCAGCGACGGCCGCCACACCCGTCCCCCGCCGCCACCGCCCCCTCCACCGGTGCGCAACCTCTACCTCCTTCACTCCCTCTACCTCCTTCATCGCCGTCCCCGCCAACGGCCGCCACCCCCGCCGCCGCGCCGCCCCCTCTACCGTGACTGGAATCGCGCAACACCCCCTCTACCGGGCCTGCCCCTTGGGACTGGGAGGCTCTCTCCCATCGCTCTCGACCCTGATGGCGGAGGCGGTGCTTCCGCCAAGGCAGACGACGCCGAGCGGACGTGGAGGGAAAAGCCGACGCGCTCGGGACGGCGGTGGCAAAGCGGCGGCGGCACGCCAAGGGAAGATGAGCGACGGCTACGTGCCGCCGGTGACGCTGGTAGCAGCGGCCAGCTGCTATCGGCGGCGGCAGCGAGGCCGCCGGCAGCAGGGGCGACGACAAGGACGGCGCCGGCTGCAGTAAAGACGATGAGCTGCGGAGCATGCGGCGTGCTCTGCTCCTCTGCATAGCTCACAAGCGGACGTCAAGCACATGGACATATTTCAAGGAATCCTCTACCTCTGTTTTATGTGCCGATGTGTGTGCTAGTGTGCGCCAGTCCACGCCCTTGTCGTGCCAGTGTGCTGCGAGAGAGAGTGTCGTGCCAGTGCGCGTGGGTGTGAGCGGTGTGTGTGTGTGTGTGTGTGTGTGTGTGTGTGTGTGTGTGTGTGTGTGTGTGTGTGTGTGTGACTGTGTGTGTATGTGTGTGTGTGTGTGTGTGTGTGTGTGTGTGAGAGAAAGGGGGGGAGGGGGTCACGTCACTGCATCCTCTGCCGGCTCCTACCTGCCGTCGCCTCTATTCTTTGTTCGTATGATTGTCAATCCATCCTTCCCCATGTAGCTAGCGTTCTTTGCGAATGCCTCGAAATGACCAGCAGGCGCTGTCTGCTTGCGGTCTGTGCGGGCCGCTCGGCGCTCGTCATCTCGCCCTCGTGTCGTCCGGCCCTGACCCCTGTCCCTCCAGCTCCACCCGCCACCCCCCCTCCTCCACTGCCTTTTCGGTACTCCTTTCTCCATCCGCCTCGCCCTGCCTTTTCGTATCGCGCCGTTTGCCCAAATGGTACACACTATACAACGGTCATCCCCCCCCTGCGGTGCTGGCCCTAATCCTACTTCCAATGCTACACAAAGAAAAGACGCGTACATAGAGCCGTACGTATCTCGACCGGGGGCCTCATCCCTGCCGCTGGTTGTCAAAGCCGCCGAGCGTCCCCAGTGAACCGCCGTTCACCTCCTCATCAGCCAGAGTGTCGTCCCTCTCCCACCTAGAGCGGCGCAGGCGAGCGGGCGTCAGCTTGGCAGTGCTGCATCGCCCCGCGCCCGGGGCGGCGTGGCGCGCGCACGGGTCGCTGCAGCCGCCGTATGTAGGCTTGAGGCACTCATCGGGGCCGATGCCTAAGGTCGCAACAGTCGCGCGACGTTGCGGCGTCGAGCGGAGAGAGCCGACGCCGGCCCGAGGGGGGGCGCGTGCCGGTGACGCGCCACACGCGCCACATGAAGGCCTGCGACTTGAAGCTGCTCGCCGTCGGCTCCCACCGGCAGTCGTCGTCCCACGCGGCTGCGGTGAACCAGTCGATCAGCCGCGTGACGGGCCGTTCGAAGAACCACAGGTTGACGTCGAAGATACCTAGTCGTAGTAGTCGTTGTCACAATTGATAGTTAACTGAATCTTCGTTCAAGACGTCTCGAAGATGCCTCGCAGCGGCGAGGTGAGCGCCGTGGAGGAGGGGAAGAAGAGCCAGCCGGGGACCTGGGTGGGGGCGAAGAGGTGGCGGCACCGCTGAGTGTGTGCGCCACGACAGGGCTTCAGCGAGGCGCCCGCCGGGGCCGAGGTGGGGCGTGGGTGGCCCGAGGTGGCCCGAGGTGGCCCGAGGTGGCCCGAGGTGGCCCGAGGTGGCCCGAGGTGGGAGATGGCCCGAGGTGGCTGGGCCGAGGTGGGGCGTGGGTGGCAGGGCTGCAAGTGCTACAGGGCGCCAGCCGCGCACTTCCTCCTTGCAGAGGCACGGGAACATGAAGCATCCGTGCTTCAGGATGAAGAGGCTGAACATGGTGAGCGACGTCAGCGCAAAGGTCAAGCACATGCACGGCATCGTGTGCCCCGGGCAGGCCGTCCACCCATTCATGCAGTACGGCACGGAGTGGATCACCTGTTTGGAGGGGGGGGGGGGGGGGGGGGGGATGCGTCGGGGGAGAGGGCGCGGCGGGGAGAGGACGCGGTAGGAGAGGCTCAGGAACTAAGGTTGCCTACTTCTACTACTCAAGCGGTGTGGGAGACTGAGAGGAGTCACCATCGTGTAGTAGAACATCGAGAAGGGGACGACCCAGATCCAGAGGATGGAGAACCAGCTCTTGAAGGTGAGGAAGATGGAGAAGATGACGATAAAGGCGAACCAGAGGTACGCCTGGTTGACGGCGCGGATCTCCGCCTTCGCGCGATGCCCTTGCACGAACGTGGTGGTGAGGGTGCGCTGCTCCTCGGTCAGACACGCGGCAAACTGCACGAGCCAGAGAGCCTGTGGGAGGTGAGTTAAGGTCAGTTCAGGTAAACTTCTCCACACACAAGGTGGTGGGGCAAGGGCCAGGCAACCCTCGCGACTCCACGTCTACAAGACAGGAGCCCCACGGCATTCAAAGTGCACGGCCCGGTGCGCGTGGGTGAGCGGTGTGGGTGTCTGTGCGTGTGTGTAGCTTGTAGGACGGGCGTAGTGCAGTATGGACGCGTGGCGCGCTTGTCGGGATCCCGCTGGGATAGCGGAGAGGCGGGGGAGGCGCGGGGAGGCGGGGAGGCGGGGAGGCGGGGAGGCGAGAAGGCGGGGAGGCGGCGAAGCAAAGAAGCGGGGAGGTACACGCCTTTTGCTCGAACTCGAAGATCGTATTAAAGAGGAGGATGAAGCTGGCCATGTCTGTGAGCACCTCGCCCGAGTAGACGACGTGGAAGATCACCGGCGCCATAAAGGTGATGTACGCCTGCAGTGCGCAACCGGGCGAGTGGGTCCAGAGTGTCCCCAGGCCGGATCCGCCCACGGCCCGTCCTCTATATACTCTCACCGGGAAGATCACAGACCCGATTTCGGTGAGCACAGACCACGTGACGAGGGTGCAGTAGGCAAAGGTCTGCCCCGCCTCCTTTGTCGATAGAGAGCGCAGCAGGATGCGGTACATCGTCTTCGTCTCGAAGTAGTTGAGGTTCTTGCTGGAGTCGGAACCGAATGCGAGAAGTCCTGGCGGGTCGGGGGTACGTTGGAGTAAGAGCACACGGGACGCGGAGACAGCGGAAGCAGAGTGCAAGAGCAGAGGGAGGACGCTCACCAATGAATAGGGGCATGAAGATGAAGTCAATCACCACCTGGGAAGGAGAGACCCACTGAGGTCAATGTGCCCCCCCCCCCCCCCCCCTGAACTCGCCCCCCCACCCCTCTCGCCTCAGTGACGCGGATGGTGAGGGGCGAGCGCTGCTTGGCAATGTAGTCCCAGGAGCGCGAGTTGGGCGCGTACTGGTAGAAGCGCTGCATGAGGAGCCTACGCGGTGGATACGCACGCCAACCTCGGGGCGGGAAGACGGCCTCGTGCAGAGTATTCAGAGCACCGTGTGAACACGAGGGATACGAAGACAGTGAGAGCAGCTGAATACATCCGGTTTGAGGTATGAGGTGTCGCAGCGAGCGCGGCTCTCCAGAGGCGCTGTCGGGGGGCATCCGGATACGTGTCCTCTCGAGCGCTCGTTGGAATACAAGACTCCGTGTTCCGCTTCTAGGAGGAGGAGCGTGTCGAGGTAGAGCAGCTCCATACAGGTGATGATGATCTCGACCGCCAGCGCGACCCACTTGCTCAGACCGCACGCCTGTGAAGGTAAGGAAAGATAAGGAGCTTCTCCACACATACACCTTGGGGGGGGCGACCCTCGCGACTCCACGTCTAGAAGGAGTCCCACGGCATTCAAAGCGCACAAGCCCCGTAGCCCCGTGGAAAGCGTCACCGGGCGAGACCGGTTGGGTTGAGATCGAGTGGCTTGAGTCGTATGAGACTGCGAGAGTCGTATGAGACTGCACGGTGTCACGGTGTGTGCGGTACGTCTCAACTCGGGATGTGTGTGTGGGGGGGGGGGCGCTCACACCAGTGAGTTGAGATCACACAGGAGGTGCGAGACTGGGGCTCGTATGAGATCACATCTCGTATGAGATCACAGCGTAGTGTGGAGACTCCCGCGCGCGCCCAGCAAATCGAGTAGTAGCCGAGCTGAGAGACGGGCCACGCGCAGCGGCAGCCCATCCAAGGCATCACGAGGGGGAAGTTCTGGAACGGCGAGGCGAGCATGGGCTGGGGAGCGAAGGGCCGGCCGAGGACGTGGCCGTCGTCGTCCGGGACGGCCTAAGGCGAGGCAACGTCAGCTTCTCCACACCACACAAGGTGGTGGTGTGATGACGATCGGCTGGCGACCCGTACGGGTCGCCAGTTGAGCTAGGGAGTGTGGCGATGGCCGCTACAAGTTATTCGCCAAAGCCTCGACATACTCGTGTGAGGGGGCCGTATGGCACGGGCCTTCCACGGCATCTCGCTCGCCGCAAGCTGGCCCTGGAACTCGGGGAAGCGCGAGATGGTCCACCACATGCAGAAGGGCACCTATTCGACATCGGCAGGCCCGGTCTGTGGCGCGGGTGGAGGGAGCAGACCGCACTCGAGGTGCTCCGAGTGCACACCAGCTGATCGTGCTGGTACGTGGTGAGATACGGCCGGCCGTCCGCCATGATTACCTTCCCCATCTCATCCACCCAGTCCTGGTCGCACAACGCCAACGGCAGGATGTCGGTCGGCATGACCTTGAGGTTACCCATCGGCGCCGCCGCGGTGTCCAGAGTGTCCGGGTGCAGCATGTTCAGTGCGTTCTTTGCTTCCTCGGCCGTCAAGGCTTTGATCGCGGCTTTGTTGTCGGTTCTAAGCAGCGCGAGCTCCTCGTCATCCTCCAGCTGCTTCATCGCGTTGGCAACATCCTCGGCCGCCGCCGCGGCGGCATCCGCGTTCTGCTTGGCCTGCGTATACGCTGCCTTTACGCCGTCCAGCAGAGCCTGCTTATCTGGCTTGACCGGCACCGTCCCCCCTTGGATCTTGACGGCCTGGGCGCTGCGGTAGGGCAACGGCATGGTGGCCGAGGAGCTGCCAGCGCGTCCGCCTCAGCCACTGTCCGACGAAGAGGTGGGTTGCCTTCACGAAGACCAACCCGAGCGGCAAGGTGGGGTACACAAACAAGGCGCCGCATATGCAAAACAGGAAAGAATTCACCAGCCCGCCAAGCTCGCAAACTCGGCGTTGCTGTGAACAGCGCCTCCTCACGCTCGTCTCTCTCTCTCTCTCTCTCTCTCTCTCTCTCTCTCTCTCTCTCTCTCTCTCTCTCTCTCTCTCTGTGTGTGTGTGTGGAACCTCGTGTGTGTGGAGGAGAGTCTCCTGACGGCCTGTCCTCACGCCAGACGCGCTGCGCCTCACCTCCCTCATCGCCGTCGCCATCCTGATCGCAATCACGCTCCTCGTCGTGCTGTACGCGCTGCCCGAGGACATGGTCGGCGACTCGCTCGCCCCCTGCCCCGCCGAGAGACGGCGGGGGGATCTGGGGAGATCTCTCGCTTCTAGGTCGGCGACACCTTCGACGCCTGCCCCACCGACGGGTCTGCAAACGAACAGTCGTGCCCCCCGGGCGAGGCAAGCTACTTCACGACCATGAGCGGCGTCCTCGACGCGCTCCCCGCCCTCGCGATGGCGTATGCGTGCCAGATCTCCACCCCCACGCTGTGGAACGAGATGTACCAGCCGACGCGCGGCCGGATGCTGCTCCTCTACCTGTACGCCCTCGGCGGTGCGCTATACGACACTCCATTCACTGTCACAGCAATGTGCTGTACGATTCCACTGCTTCTCTACTCCTCCCTGCTGCGCTGTCTGTTACACTACCAAGCTCACCATAGGTGCGATGACCCTCTACCTCCTCGTGGGCGGCTTTGGGTACTCCACCTTTGGATCGCGGGCCTAGAAGCAGAATGCGGATTCTTGCATCTCCCCATATCTCCCCATATCTCGTGTCTAGAAGCAGAATGCGGTGTTCATGTCTCCCAACCAGCGCTCGAGAG